AATCTGTTTCATTTTTTTTTTAATTCCATTTTTTCCTATAACTTCTATTTCACAAAATTGCTTTATTTTATTTTAATTTCTATTTTTATCCTATAACTTCTATTTCACAAAATTTGTTTCATATTTTTTTTAAATTATATTTTTTTCCTATAACTTCCTAAGCCATTGTACAACATTAAATTAAATTAAGTAACATGAACCAACATTAAACAATATGAAATAATATTAAATAACATTAACCAACGTACAAATTATACAACACAAAAAAAAAACATGTCACTTAGCCGTTGGATTTGAATTTAAGTTGTAGTTTTTAAATAATAAATTATGTTTGGCCCTTTGACCCTCGGTTGGAGACGGTTTTTTGTGGTAAGGCTAAAACGAGCCTTCTGGCCCTCTGTTGGAGACGGAGGCAAATATGGCTATGTACTGTTCATTAGAATATTAATATCTTGGAGAATCTTGGAGGGCCAGAGGGCTAAAACGAGCCCTCTGGCCAGCCCTCGGTTGGAGATGGCCTTATGGTGTATCAAGACCGATCCAACTGCAATGCAATAATCAAAGCTGTTACAGACATGAAATTTATTTGTCATTTTACACATTTTAGTGAGCATATTCACAATATAGCGTCAACATCCTTGAACAAGAGTATTTGAACTATACTTGTTGATCGTTTTTAAGGTTATTTTTAATGAAGTCGAGACTTATTTCTTTGAATCTCACTTCAGTTAAAAAGAAGATCATAGTGTAGTCCAAGTAGCATGCATATATGTTCGTTTTCTTCATGGTACACCTTGTATTCTTTTTGTCTTCTATGTCCAAACAAAATGTAATTATTATTATTACAAGCGATATTACTATTTTAAGCTAATAAACGGAGGAAAATAGTTTAAATTCGAAATGCAGTAGATTGAACTCCGTAAAATTACATCTACAAAACATCCAACCTAGTACAATTACCGAAAGGATTATCAAATTTGTCTAGTTTTGTATATATAGGTCCAAAGTTTAGAGAAAGTTATACATTTATGTTCACGAGTGCTCCAGAATCATATATATAAAGAAGACTTTCCATTAATATACGTGTCTCAGCTTGTCTAGCTCCAGACAAGACTCTTATAAATGCTCATTCGTCTTTTGGGATATTTCTGGACACTCCCGCGCGCCTTGTTTTTTCTCTGCATGTTCCTCTCCAAATGGTAAGCTGAATATATATATATATATAGCTAGTTCGAATCTGAATAATGAATCAGCTGCTAGCTGATAGCAGAGAAGAAGATAAACATTGCGACAAAATCCAAAAAAGCTGAGGATTTCATCACGCGACCCTTAAATTCATTCCTGCCAAATGCTACACAACAATACAGCTTTTGTATATACCAAAAACATTAACTTTTGTACGATTGAAATTAATAGGTTAAATTGCTTTTTCTTTCTTTATTGGTTTTCACTCCTTCCCAATTAAAAAATAAGTAGATTCCCGAGAGTCAAAGTACACTCCTCTACCGTCCACCCCGCCCGTCCGATGAATTGTACACTATCATCCCACGGCCATGATTCTTTATACGCTGAAGGGTGTTTTTAGTATGCACTAATATATAGTATACGTACGATAATGATCTTTTGATGTTCATTTAACAGTCATATTATAAACTGGAACATAGGAGAATTTTTTGACGAGATCTTTGATTATTCTGTTTGTTCAAAGTTCAAACCGTTGGATTCCTTTTGAGTTTTGAACATGAGTAATGTTAGGAGACTAAATTTTGGAAACTAAAGGATATGGAAGTTAATGATTGATTTGTTACTTAAACATTGATAAATATGTTCATTTCTATTGGTGAGACATTATAGTTTGCAAATTTAGTCTCCTTTAATCTCCTTAGCATTACCCTTTGACCATATAGTCATAGATATATAGTACGTATGTTGAGTGGAGGGACATGCATGCCTGTTGTGGCATTTCAATCCTTTAAGCCCCTTGACACAAAGAAAATGTGTACCACACATACCTATGTGCGTGTTTGTGTGTGTAGATATGTATCCAGTGTTTTACAGTCCAGGCTCCTTCATAAAAAATAAGTCCAGGATCTGAACCTCATCTCGCCAACCGTAAATTTATTCTACGTACTGAATCTAAAGTTGTCTTACACTCGTCACAATACCAAGCATCCCTGCGTACAGTTCGTCAAAAAGCATATTCACGGGCTGCATGTATATATAAGTGCGTATATACAGGATGCATGCATGTATATATAGACGTAGGTAGGGCATATGCGGGAGGGAAGACTGAAAGGGAATGGAGTGAAAATTAAATAAAAGTGGCTGACAAGTGACGAAGCAAAATCGAATAGTATCATTAATTTTCTTTTTCTTCTTCCAGCTCGAGCTGAGACTTTTATTAGGTGATGCATATCCTTCTCGCCCAAGACATAACCTTAATTGCTTGTCTCTGTGCCTGTGCACGCAGAGCCAGCGACCCCAAAAACTAAAAGCAGAAACCTACTTTTTCCTGTTAAACCTGTACGGACTTATCTCTCCCTCCTCCCCCCCTTCCTCTCCCTCTCTGGGTTTGGTTTGGTTTGGTATCTCCCCGTTATCTGTAATATTAATTAGAAGTACCAGTACTGGAAATTGATCAGCAAGATTCAGGAAATGAAAAAGCTATTTGAAACCCTATATAATGAAAAAGCTACTGCCACACATTGGACATGCTGCATACATGTCTAAGCATGCGTGCTGTGAGCCATGGAGCTAAGCATGCATGTGCCCCCACCTCCAGTACATTTACTCATTACAAGTAATTCAAAGCCAAAAAAGCTATCCAACATTACTAGTACAATACTCGTTAATTAATCAGCCATTTAGTTTGATTTTCTCTCTAATGTTCCATTAGTACAATACAACCTTGATGTAATTCAAATTAAAATAATCTCTGTTCACAAATATCATATTATCCCTTTCTTGAACCAACGCAGATTTCAACTTGAGTTTTCCTATAGGAAATATGTAAATTAAATAGGATAATAGCTAGTATGATACAAACGATATTTTAAGTTAAATTTATCTAATGTACAAAGTGGGAGATTCGAAATGATTAATACGATAATAAGATAATACTATAGAGAATGATTAATTGGCGCATATCTATTAATTAAGTGAAAAAGATGAACTCAGAGGATAAACACATAAAATATAATATAAATTATCACAAGTAATGAATTATGAATCCCCATCCCCCCATGTGCAATATAGAAACAACAAGATAATATGTATATTATGGAATTGTTTGTTTTCGATCAGAAGGATAAAAGAAACTGTCCAAATCCATCATATACAGTAATACATTATGGATGTTGACAATATTCATCTAATCCTAATTAAGCATCCCATATGTATACATAATAATAAGGGTGAACAATGGGTACATTTTACATATAACAAAGTGGTACATTTTTAAAGACAAATGGGTACATTAGTAATAAATTATGGGGGACAAATAACAGGTTAAAAAATATGAGTACAAATACCAGTTTGGAAAATATGGACACAAAAAGAAATTAATACATGGGTACAAACTAAAACCGAAAAGAAAATTGTTACAATTTAAAAAAAGGATTGCAAACTAAAATGGGTACAAACTAAAAATAAAAATATATGATACAAAATTTAGCCATAAATATAAATATATCAAATCTAACGTTTTTAACACTAAACGAATATGTTTAGCAATAAAATTTAATTAAACATGTAAAATATTATATTATTGAAATAATTAATGATATTTATTAAAACAAAGGAACCTTGATAAAAATAAATAAAAATAAATAAAAAATAAAGGAACAAGGTTTCAATCAATAAAGTTGAAAAAAGAGGAATGAAAACCTAATTTCTCCTAATAATAAATTAGATCTGCCTGAGTGTACAAATTCCATCTTATCCAACGGTACATTGTCCAAACGGATCAATAGAATTTTGTTTTCTTAATTAAAACGAGCATTTGCCTACACGTTTTGTGTGTATGAACACATTTTTTTAGAAAATGAGAAGGAGAAAGGGAGAGAGAAAGAAAGAGCATGGAGGGAGTGGGAGGTTTTTTTTTAATTTTTTTAATAAAATTGAAGGTATTTTAACATCACTTGTATGTGAGGTTTCAATAAAATAAAATAAAGTAAAATTTGGACCTGTGAAATTATATTATTGCCCATCATTTTTTTTGTGCGATAAAAGACTAAGTAGTTTTTTTACCCTATTTTGATTGATAAAAAGAGTTTCATTAATTAATAGAGATAAACATTATAAGGGTGTTTAGGGATGTAGTTAAAGTAAAATGCTCATGAAGGGTTACGTCAAGAGAAGGAACAAAGGTTTGTGATAGGCACGTTCTTCCCTTTTTTTTGTAGGTTTTATAAATTTGATAACTAGTCGGATGGTGTAGATAGGGGCGACAACAGGGACGGACACAGCCGTTTGTCACCCAACTCTCTTCTGATGAAGCCTGACCTTCATGTCTCCTCTCCTCTCTATAGTATGAGTCTCCATAATTCCATTAAATTATTAATGGGTAGAAAATCTCATATGTGTTTACCAAAAAAACAAGAAATTCTCATATGTTTTATTTACTGATAGGGTGATGTTAGAGAAATTATTTTTTTAGATTTATTTTGTAATTATATGATGCGATGTGATGGTTGGATTCATTTTTTTAATCAATTGTTCAACCAACAATCTCTATATCATATGATCTATAAAAGAATAAGATAATGGGATCAAAATTTTATATTAAATTTACAAACCAAATAATATGTTATCAATAAAAAATAAACATATTAATCAACATTTAAATAATAAATTAATTATCAACAACCACATCATTTAATTTACAAATTTTAATTAAAAATTTGGTCTCTAAAGAAAAGATCTCCCCCTCTTCTCTTATTCTCTCTTGCATGCGCTGACCAGTGACCACTACAATATATAGACACACTACTTTTTATTTTTATTCCAAGAATACCCATTAAATAAATAAAATATAACGGAAAAGAACAACACAAACCCTAAATAAATGAAAGTTGAACCAATAGCCTATAAGTACAGACTCTCTCTTCTCCTCCGTGCCTCACCAAAATTTCACCACATTCTCATATTACTTCTCACCTGAACTCTCAAGTACTTAACAAATAAACCGCTTTTCTAGCCAGTTACACTTCACTTCAACAAAAGCCCCAACTTAACATTTAACTTAAGCTAGCACAATGCACTACCAGACCGAGTCATGGGGCTCCTACATGCCCACAAGAACCACCATGGGCATGGGGGACCCGATGGAGCGCATAGAGCGGATGGCGTCGGAGAGCGCGGTGGTGATATTCAGCATAAGCAGCTGCTGCATGTGCCACGCCATTAAGCGCCTCTTCTGCGGCATGGGCGTCAATCCGACTGTGTACGAGCTGGACGAGGACCCCAGAGGCAAGGACTTGGAGAAGGCGTTGACGAGGTTGCTGGGGACCTCCTCCGCCGTCCCCGTCGTCTTCATCGGTGGCAAGCTCGTTGGCGCAATGGACAGAGTCATGGCCTCTCATATCAACGGCACTCTTGTCCCTCTTCTTAAAGAGGCCGGGGCTCTCTGGCTCTGAGATTCGTTCGACCTCTTCTGTCTTCAAATAGTTTTTGTTGTAAGAAAGAAGAGAAAACAAAAGTATGAAGTACTACTTAATTACTTAATTACATAGGGCGGGCAGGCAGAGGACGAGGAGTGGCTTTTGTGAGTCCACCTCCGTTTTGGACACTAATTAATCACTAATGTCACTTAATTAGCTAGTTTAATTTCTCATCTGGGTTTCCTTTAATTTTTTTTTTTTAATTGTTTTGTTTTGCTCTCTAGTTCATATGATATGAATGTGTTAGACTGTCTTCAGGCTTTTACTGGGGGCGTTCAGAGATGTAATTGCTCCCTCCTCTGCATACAAAAATGAAAATAAAAAAAAGAGTTAATTTCTTACTTTAATCTCCACAACTCTTGTATTTGTCTCTGAATTTATTTGCATTTTTGCAGAGCTAATTAACCATATTATTACATTTTTAGGCTTAGTTCGATGTATTTATTTGCCATACCCATACATGTAAATTGTCAAAGAATATTAAGATTAGGTAGAAGAGAAAGGCCAGCAAACAAAAGGCAGGCTTTTGGATATTGTGTTTTAAGTGTGGGACCTATAGAAACCACGGATTAATGGCCGAGCACTGGGCCATTTCGACATATCTCGGAGGTTTTGCGCCGGAAAAGTTGCAAGTTTAGTCCACTTGGTTATTCTTGCTGTGGGTTGCGAAGTTGGGGGACCTAACTCCACTGTGGCAGTCACCAGACGTTGACTGTCCATGATCAAGCTTTGACTGGCCAACTCATTGGATCGGAAAACTTTTCAGCGGTGATGACGGATGGATGGTAGGCTCAAGTCTTTTTCCGTTAGAGCAACTCCACCCCTATCCACTTTGCGCCAGCATCCAGCCCATTTATCCACTTAATTGAACAGTAACAGACTCAATGAACAGTAATAGGCCAAAGCATCTCCACCCCAAAAAAAAATGTGCTAGCACCTAGTCTAAAAATGCGCTGGCACAAACGATCTCCACCCCTACAAAATGCGCTGGCACCCAGTCCATTTAAAATATTAAATAATTTTTTTATAAAATAAAAAAAAAAAATAGTTTTAATTTCGGATAGGATTTTTAACCAATCTCGTCACGCCACGTGTCATTATCCGAACGTACTATTTTTTGAATAGATTTCCGCTAAGATTTTCAACCAATCCCGACAACCCACGTGTCACTTCCTGTTTACAATTATTTAGGCAAGATTTCGATAAGATTTTTAACCAATCTCGTCACACCACGTGTCATTATCCGAACGTACTATTTTTTGAATAGATTTCCGCTAAGATTTTCAACCAATCACGTAGTGCCACGTGGCATTGTCCAGAACCTCATCTTCTTCTTGTTTGTCCATATAAACCCTACATCCCTACATCCATCCTCACACTAAACTCAATCCTTTTTTTTAGCTCAGAATTCTTCTTTATCGTTTTCAAATCTTGAGTTCTTACAATGTCTTCTTCAAGGAGAGCGTATAAACAGTTGCAAGAGCAGCAGAAAAGGTTGTTGGCACAACAGGAAGAATTGGTCAATCTTGACCAAGATGGAGGTGGAGATGAGGTCTTCGCAATGGAGGAGGATGAGGATGATCACCATAGAAGGCGGAGGGCCTCACATTCCCGCCGTATCATGCAAGCTATGGGTCAGATAGCCAAACCCGGACGTGCGGCAAACATCGATAGAAGAAGGGAAAGACGAGGTAAAGATCTCTTGGAAGATTATTTTATTCCCAACAGCGTTTACCCTGATCATGTTTTTAGACGTCGTTTTAGAATGCAACGAAGTTTGTTCGCTAAAATCATGAGTGATGTTTGCAACCATGATCCATATTTTGTGCAAAAAGAGGATGTTTTTCATGTGCTAGGTCTTCTTCCTAAGCAAAAAATTACGGCTGCCTTGCGAATGCTTGCATATGGAGCATCTGCAGATCAAGTGGATGAGATCGCAAGGATGGGAAAAACAACAGTTCTGGAGTCCCTGATGCGGTTTTGCTCTGCAATTGAAGCCCTCTACACCAATGAGTACCTTCGGCAACCCACACCAAAGGACATGCGAAGGCTTCTGAGGAAGGGTGAGATGCGAGGCTTCCCTGGCATGATTGGAAGCATCGACTGCATGCACTGGACATGGAAAAACTGTCCAAGTGCGTGGCAAGGAGCTTATGGCGACAGAAAAGGAGCCAAAAGCATCATTTTGGAAGCGGTGGCTTCTTTTGATACATGGATTTGGCATGCTTTTTTTGGTGTTCCAGGAGCTCAGAATGACCTAAATGTCCTTGCCCAATCTCCAGTGTTTGACAAACTGCTACAAGGGCGTGGGCCGAGATGCACATATTGGGTTAATGGTACTAAATACGAGGGACCATACTACCTTGCAGATGGTATTTACCCAAGGTGGTCAACATTTGTCAAAACAGTGCCACACCCGCAGAGTGAAAAAGATAAACACTTCGCTAAGTGTCAAGAAGGGTGTAGGAAGGATGTCGAGCGTTGTTTTGGTATCCTGCAAGCTCGTTGGGCCATTGTCAGGGGTACAGCTAGAATGTTTGATGTCGAGGCTCTTCGATCCATCATGATGACGTGTATTATTCTCCACAACATGATTGTTGAAGACGAGTATGATTATGATGCCGTCGATGAATACGAGCCGGATCCGATGAACAACTCAAGAACACAAATCTACTATGCTCATGACCGGACCGAAGATCCCGTGCAACACGAGCCGTTGGAACGGGATGGACGTTACAATGAATTGATCGTTCAACGATACACTTCATTGCAAGAGCCATACTGGCACATAGCCCGCCAGAATGACTTGATTGACCATCAGTGGAGATTGCACGAAGGCGAAGATAATTAAAATAAGGCTTGTGGTTGAAGAATAAAGTGTATTGTTTTTTAAGTAATCTTATTTAGTGTGTTTGCTTTTTTTTTTAAGTTTAAATGGTGAGGTTATGTAATTTTATTTGGTGTTTTAAGTTTAAATGGTGAGGTTATGTAATTTTAAATTTAAATGATGTTTTAAGTTTAAATGGTGTTTTATGTAATTTTATTTGGTGTTTTAAGTTTAAATGGTTTTTTTTTTAAGTTTAAATGGTTAGGTTATGTAATTTTAAGTTTAAATTAAATAAAGTTCTAAAAGTAAAGAAGAAATTACATAAGAAATTAAATAAAGTTCTAAAAGTAAATAAGAAATTACATAAGGAATTAAATAAAGTTCTAAAAATAAATAAGAAATTACATAAGAAATTAAATAAAGTTCTAAAAATAAATAAGAAATTACATAAGAAATTAAATAAAGTAGTACAAATAAATGCGAAATTATACAAAGTCTGTGGAGTTAGGATATGTGGTGCTAGGATCTTGGTTGCTAGGATTTCTGTAGCTGGAACCCCCTTGACTTGTTTCGGCATCTCTTGCACGCCTCCTTCGCACGACATCTCTTTTTTCTGATGTCCAAAAATATTTTGAATTCGGAGACAGTCCTACTAGAGACTTGTTCATAGTGTCACGATCTGTTTGAGCCATCCTTTCTTCTCTAAGCATCTCATTCTTTTGATGAAGTGCTTCTCTAATCATCTCGTTCTCTCGATTAACTATTTCTCTTTGTCTCTCAGACGCCGCATCACGAGCCTCAGTAGCTGCAATAATTGCTACCACAGCAGCAGCTTTTTCCTTATCTCTAGCCTTTTCCCATGCCATGTTCATTTCACCTTGACGAGTAAGTTCCTCCATATATTTAGTATAGTCATTTTTGGAAGAACTACCTTTTTTCTTTGATGCCTTTTTACCTTGAGGCCTGAGGGACTGACGAGTCGGTTGGGTCTCTGGCACTTGTTCAGGCATCCCTTCCGTGTCTTCAAATGTGTTGGCTTCTTGTTCGGCTGTGTCTGCTTCTGGCGAACTGTGTAGACCCATACCGTGCATGACAACTTCTGGACCGGTTGCCACAATTTTGTATCTAGGGCAATCTTTGACAATTTGCCAACATTCCCATTTGTTGAATGATTTGTTATGGTTCTTTGCATTGTAGAATGCTTGTGCTTGTAGTGTCTATAAAAATTACATAAAAATTACATAAGAATTGTGGAATGCATAAAAATTATATAAAAATTACATAAAAATTACATAAGTATTTGGAATGCATATTACATAAAAATTACATAAGAAATTAAATAAATTAAAATATTGATGTGGGTGGAATGCATATAAATAAATAAAAATATTGTTACCTCATCCGCTAAACTTGTCCCACTACGCAAATTACCAGAAGCATGAGAGAGGGCGTTTTTCCAACAAGTAAAGGATGCGTTGAGTTTTTTCCAACGACCTTGAAGACCTTGACTAGATCTGGCATCTTTTCCATGTACATCTTTTCCATGTACATCGTTGAACAATTTCGTAATTTTACTCCACATTTCTCGCTTATCCATCTCATTACCCATAATCGGGTCATGAGTAGTGCGAACCCAACATTCACACAACGTAACATCTTCACTGAGCTTCCACGAAGTCATTTTTTTCTCTCAAAGTGTACAAAATATTCAAATGTAGAAAGTGTAGAAAATATTGAAATGTGGTGTAAGGTGGAAGATGAGGGTTAGGTATTTATAGGAAAAAAAAATTAATTTTTTAAAATTTTTCTATATTTTTTTAAAAATTTTTGACATTTTTTAATTAATTTTTAATAATTTTTAATGTTGTAATTAATCGGGACCGTTGGATTTGAAAAATAATCAAATCCAACAGCACTCATTACGCCACGTGGCCAACGGTCAAATTTCTGACCGTTGGGCCTTTTTTTTTTTTTTTTTTTTAAATTTTTGGTGAAATAAACGTGGACCGTTGATCTGTGATCGGACGGTCCAATTTAAAATTGAAATTGAAATTTTTTTTACCGTTGGAAATCCAACGGCCTAAAAAACTAGCCGTTGGAAATCCAACGGCTCTGAGGAGGCCACGTATCATTCACCCCGGACGACTGCAAGTGGGCCTGCACGCGGGCCCCAGCGCCTGCACAGCCTGTCGGCTACGCGCCCCGGGCACCACGTGTGTTGCACGCGCCAGAAACAGACCGAGGAATGGGTCTGTCCATTTTGGGCTGGGCTGTTGACTGGCACGGGCTGGGTGCCAGTCAATTGCACGGGCTGGAGCACATTCACTTGGTGCCAGTCCATTTTCTTCACTTGGTGCCAGTCCATTGGGCATGGGCTGGAGTTGCTCTTATGTGTCATAGGTCCCGCTACAACATCGGAACCCTTGTGGCCACGTCATACAACAACATAGTCAAATCCCATCATGCAGGACAGGAGTCAAAATTTGCCCTCTATAGCCGATATATTCTCCAATATGAATAGAGCTACGTACAATAATAACCCTTTTATTAAAGAATCTATCAACAATACTTTTGTAACACTAAACCTAGCTATTACGGGTTGGAATTCTCTGCGTTCTCTAATGAATGCTTGCTCCGGGTGCCGCCCCACCACGCTCACACTATCGTCTTCCGACCTTCGGTTGCCTAAAGTTGAAACCAAGTCCTCTTAGATAGAGATAGAAGAGAGTCAAATAGAGAGAAAATGGCGGAAAAACAAGAACATGAAAAAGCAAAAAAAAAAAGAAATAAAGTTATTTAACTCCCAACCGTTTTGATGTTCGGCTGAACAGACAAGATTGAAGAGTCTAGATGGAAGGAATCCGGAGAGGTGAGGATCCTATTCCAGTCATTACGAAAGAGAGGAAGAGAGTGGAGCCCACGTGCTATGTCTTGTGGTTCGGGCTGTGTTTTGGACGAGCGGGCCCGAAGTGCGCGCATGGCTGGACCCTCTACGTTAATGTATTGGGTTAGCATAGAGTTGGGTTGGGCGGATGTTATGGGAATTATACTAAATTTGTAGTGGATCAGCCTGAAGCATATGATATCTTTCTTGGATTAGTGTCGTAACGTCTTGTAGGAACTAACAACTTTCACTCACCTATCTAAGTGTTAATTTTTGGCAGATGAAGTCTCCATATTAAGAGCATCTGTGATATCCTGTCCCCAAAATTATTATTTTATTTTATTCTTGACGTATTTCGAAGATTTGATTGGAATTAGTTCTTTATTTCTCCAAATTTAAGAAAACGAAGTGAGGGGTACTTTAGTCATTTCCAATTTTCTCGACCTTTTCGGTCAACTCTTGATTGGTTAGGTAAAGTTCGATTCCATGAGCGCGTAGGCGTAAACAGATCTTATTTCCGAGTCCGAACGGAGAAGTTAGAGTCGTTTAAAGTTGGTGGCATTTTGGTAATATTACCAAAATGCTATAATTTAAATGGGAGGAAACCTCCAGGAAAAAAAGGGGAGAATTTTTCGGAAAAATGGGGGGAAGAGCTGCCTAACCCGTTTTTAGAGAGAAATTGACCCATAAACCCACAAAACTTGACCCGCTTGTATATTTTTCATTCGAACTCCGTTTTGGATGATCTTGGTGTCCATGGAAAGCTATTGACGAGCCCTACATCTCTGTGATGTTAGATTTTCCCTTTTCATTTCCATCCTTACAGTTCGAGGTCTCAAAGTTCACGACTTTTCCGGCGGTTTTATCATTTTTCCGGCGATTCCGGCAATGATTTCCTTCGAGTGAGGTATGAAACTTCATCTACTCTTCATAATCTTCAAGTGGGTATGCTTAGTTTGTGCTTTCGTATTCGTTTTAGAGTTGGGTGTTTAGAACACCTAGAAATCCGGTTTTCTCCGGTGAAATTGGACGGTTTCCGGTTAGAATTTATCGTCGGCCTAGTTGCGAAATGTGTTTCCCTTGTTGAGCTCTAGCTACCACGTAAATTTGAGCTCCTCTAGTTAATGTTGAAATTCGGGGTTTGTAAACCCTCTATCTTGACTTCCACCGCGTGTGGCGGTGCGTGGGATCGTTCACGAGTGTTGTCTAGGTTTTAAATACCTTCCAGTGACCATGTGAACCTATGTCTAGCTTGGTTTCCAAAGATTCAATTGTTGGGTGTGTAGATCAAATTTCTTGATCAAGGGTTTGGTTCAAAAGGTCAATTTCTTGTTAATTTTGAGTCATGTTAGTTTTGGATGTTGTGTACATGACTTCTGGACTACCTGGAAGTATTTTGGGATTTGTTATATGAATTGGAAGTGGGTTGTTACGTAAGTTGTAGAAAATTGATTTCTTTGCAAATAAAACTCAAGTTTCGAGTAGCCTTCTTTGGCTCTTAATTTCTAGGCCTTTATGTGCTCCTTTGGAGAAAATTTTTACTGTGTTGAAAGTACATATGCTCATGATCGTAACCCAATTGTTTTCACTCAATTTCGTTGAGTTTTGGTTGATCAAAACCTTCTTTAAGTTTGGGTCGCGGGCTGCCAAACAGCAGCAGAAAATTGGGTTTCCAATGTCAAGACTCCGTTTTTCCTTTTGGCATAACTTCCAATTTACAGCTCCGTTTTCTACAAACTTTGTATGCTTTTAAAGTACAGAACACAAGCTTCAAAACCCATATAATATCACATGATTTGGTTTAGTTTGGAATGTTCCAAAGGGAGCCTAAACTTGGTCTAATAGTGCTGTTTTCTGCAGATTTTGTGGAGAAGTAGAGTACTTTTTTTTGCCACACCTATTTTCTTTTCCAGATTCCTTTCTAATCTTCTTCACTACTACTTGAGTGATATTATTTAAGTGGTAGATTCCATAATCAGTGTACTTTCTTTAGATAATATTAATTTTGTTCCTTTGAAGAGCCTAATCGGAACACAAAAGTACAATCTAGAGTATAAATACAAGTAGCACACATTACTAACCAAACTAAGCTATTAAAATGTGATTCTTTTATAATTGGCCATCGATCTATTTTTATTAAATGTGGTTTGATTATGGATGGGTAATATTTGTGGGAAAGTGATTTGAATTGCATATTGAAATGTGAATTATATATACATACGCCATAGACCCATGTTAATTAAATGTGAATTCTATTGAAGTGTTATTTTATTTCTGGCCAATGATCTATTTTCAGTAAGTATGATTTGACTTGTGGATTGGAAATATGGTTTGTATTGTATGATTGGATTGATGTGATGAAATGCGAGAGCTAGTAGTGGACCATTAATCCATTGTTATGGAGTTCGTTGCTTCGAAACATGTTTCAACCCTCGTGTCATTATTCATTCTCGTTTCGTTGAGTCTTTGTATCTTAAGTAACTTGATCCATGTCTTGTTTTATCGATTGGTGTTACACATTCTACTCCGCGATTTCGTTGAGTGATGGTCCGGAATCGTATCCTGGTTTGGATTCCGTTGAGTGATGATCCGGAATCCTTCCTACTTCACTCCGCGATTCCGTTGAGTGACGGTCCGGAATCGTATCTTGGTTTGGGTTCCGTTGAGTGATGGTCCGGAATCCCTCTTACTACGCGATCTCGTTGAGTGATGGTCCGGGATTATATCCACCTTAGTTCATGGAGTTTAGTTTGAGATGGTTGCAAAGTGTAGGCTTTGGATGAACAGTGTCGCCTAATTCTACTTTCATTGTGTGTATGTGAATATGGGTGGGAGATGTTATGGTCGTTTGAAATAAACTTTTGGATGTCTGGGTGCCTCCCTTGGAGTTTTCAAAAGTTTGGTATTGATTTCCTATGAAAGATTTATATTCAAGGTTTATGAATTATGATTGATGGCTGGGTTTATTATTGTATCACATGCTTATTTTATTGTCCCTCACCCGAGCCTCTCAGCTTATCTGAGTGCTTGAATTGCCAATGCACCAATTCCATAATATTGGCATTAACTTTACATATGACAGGTCTGGGTAGATTATGAGAAACCGCTTGATATTTTGGTTCCGTTGAGTGGTCCGGAACCCAATGTTGTTGGATTCCGTTGAGTGATCCGGAATCCTTGCCCTTGTTCATTCCGTAAGGTGATCTTAGAATCCTAAATTCGAATAGATGGGAATTACCCACAATAGATATTGTGAAAATAAATTAGAATTACCATGTTATTATTCTTAACCCAAGTTGGGAATTATGTAGAGTTCTTTAATTAAATTCGTGAAATGATAGGTCATCTCACTGATTGATTAACGTAATTAAATGTTAATATTGTACTTCGTGATTCCGTGATATGTTATAAGCTATATATTGAAATATAATGTTGGAAGTATAGTGATTAGCATGATGAAGTAAAATGTGATTTGACTTGTGTATTGGAAATGGTTGTGACATGTGATTGAAAACGCATATTGAATTGCTTGGGAGATGTGAGGTCTAGTAAATGACCAATGACCCATTGTGATGTGGTTTTTGCTCAGTATTGTTTCGTTTCGTTGAGTTTTGTGAATTGGGTAACTTGAATCATGTCTTGTTCCTTCGAGCCGTTGTAATGTTTCTTGGACTTCCGTTCAATTCGGTTAGGTGGATTGGAACTGAGTTCTACTTGGATTTCGTTGAGCGATGGTCCGGAATCCCCTTTGGAGCCTTGGTCTGTTGGGTGGTCCAAAATCCCTTTTTCCAAAGATGTAGTCTTCAACTGAATTGTGTTGCTCTAGCCTTGCGTTCGACTTGTGGTATGTGTTATTGATTGATGTGATTATGGAATGACATTGGATGTGAGTGGAGTTATCATGAGTATTTTAGTTGATTAATATTTCTAAAGAATAATATGTACTTTGTTAATTCTTAAATATGTTACACGCTATGAAACGCGAATTTATGTGGGAAACGTGATGAGTTATGTGATGGATGAAGTGGAAATGTTAATCGTCATGTAGGATTGTTATGTTGGATATCATTATTATTGTTATGTTTAGACTTGTTGATAAATTTGGCTCGAGAATGGTATGGTACATCGTTGGTTCTTTGAAATGATATATGTTGTGAATTGCAGTATCATGTTGTGACATAATTGCCTATATATTGATGGAGGGGAAATCATGATTTTCAGATGGGTTGTTATGTAACCCTGAGTCAAGTAATTTCATGCTTGTCGAGTTCTATTGATTGATTGAAAAACATTATACCTTTCGACTTAATTGGACTGTGTTATATGTCAATTATTGTGCATGACGAACTACGAATGGCTTGATCCATGTTTAGGGTACGTAGGCAGTCTAACGGGGAGGTTAGATGCAGCCATAAAGCATACGAAAAATAACTATGTGATTCGATTATTGAGTTGTGCTAGCCTATATCCCGGAGGTGAGATATAATAGATACGGATTTTTGGTGACGTCACGTGTCAATTCTGGACGTATGTCGGGATTGGGGCGTGACAGCATCTCTAACAACAATTACTACGGGTGGCTCAATGGTTGCAACAAATTCTAGGACCGTATTCCACAAAGCTCAATCTTAGTTTGATTCCCAACATTGTTGAATCACACAATAATGGTTAGGAGAAGGTTGAAATGCTTATGTAAGTCTTTTTGACTTTCAAAATAGTGGAATGTCGAGCATTTTTAACAGCCTAGTTAAATAAGGCCCTTTGGCCACCTTAACAAAAAATATAGAAAAATACAAACTTCAACAAGCTAGCTAACACCATCTCCAAAGGAGATGTCAAATTATGGAATGTCATGCAATCAAATTTAAAGGTAGGAAAAAAACTCTAACACATAAATTGACATATGAATTTTCTGTTACAAAATTTGACATGTGAGAAAAGTGATGTCGAATAAAATTTTAATTATTTTATTGTGAGCGTTCCATTAATGCACCAATAATAGATATTAAAAACTTATTTTAATTAATTTCTTTTTAAAGATGAGTCTTACCAATATCATTTGTAACAAAAAAAAAAAAAAGAGTTTGAAGAAGAAAAAAAAAATCCGACATTATCACATATTAATCTTTAACATTTATTTTCTACGGCTCTAAATGACTATTTGTCTATAAACTTTCTATAAATATAACACCTAGATTTACCCGCGAGTTAATCTCCCATGTAAACTCTGGTCAATGTGAAGGGTCCCAGAAAGTGAGGCGACCCTTCCTACTCCCGACTTCCGCCACTCACTCTTCATCCGCCAATCAATGCCCGCCACCTCACATAAAATCTCCACAGAAACCTTCTCTCATTCGTTGGAGTTTCCAACTGCGAGTCTCCCCGAAACAGAGGACTCAGATTCTCTTGTTCTTACAGGGTCCACTTTTACTGACAAAAAACTCAGATACTATTTACTCAGTGACAGCATTCGAAATCCAAATCTCACTTTTTTTTTTTTTTTTTTTTTTTGGTTAAATGTTCTCTTCGTCCCGAGAAAATTAGAAAAATAGAAGGCAATTGCTTCCCGAATAAAACAATTTGAATTATCTTTCTACTATTTCTGCCGGAGAAAATATCCAAAAGAAGCAAGATCGCGTCTTAGTCTCTTAGGGTTTTCTCCTCGCCTAAAACCCTAATCAGACACGTAAAGGGCAAAGCAACAAAGCTCTCCCCTTTGCCCGATCCTTGTCTTCCTTCCGGTATGTGTCCTGATTAATCTGATAATTGCGGAATTATTTAGCCATTTTCTATCTTTGTTATTTCTTGAAATGAACAATTATCCAGCTCTAGTGCGTTGATAAAATGAGCTAATTATTGGGGGATTATCATATTGTGATTATTGGGTTTTTATTTTATTTTATTATTATTATTTTATTTTTTATGGTGGTCAGGAAGTAAACAGAGTATTGGAGTGGAAGCGTTTTGGTGTTGAGTGGGTTGAATTGGTGTGGAAAGTTTGAGCTTTTTTCAAATGCCGGAGGAGGACCTGGTGGAGCTCAAGTTCCGTCTGTATGATGGATCGGATATCGGCCCGTTCCGCTACTCGCCTGCGTCCACCGTGGCAATGCTCAAGGAGAGAATCGTGGCCGAGTGGCCAAAAGGTCAGTGACCTCCACTTTCCATTTGATGATTTTTTGCGAGTTTTGTTTTTTAAGTAGTGAATGCCACTTTCATGGATGTTATGTTTATTGAATCCTCGTCGTTTGTCGATGACCAGAATACAAAAGTTTCATCATTTGGATATTTCTTGGTCATGGAATGGGAATTTATTAGAGACCAACCCTTTTCATCTGCAGATTTTGCTCAAGTTTTCGTAATTTTTGTTGAGATTAAACCCAACAGTAGGGATTGAGTGCTGTTAAACACTCTTCAAATATGCGGTGTTAGAAGTTGACATAGTTGTCCTGTTTCAATGTCAATTGGGTTCCCTTGATTCCAAGCGATCAAGTTATGAATCATAGCACATTAGGATGTTTCGATATACAATATCTTCGTTGAACAAAAATACTTCTGTAGTTTCTGGTAACTTCTTTGTTTCAGGTGTTTTGTATTTCAGCCATTCTGGTATTCAGATTAAACGCTGTGTTCAAACTTCGGAAATATATTGCCACAGTACCACTTGCTTTCTTTCTAGGCATGTGGGAAGGGAGAATATAAAAGTCCAAATAAGATATTAATGATGGAAAGGTAGTGATTTGTTTCTTGTAGACCAAAGAAGTCACTTTATGTGAAGAAGAAGATATGAATGGAAGGATCTGCTTGAATTATTTTTGAAATAGGAGCATTTTTTAGCAGTTAGAACCTACCGCCAAACAGTGGACCCAGATAATGGTGCCTGTGAAAACCACTTATAGGATTATCCTGCATGACATCTCTGTTGGGCCGAATAATTAGTCCGACAGACTTTGTCTACAAAAGTGATCAGATCACGATTGTGCAACTTCTCTTGATCTTCATGCTTATGAAGGCAATGTTTCTTTTGGGCTTATTTTGACAATTTGTGATAAGGATCTGTTTAATTCTGTATTATGTCCTTTTGTACTCGCTCTCTTTCTTTAGGATACCTGAGATCGATGCAACTAAAAGACATGCTCTGGGATCCTTTGTGTTACTAGTTTAGTATGTAAACCAAACTTATAGTTATTATTGGTGTGCCTTTTCTTGTTGCTTCGTTCTAGTACCAGTAGGTGGTTTGAGGCGGTAGTGGACTTGTCTGCATTTCACTTGGGCATTCCTCGCACACATGAACTTTAAATGTTTAACCATGCTGTTTGTGAAAATATCTCGATGGTTATCTTGTAAAAGTTATAGGTGTAAGTTATCTCCTCAGTCTAAGCCTATATCACACCAAGGTGGATGAATCTCTAAAATATGGTGTTCAAAATCTTATAGCAAAATTTTTTCTTTTTTCAAAATTTGCTAAGAAGTTTCTCTCTCTGATGTTAAAATGTTACAAATTCTGCTACCTTATGGCTTTCAGATAGTGAACTATATTGAGCAGGAGTGAGGAGGAACCTTCGTTACATTACACTTGTCCCTTTTTTCTTATTTTTATCATTTTCTTGTGCTTCTTAACTTTAATCTGCTCATCATTTTTATTTTCTAAAATTATTAAAATGCCATGATATTAGATAAAAAGATTGCACCAAAAGGAGCAAACGACATAAAATTGATAAATGCTGGGAAGATTTTGGAAAACAACAAGACTGTTGCCCTGTGCAGAGCACCATTTGGAGAGCTTCCAAGCGGGATTATCACCATGCATGTTGTTGTTCGGCCTGCTATAGCAAAACCAAAAACAGGTAGTTTTCATCCTAGATTGTTTAATGTGATATCTATTTTGATGTGAAATTGGTACTTTGCGTACATGTTTATGCCTGTTTGGTCAGATTTCTTACTATTACATGACTTAAGCTAGCAGCCAATTTTTTTTGTTTCTTCCCTGTTCATGGCTGGTCTGTTACTGGTTAGCGGTACTTTCTACTTCCCTTGATCTTATTTAATGCGACAAACTTGAAGTGGACTTTTGTTTTCCTCGCACTACCAAAGCATGGGTAGTATCAACTACTCTCATTGCTAATTCTTTTTCGGGCAATCATGGGAACCTTAGAGGATTATCCTCGCTCAACATCATGCAGAAAACTTATGATTCCATTTTCTTTGATGTATTACGATGGTGCTAGAATTCTAGTGAGATCAATTATGTGTTAAAGGTTGACTCTTGCGTAACTTGTGACTCGCATTACAGATTTGTTGATATCAGCTTCATTTGCTGAATGATAGTTTGTTTCTCTTTTCATGAACAGAGAAGAAAGTTGATGAGGTCCCAAGGAAAAACATGTGTTCATGTTCAATATTGTAAGGCGGCGAGTCATGGTGGTGAGTATGGTGAAGACTTTGAGGCTGCCTTGGGGTGGCTGAGGTCTGCTGGAACGTGGAAAAAAGTAGCTGGAGAGAAAATAATTTGTACCACAGTCCAATCCCCCATCGGCACGTGTTTGTTGGAGGGAATTCCTGTGTAACGGTGCATTTTAGTGATGTACTTTGTGTCTTATAAAAACGGGTGCGTGATTGGTGTATTTTTATAGCTTTAGTATCTATATTTTACGAAATCATTACAATGCTTATGTGAATCGAATGGTCTCTCTGTTTATACTTCAATTCCTATTGAAATGGTGCGATGCCATGGCAGTGTGTTGCGATACTTGTCGGTCCATCCGATCGCTGTTTTCCGTATGTTCTACATTTGCGGGTGCAAGAGAAGGCTGTGCAAATTCGATTCTTTTATGCTTTCTTACGCGTGGAAGCATTGTTTACAGTTGGTTTACGCAGCAATTATTGGTCGTTCGGGCAAATACTGCAATGATGCCGACTGATAAGTAACAAGTCTTGGTCGCAAAATTGAGGCATGCCAAGAACTTGGAACAATGCTCTCAATCTTTTATGAATACTCACAAGCATTCAGTGTTGACATATATTTGATCATTGAATTTGATCCAACAGTTTTTAACCACTTAATTTAATAGAAATATGTATCGACACTAAATGTGTGCATGTAGGACTAAGAAAAGGGTGCATATAACTAAAATAAGGCGTGGCTACCCTAATAGTAATATTATAAGGTGGTGCTATCCATACACCCAATTTTATTTTTCACACATTCCTTGTTAATTTTTGTCATTTGATATTTTTCAATTCATTTGATCCGACGGCCGAAAATTGAGAGAGTGTAAAAGATAAAAATGAGCATGTGTGGATAGCAACATCCATATAAACCTATTTGTAACTCCAAATATTATATAGGTAAACAATGTACGACGGTGGGGAAAAGAATATAGCTGAGGGAAAAAAATAAGACTATTTTGCCTCCAATTTAAATAAGTTTTGCACATTCTTTTTTGAGTGTGACAGATGTAGTGGATTATCCGGCTAGCTAATATAGTGAACCAGTTAGGGATAAATAATTAATTTGATAATTTAGTATGCTTTGCATTGTTTATACCAAATATTATCTTACACGAAATGAATAATAAAAAGGTAATGCTAGGTTGGTCAACTATTTAAATTAAACTTTGTAAGCTATATGACGTGGTTGTTGATGATTGAACTATTACTTAAGCGTTGATTAACTTTCTCATCTATTAATGACACATCACATGATTTATAAATTTAATCTAAAAATTGATCTGCCTAACATTGCTCATAATAAAATCCCTTCTTGAACGCACCTTACCACCAATTGTTTATTATCAGATCTCTAGTCCAGTGGTTACGACACAATGCTGGACGAAAATCAGATACTCAACTCGAGCCTGTATTGAGCAACAAACAAAATTAATCAAACAATTATTTAATTTTCTCCTCATTAATCAAGAGAAATAATAATATTGTATACATAAATAAGTTAATGGAATCAATCAATATTGACTTTATATTCTTAAGAACATTCTCTACCCAGCAAATCGTTGTTTTCTCCAACCTTGTTCTTCTTTGGATTTTTTGCATGGATCTTCTTAATTAGACAAATAATATTATCTAAACAAAAAAAAGGAAATCTGATCCAATTTAGAAAGAAAAACAAATTAGCAGGCACGTACGTGTACGTAAAAGCAAAAAAATCAGCATCTCCATGCAGAAGCAGCCATAATAGACCTGTCTTGCCACCCCAAGAGCAAGCAACCTTTGTCTTCCGTCATCCTATACCCGTCGCAAGAATACAACCCTAGCAAAATCTTCGACTGAGTCACCGCGTTCGCACTCAGCGGCACGCTCTTAAACCCTTTACTCTCCATCACCTTCCTCCACTTTTCCAACCTCTCGTGCCTCTCCGTCCGCTCCGCCCCTTCACAAGCCACGATGTTGCGTATCTCCGGCGCAAATATGTACTGCTCCACCTTCGCCCTCTGTGCCGAGTCCGGTGGGAATGTCGCGTCCAACGAGTCAAAAATCGCCGAGTAGTAATGTAAAGCCTCGAGAAACCTACCCAAAAAATAGGGCCCGTTATGACTTGCTTCTTGTTCCACCAATGTCACAATGTTGGGTGCTTGGTCACGGATCATGGCTAGCAAGTTCCCTAGGCAATTGACCGGAACTCGGTGGAGTCGATTAACGGTGTTCACAGCCAGCGCTTCGCCAATCCTCCGGTTGAACATGTGTGGCTTGAGATCTTCCAGTTGCTCCCCAACTGCATGGAACTCAAATGGGACGTGAAGAGAGAGGGCTAATTCGGTCAAACACCGGCCTGTCTCTTTCACTGCCTCTATGCAGGGGCCCACCCCTGTTATGCGTAGAAAGGGAGCCCCGCCTGGGCGGGCAGCCAAGGCCTGCATGAAAGCCGGCCACTGATATCCTTGAAGAATATCTAGGTCGATGACGTGTACACGTTCTTCGGACTCGAAAGCCTCGAAGATGGCTTGGTTGGCGGTGAAGTGTGCGAATTTGATGTAGGGGCAGGCTTGGTAGACTATTTGGTAAATTTTGAGGATTTCAAAGGAGTTTGGAGGGAAAGGAGAGAAGGGTTTCGGGGCGGAACCGCTAGGGGTTGTGGTTAGAGTGGCGGCCAGGCGTGCGCTTAGGGCTTCTGTGAAGCAAGAAGCGACACGCTGCATGGAATCGCCGAGTGGCATCACCACTCGGTTCAGGTGGTGGAGGTACCTTCTTGCTAACATGTAGTCTTCTTTTGCAACCGCCTCAGCGCAGGCAAGAAGGAGGTGTACTAGTTGGAGCCCGCCATCTTGTTCCTGCATATTCATTCGTGCATGGAATATTTATTAATGAGAGGAGTTAGGGTTGCTACATGTACCATATTTTTGAACACATTATGCGAAAATGCTGCATATAATTTAATTGTGAAAAGCATCAGAATAATTGAGGACGTGGCAATTTGTGATCTTATCAATAATATTAAGTTAAGAAGTTTGTTCCACAGTAATTTTTTTTTTTCCTTGCATCTGCCTTTACAATTCACACAATTACATAGTATTATTAATTCAGATATTATTGTACAAGTCTTCATTTAATGAATAAATTCACATATTAAACACATTAAAATTGCTAATATCAGGCATGATAATGTGACAATACCATACTCAAAAGCTTCTCCAGCAATAATTGTGTCCTCAAATATGTTGACCGACTTGCATACATTATATCTCATGGTACATATCTTTTTTTTCGGTAACAATCTCATGGTAAATATCTTACTTGTTCTTTAAATATATGAATGTCGGCCTCAAATTTGAGTAAATTCCACACGAGCAAAATTTGGTGACCCTAAGATCTATATAGTCAAAGGTAGTTTTTGGCCAATATGTATAGTCAAAGTTAATTTACCCATAATGAATCTTCTGCTCGTTTATATCAAACAATTAAGTAAGATGGGTGCACGTACAGCATTTAAATGATTCAGATAGAAAAATTCACCTGCTCATGTGCCATAGGCGGCATCATATTGTAATGAAGGTTCTGTTGGTGTTGGTGGTGTTTGTGCGGCTGCATGAGCGGCTGTTGCTGCTTCTCTTGCATGCGTTCTTGTTGCAATTGTTGTGAAAGTGGCGCGCCGCCCATCTGCTGATAGCCACTACCCCTGCTGCTCTCTTGGGTCAACTGAGAATTACCAGCGGTAACCAACGATTCTTCGCTCTCCGATCTGCTAAACCTCGCAGAGTTATGCATCGGCATGCAGTCCAACATGGTGGATGGAACTGTCGATGATGCTGGCAAGTGATCGTGATGATTGTAAGACTGCGACGAGCTTCCTGACATCCTGGACGATGTTGTTGTCGGGTAGGCCGCTATGAATCCGTCACGTTGATAATCGTCCAAGAAGTCTTCGATGGAAACAGGGAGTGACTGCATGTTCTGATCAGCGGGCTGCATGTATTGGTTGACAGGAGAGTTGAAAACCCTACGGAGCGGGCTGAGTCCCTTGCCCTTAGGGTTGTGCGTGCTGCTGAACGCTCCGATATGCGGCGAAAATCTAGGGGGAGAGCAGCCCGACAGACTCTGCCCTTGCATGGACTGAGCGTAGTTGTAATTGTAATTCTGATGAATTGCCGAACCACCGTTTTGGGGCGAGTTCGGCATGTTGTTTGGGACGGGCGATAAGACCATGAAATCTGTATCGAATTGTTCGGAGAACAAAGAATCCCAGATGGAATGGTCGGGAGATTGGACTTCAACATCGTCTACCTCGAACTTGAGCGTCGGAAAGTTGAGGCTCGGTGGAGTTAAGCTGCTTTGCTGATCCAACTCGGAGGATGGAGGGGTTGTGGTTTTCTTACATTCTGAGATGGACATAGACATCGTCGTGGATTCCGTCGGAGACGGCGGTTTGAGGTCCGAGGTGCATGAGTTCTCACTCTTGACAGACCCCATGCTCCCAGAAAGAGTATTGATCATCATGGTGATTGATACCAATTGATCCTTGTAGCTAGCTACCTACCAGGCTACCACCCAAATAATAACAGCGAACTATCAAGGCGATACTCAATAGTTGGTTCGAAAGGATAATCAGCCAAAATAAAACTGAGACGCGACCCAATAATACTGATGAAAAATATGTGTACGATGTCAGAGTAATTAACTAGGGTCTACAGTGGCTAATAAGCTCTCATTAAGGTAGTGATTGAGCTTTTAGACTAATTAGCTAGGCGTAGAGGAGGAGTTTGGTTTTGGTATAGAGAAAAAGCAGAAACTCTTTTTTCTCTCTACTTATTTGTTTGGAGGGAGGGCTTGGGATTTGTCTGTTGGCCCAAGATTTTGTGTAGGAAAGGGTTAAGAGATTTAGGGACAAAAATATTAAAACGAATTGGTTGTGTTTGTAGGTTATGATTTCATGACATCCATTTCATCTCCATTGTACTAAGCAATAAGCATAGTTGTTTTCTAGGGCATTATTTTGTCGTCTTTTGTACCTGATTTAACTGTACGTTCACTGGCCATGACCTTGGAGAGCACAAGAGACAAATTCAGTTTGTTCGGGTCCCACCTTTCTTGGGCCGGCCCAGCTGAGAACAAGGAGGGTTGGAATAATGGTGACAGATCTTCTTCAAATTGTTATTTTTATTTTATTTAAATTAATATTTTTCACTCTTCATTAGCTGTGAATTTGGGATTGGCAATTGGTTGGACGAGAATTACAAATGGGGGAAATAGAAAATAAAAATAAGAAAAAAAAGGAAAGGACAAAGGGCTTTTTAATCATCGCAATTGCGAAAAGGACATGAAAAATAGATATTGATATTGACAAAGAGATACCGAGACATATTATATGTCTCTCTCACTATCTTTAGACTTTTTGAGGCAAATGGGTACAAAATTTGGGTAGCTAGAGGCTCAAGGAAATGGTCCAATTGTAAAAGAGGAGTATGGGATGATTTGCATGTTAAAATGTAGGTGCCAACGTTCTCGTTAGTCTACTCTTCTGAGATTATTAAGATCAATAAGACAATTTTAATTTTGTTACATGGTAAAATCAAACTTTGGTGTCAATTACTGAAAACTTACGCATAAAACTTGTCCTTAAAAACCGAGTAGAAGCCAAGTGCCCAAATGCTCTTGAACCACTCTACGCCATTTTTCCATGTTCATAAAAAGAAACTTGCATTTTACCTATGAGATTATAGTATTTGGTTGCCAACTTGCCAATAAGGGAAAAGTGAGGAGGTTAGGGAAAGACAAAGGGATGATTTGAGAGAGAGAAGTGTAGGAATTAAGGCAATTAAATTAAGTAGTGGGAAGACGCGTGCGAGAGAGGGGAGGGAGAAAGAGGCCAACAAGGGGGCATAGGCAAAGTCGTCGGATGTGGCGTCGGTGGCGCCGCCTAAGCCTTGGATTTGCCAAAGGAATGAAGTGCTTGTCTCAACTCTCCGTCCCTTTTCCTCTCTTTTGCCCTTTCAAGGCGGCAAACTCCTCTCTGTCTCTCTCCATTTTTATCAATTTTATATCATCATCATCAATATTGTTTGCATTCTTGCTTTAATTCAATACATAATTCAAATCAATGTAGTTAATAATTAAACATGCATACAAGTCAGCTGTATCTTGGGGTGGATCCAGATTTCGAACTTTAAGGGTTCAGTGTTACAAAATTTTTAAATAGAAACAGATCGTGAAGAGCAAATTTTTTTTTAGGTTTATTCACTAAGGCATTTCGTCGAACATTTGGTGAGCTTGTTGTCGTCATTCAAATCATGTTACACACATGTCAATGGATATCGACATATGCCGAAGCAATATGATGAATAATATAGAGAAGATTTGTTGAGTGTCATTGATGCAACCTATTGAGATATGTCTAACAGACAACTAGGGATGTGCAATGGTTATGGCGGACGGGTAACCGCGGTTATTTACCCATAACCATTTATGTTCATACCCGCATAACCGTTTATCCGTTGGGTAATTGCATAAACGGTTATCCCATACCCATAACCGTTTATAAACGGTTAACCATACTCATAACCGTGTACCCATTTAACCATAACTGTTTACCCATTTAACCATAACTGTTTACCCATTTAACCATAACCATTTACCCGTTTACCCATTTTTGAACCCGTTTATCTTTTTTTTACCCATTTTTTCACATGTCTACATGTTTTTTTTAACAACTTGAAAATTACAAAAGAAAATTTTGTCATAATTTTTGTTTTCTGACAATTAAACACTGTTATAGATACATTTTAACATGCATTTCCCTATTTTAATCATTTAAGTTCTCATACAATTTCAATAATAGTTTATGAACGATATTTTTCTGCTACAGTCACTCAAGCACCGTCGTTATCAAACAGTAGCGATCAAGAGAAAGATGATTTGGAGGAGAGCAAAAAGAGGGTCGAACTGAGAATACAAAGAGAGAGAGTTGAGTTTGGTTGGGGCTTGTGGTTGTACAGCGGCTATAAATTAAATTGAGCATATATTACTGATAGATATCCATTATAATTGCGGATAATACCCATAACCAATGGATACCCGTTATAACCGTGGGTAATACCCATAACTGTCCATTTAAATTTCACGGATAGACGGTTATACCCATTACCGTTTGTTCGTCTAAACGGTTATCTATAACCGTAACCGTGAACTTTAATTGGGCGGTAATCACAGTTACCCAAATCCTTGAATATTTTATCCATCCCTAATTACAACCACAACTCACTATAATTCTTCACTATTTGTATAGGAAGGTAAGAGAAACTTGCATCAAACATTTGATAGGGACAAAAATGACTCGTAGCAAACATTAGGAGGATCCTCGGAATACATTCACATTCATATTTCCTAAATTTCAAATGATCCTAAAACCACATTGATTCCAATGTACATCCGTCATTTTTTTTTTTGGAAGGAAAAAGTATATTGAAACGCACACCACAACAAGGCCGAAGCCACAGCACAACAAAAGCTCAACGAGAGCAAGACAGAGAGGCAACCATAGCCCCGAGCAAGGGAGGAGGAACAACAAATCTGACCCATCCAAGAGGCATGGCCACCCCCTCCCAAGCCAAACAAAAATTAATGGGGACAAGGTAACCCATCCTTATTCAAAACATGAACCAACGAAGATGGGGGAATATTTACCCAAATTACATCGCACATCTCCGGATTACTTCTCGACGCCAACGCATGCGCCGCCAAATTGGCCGATCTCGGAGTCCACTACACTTTCACCAATTAATTGCTAGTCCTAGCTAGTTTCATTTCATATAATTAACCTCTCATACACGAGAAAAACTTATGCATGCGTCGATTCGTCATATGCTGCTTGTGTCACATGCAACGAGTCTTTAATTTGCAATATCATGTATTAATGCGAATATACATTGCAAATACGTAACACATGTTGCATGAAAGTTTTTCTATACTGTCACATGACGTATTCTATATAAGTGTAAGGCGGAGGGCAATTTTACGGCTCTGCTGGCTTGGACTATTCTGCCTAAACATATGGCCAAGTCAAAGCCTTGCCTAATAGAATCCACACTAATTAATCAGAGGATATAATTGTCAACTCAATTTGTAGCTCTTTGATTTTGAGAAAAAAAGAAAGGAAAAATTTGAAATAGGTCTAATTTTATAGATTATCTTTTGAAATAGGTCCAATTTTTAATAATTTTTTACTTTTGAAATAAGTTCAATTTTTAGTTACTTTATACCTATTTCAAAAAACCTCAAAAAGAAAATGGTGCCAGATTGATGCCAATTGTATAGATTGGGCCAGGACCCAAAAGGCTTGTGGAGCTCTGAAGAGTTGTAAGATAAAAAGAGTTCTAATGGGCCCACAAGGGGATCTGGACTCCTGTGATGGATGTGAGGATTGAAAGAGAAATTATATGAGTAATGCTATTCATATCATATTTCTATATTATCTTAAGTAGTACTTGATGTGGATAGCTATATCATTTAAAAAATTTGCAAAGTCTAAGGAAAGGAAGGAGAATGACTCCTTGTATACTACAATCATCATTTAATTAACTAATTTTTATTAATTATTAGTTTATTAAACAATGAATTAAATTTAAAAATCTGATTAATTCAAAGGATGTGACTGTCCACATCAAATGCTACCTAAGGTGGTATAAAAATATATTACAAAAATATGGTACGAATAACATTACGGAAATTATATTGGGGACATCTGTTAAGCCCATATTAACTATAAACCCTGCAAGCTTCACATTTCTCTATAACACAAAATCAATTTCCATAACTAACAGAATACATCAATGTATAGTATACGGTACGCTCTAAGCTTGAGGATCAATCGATGAATGCTCTAGCATTCTTCAACGTAAATCCGACCGTAAAATTAGTATAGAATTGCATAAATAAGAATGAGCTTCTGTCATTGGATCATTTGGAATTAGACCTTCACAAATAAAGCAATATCCCCCTAATCTCTCTCTCTCTCTCTCCTACACACCAATTACATATGTTGCCAAAGGACATTCACATGTCGATGTTATCTAGTGAAAAGGATAAAAATTTCCTCCCCCACCTTTTTGCATCCCAGTTGGATCTCAATCATCTACACTCCCCTCCTCAGTTTCCTTACTATCCATACAATTCAATTAAACTCATCATCTTCAAAAATGTCATAATGCTCTCAAACTCCATTCACAGAAAAACCAAACCCTAGCAGCTCTCGTCCGATCCTCCGCCCTCACCGTCATGAATCCAGCAATTCTCGTGGCCATTTCATCTTTCTTCCTCCTCCAGTCAGTAGTGTTTCTGGGAGGAGTTGAAGCAGCAGAAAAAGCCACTAAGCCAGAAGCAAAGGGTAACTCCCAGATCATTGTAATGGGCCTTGTTTACTGTGACATCTGCTCCAACAACACCTTCTCCAAACACAGCTACTTCCTACCAGGTGATGCTAAATCTTAACTAGTCATTTGTATTTGAACGTATCATTTTTAGCCTCTTGTGTTTGTTTAATATTCAGTTTAGAGCGCAGATGGTTAAAAAAATAAACTATTTACTGCGAAAATCGCTACCATAACCTTTTTTTTTACCAGGTGCTGAAGTAAAAATCGATTGCATCTTCCAAGCGGTTTCGCCAAGAACCTCAGAACACATATCGTTCTCGGTGAATAGAACTACAAACAGATATGGGGTGTACAAGTTGGAAATCCCATCTGTTGAGGGGATCAAATGTGCAGAGGATTCAGCAATTGTATCTTCCTGCCATGCAAGCTTGATGTGGAGTTCTTCTTCTGCATGCAATGTTCCTGGTTACAAATCCACATCAAATGAAATAGCAGTCAAATCGAAACAAGCCAATCTCTGCATCTACAGCCTAAACGCTTTGAATTTCAGACCTTCAAAGAGAGATGTTAAATTGTGTGGGAAGAAAAAATAAGGACTTAATCATGTTTTCAGCTTTCGGAACTCGATTTTAATCAAAAGAAAAACCAGTACCATGGAATCGGCTTTCGTTTTTCCTTTCTGCATTTCTTGTATGGTTGTCTGTGATGTACTAGCCGGAATGGGTTAAGAATATTCATGCATGTGTAGTTTTGGATGCAAGGAGCCTCTTTGATTGGTTAATATATATTTTTGTAGTTATGAAATGTATAATTTGATTTGTCTTTAGAAAAACAAAAATTAATTAATTAACCCCGGGAACCCAAAACCAAAAAGAAAAACAAGTTTGGGTGAAGTGTGTCAGAGGCATACCACTGTTCACTGTCCACCGTAAAATCTGTTGAAAATTTTTTAAATCTACGGGCCGGGGGACCTACGAAATTTTTAGCTGTGATGGAAATACGAGTGATATAATACGTATTTTTTATGTAAGTGGTAGAAACTTTATTTTTTTAAGTTATTAACTTCTTAACACACATCTCTCATCATCATTTATATAACGACACGTGATGTACTATCTTGTGTGATGGTCATACTGAAAAATCTCTCAACGACATTGATACTTCCTTTAATTTTATCACATGCTCAATCTGTTAAGTGTGAAATTTTATCACAAAAAACATCGATATTAAGTATGGAAATCATATTTAAAGTCACTGTTGTTGACTTTTCCCACCGATATATGATTCCAACAAAATCTCTCAAACCCGAGAACCCAAAACCTAGCGAAGCCCGTGTCTCCTTCCTCCACAGCGCCTCCCCTCAGTCACTTTAGCTGGCAGCCATTTCCTTCTCAATCACTGCATCTTTCAAGCAACACAAGGCGGTAGAGCCCTTCTCCTTCGTCTCTTGCGCGAAATCTTCATTTGCGTGGGTTGCTGTAGGAACTTGGTCTCCAGTGTCAAGCCATCCACCACCACTGGGATAAAAAAACTGGTAGGTCCAAATTCAAGGGCCCAACGCCATGTCTGTAACCGTTCATGAATCGTGTCCGTTCATCATACCGTTAGTTATTATTAAGTATTGTATATGTTTAATTTTAAATAAAAAACTTTAAAATAATTTCTGATCGTTAAATGTACGATTAACATATATAATTCACAAATTCTCAAGATCTAAAGAGAATCCAGATTGTAACAGTCCCATCTTTTCCTATTTTGTCAGTAATATGTCTTTGTTAAATAAAAAGTTAGGTGTACAAAATTAATTAATTAATTAGTTAATTACGCTGTGAGCCTGTAGGTGTTGTGCAATTGAGCAAGTAATTAGACAAACAAATCAATTGAGGAGTTTTGTTTAAAGAATGAATAGGATGAGTACTGTTCATAGAAAATTGCAAGATCAATAAACAAAAAATACATGAAGAATTTCTATACTCCAGAAATGGTCTGGGGACTTTGGACATTTCACCGGATCTGATGATCATCACATGATTGATTAGTTACACTTGGCTAAGCTCCTTTTAATCCTCGATTAATTTCTTCTTCGTCTTCACGCTTGCTACAGCTATTAAGGGGCCTCTTTTTGTTGTAATTTATGGTTTCTTTTTGAATATGGAGGAGTTGGGGTTTCCATCAAATAGCTCCTCAATGTACGTCTCTATATCCTCCGGCTGGAATTTTACATACTTCTCCGTCTGCCTCCCCGCATCAAACACCTGCGAGAACCGCCCCAAGAATGATCGGTACGCCGGAATCACCACCGCTGATATCGACACCCTCAACTCCGACTGCATCTGCTCGTCGCTCACCACCCACGTGCTTTGCGTCTTGTGGATCTCATCGAACAAGGCGTTGAAGCTCTTGAACCTCTCCTTCAACACGGGCTTCGCCACCTTCCCGTTCACGCTCAGGCCTTCGTGGCTCAGGCACTGCAGCAGCCGGCCCCACGTCTCCCTCTGATAGTTCTTGTGGTACTGCCTCAGATCCGACGACCGCCGACGGCACCACGTCTCGCCTATACACGAGTTGATCTCTGCCGACACTTTGATTTTCTGCAAGATGTATCGCCCGTTGTTCATCATGAAGATGGAGCTCAGCGCCACGTCCTTGTACAGCTTCGCCTTGGTCTCGAGATTCGAGTCCAGCAAGTCCATCACGCGCATCAGCTGCAAGTAAAACATCGATTGGTCCTCACTCGTGTTCCCGGATCCCTCCCCTGCCTCGTACTCGCCGCGTTCGGGCCTACTCGTCGAATCGGCGCGTTCGATCTTCGAGTGCTCTCTGAAAACCAATTCTAGCGTGTCCTTGTACTCGCACGCGTACCTCAGGTAATTCATCGTGTATCGCGTCAGCGGATGGACCGCCCCTCCCGGAACCGGGTTTCGACCCGTCTCAGCCTTAATCGAGTTCTCCAGATCGCAGAAAATGCAAATCGCCGCCACGCCGAGGCGGGTACGGGCGTTAGAGGTCTCGTGCTTCAGCTCGTTCACGCAGTCTGCCGGAAACAAGTTGTCCATTTTGGGGACCACCTCCCGCAACGCCTCGTACATGTCCAGCGTCTTAAACAGCTTCTCCGCCGACCGCTTCGATATCGCGATCCCCTCCGCGAAATTGAGAAGCTGTATCATCACCCCCTTGGTCAAATTGCTGAACAGGCTCGACGAGATGGACGGGTAGTCAGCAAACACCGCCTCCACGAACTTCCGCTCGCCGGAGAAGTATACGGTGGTGCATTCCTTGAAGGCCTTCACCCATGACACGATCTCTCTTTCCAGCGATTCCCAGTGCATTTTCTGAATGTCGTCGAAGCTGTGCTTCTCTAGTCCCAATTTGTGCAGAGTCTCATCGAACAAGTGCCTTCTCGAGATCATGTAAACCTCGCAACACTCCGTTTCGTATCCGCTGGATATCATCTCTTTGGCTATCTTGTTCAGATTGTTCACTACCTCTTGAGCATATCCAGGAAACTGATCGGCCTGTGATTCATCTCCGCCTCCTCCTGACTCAACCTGATCCGGCAATGCGCCGCCGCTGCTTTCCTGATTTTGATGATCCTGCTGCTTATTACTGCCGCTGTTATTATTCCCGCCTTTAGTACTGTGCTCTTTGCTGTCCTTATGATCTTTATTGTCTTTATGGTCGCCGGATGCAGAGTCAGTGACGGTGCAGGTTCTAGATTCTTCTAGAAGAATTCTGAATTCTTCTTCCAGATACAGCAACGCTCGGTGCTGAATGCTTCCGAGGTGGTTGATCAACGCACCGTGACTCCCTTCGAATTTCAATCCGAGGAAAGAGAGGTACTTGCTCAGCCTCCCTATCCGATCCAGAGCATCCAGAAACAACGCGTCCTTCTCAGGCTCCTGACACCATTTCACCTTAGCGTCGCCAGAGTCACGTTTCGCCACCACCTCGTCCTCAACTAGATTCAAGAACTTCCCCACCAGCTTCGGAAGCTCATTCGGAAAGTTGAGGCCGTCCACGACATCGTTTTCATGTTTTTCGGTTTCGGGCAGAGACGAGATGCAGTGGTCGAGATCCTCCGAGACCTTGTCGAGGCTAGGTTCCTCTTCCGGTTCAGGTTCAGGTTCAGGTTCGGGTTCGGGTTCAGGAACTGGATCCTCATCCAGTACCGGAAGCGGATCGTTCTGATCTTCAACATTCTCAGCTTTAAAATCCTTCACTCTGGTACTATTGACCCTCATACTGCTGAACTTTTTAATCTCGTAATCCGGGTCATCACCTTCGTTCCCTTGATAAACTTTGGTCTCGGCGTTATTTACACTTGGATCATCAAGCTTTGCAATGGAATTCTGCTCATCCTGAACCTCAGCCGTTGGATTAGCCGGCTTTTGGTCATCGTCTGGCTTAGTGCCAGCGGACTTATTATCGCCGTCAGGACTTGTAGTAGCAGTAGTGGTGGTGGTGGTGGTGGTGGTGGACTTGGGATCGTCATTAGGCTTTGGAATTGTAGCGGCGGAGGAGGAGTCCGGTGGCGGTGCATCGGGTTTGGGCTGATCGTCTTTGTCCGGAAGGTTCATCTCCATTTTCCAAATTGTGGGAATATTTGGATCAATAATTCACTGGAGATTACAATGGAAGGAGAGGGAAGCGTTTGAAGGAAAGAGATGAATCAATGATTCATTTTGTTCGTTTGTTTGTTTTCTCAGAGTCGGAGGAAATAACCAAAATCTTGATTTGCGCTTCTCTTTCTCTCCATCTCCATCTCTTTAATTTGCCTATTTGTTTTTTGAATTTCTGATTTTGTTTTGTTTTGTGAAGGGATGGATTGAACTGGTCGTTAGAAAGGGCGCGAGAGAGGGGAACGTACGGACGTGGTGTTTCCTGTGTAGGGAGGGAAAAGAGAGCGCTAAAATTGCTTTGTGGCGTGCGTTTGTTCGACTGTTTTGGTAGTTGCAAATTCTTTTTGTGGTCGCCCGTCTTTCCCCTTCACTCCTCTCTTTTTTTTTCCTTCAATAATCACTGTTCCAGCTTTTTACAAACTGCACCCCTGAAGTTTGAGAAAATTTTCATTGTGACGGAATACGGGTAACACGAAATTGTATTATTGAAATTATTAATTTTTTTAACATATATATTTCACTATTTGTATAATGACATGTAATGTGCCATCCTGTATTCCGATCACATTGAAAAAAATTTCCTGAAGTTTGGAGTTGTTTTGAAAATGGGCGTAAACTTTTAATTCTTCACAAAATGGTCATGTGTACTAAAAATCATCCCATTCAGAAATCATATGATCGTTGGATTACATTTAATGTTTTTTTTGTAGAACAGTACTCGTATATTTTCTTCAGTAAAAATGAATGTCTTAATATTTTTGGATTTGTCTAATTTTTTTTTTTTTTTTTTACAAAGATAATCCATTAATATGAATTGAAATATAGACTGTTCAGATCCTTGAAAATGATTATGGAATGGAAACTATAAAAATGTAGGTCAAAATGTGTCTTAAGATCCTAACTTATAGTTAAACTGTCAGAACATATATATACATGTATATGTATATAAATTCCAAACTCTCACGACACAGTGAAAAAATTGAAACCTTACGATCTAACTTTAACAATTACTAAAATATGAAAGGTGTAAAAGCACTTAGCCCAAAATTATAAGTTGACATGCATGATATTCCCATCGGACTTATTGATAGTGGGCTGCGGGCCTTAGAAAATGCAGGGTACATTAAAATTTGGCCCAAGCCCAACCAACATCCATTCTGTTTGTATTGTGTCTGAATCAGTCACTGCGAGTGAGCTTGTTCAGTTGAGCTGGACGACGACGAAGCGAGCGATCTGTGGCTTCCAGATCCATATCCATTCACCGACACACAGACAAAACGAAAAAAGATGAAGGAAAAGATGAGCTATGGCGTTTGGCGAAGGAGGCGGGTGTCCGTCGGATCAATTCTGATAGTCTGTGCGTTGTGTGCTGGAACGGGGCTGTTGATGCTCAACTTACGACAAGTCGATCCTCCGACGAGCCCCGATTTCTATATGCAGATTGGAAATTTGGATTCGGAGTCTGAAAACGGCGGCGGAGTTGAGCTGGAGACGGAGCCGCAGAGCAAGAGTAAGCGAAATTCGAGCTTGTGCGCGACGGTGGAGGAGATGGGAAAGGAGTTCGAAGGAGGAGGGTTTTGGGAGGAGAGTCTCAGAGTCAGGAAGTTTATTCAGCATCACTTTGACTTGAATGGTATTATTACTCTCATTTTTCCGCTGATTTCGAAAGCACTTTTACATAATAAGTTTTCTGCTTTTAGTGGACGTGATTATTGATTTCTTATTTGCGTTTGTCAAACTTGATGGCATCATACTTTTGAGTTAGAGTGTAGAAGCTGTGAGTTATTGAGTAGAACATTTAGGTGAAGGAAGCTCATGCAGTTCATTCAATTTCAGGTGCTTCCAGGGTAAGAAATCTTCCACCGGAACTGTTTTGTCGGCACGGATTTGTGATGGGTAAAGCATCAGAGGCGGGTTTCGGGAACGAAATGTACAAAATCTTAAGTGGTGCAGCGTTGAGTATAATGTTGAACCGGTCCCTGATCATTGGTCAAACCAGGCATATTGGTTCTTTCCTCAAGCCTTTCTTTTTTTTGTATTTCATAGTAGTGTTCTTCCTGCTGCAACCTGAATTGTTAGAAATAGCTGGTCATTTCGCTTACCGCTAAAGCATATTAAGTTGCAGCAATATATACATTTTCTTTGTGCTTATATTGGTGTTGCTTGTTGCAGGGGAAAATTCCCTTTTGAGGATTACATTTCCTATTCCAATTTTTCCTTCACCATCAGAGAAATTAAGCATCTTTGGAGACTTAATAAATGTGCAAACAAGTATGGAAGGCAACTGGTTATGAGAAGTGATGACTTTGAGAAGCCGGCACAGACCAATGTTCTTTGTAGCAACTGGATAGAATGGAAGCAACCCATTATATGGTAAAGTGATAAAAGTGTTGTGATCTTTCCCCTAACTCGTCGTCATTGGATATCGTCACATGATTGTTAATGTTAAAAATGCAGGTTCCAAGGGACGAATGATGCTGTGGCAGCCCAGTTTTTCTTGAAGAATATCCACCCTGAGATGAGGAATGCTGCTTCTACTTTATTTGGGAAGCCAGAGGATCTCCATTCTCGGCCTAATGTATTTGGGGAGCTGATGAGAGTGCTTATAACCCCTTCTGTGGATGTTCAGGAAGCAGTCAATTGGGCTCTTGGTGGAGCGGAACCTGATATTTCACTGCACATGCGAATGCTCATGAATAAGTAACACAACCTCCCTTTTAATTCATTCCTTGATTATATTAAGTGCAAGGTTCAGAAATATAGGGTTGATGAGGTAGGACATCTTAATCCTGTTAAAGCAGTGGATATTACAGAAATGGATGTAGCTTTGTGAAAGGTTGATAAGAATTTCTAATGTTGGCAATTAACAAATACCTTTGGTTTTTCTTGATAGTTGTGGCCAATTCATTTTGAAGTTTTATTATCGTTAAGCTTCCCCTGTTAGTTGATACATTTTCCGAAGCATGCTCAACGATGTAGTCATTGGAAGTAAACCATCAAACTGGCATTAGAAAGCTTGCATGCGCTGCACACACACACACAGAGAAACGCCATGTATTCTCCCTATGAATTTAATCAATGACACATGTTTTGCCTCCTGTATTTCAGGTCTGTGAGAGCTGCACAGGCAGCAGTGAATTGCATAAAAAAATCCATGCACAATCTTGGCAAGTCCCCAAGACCTAGGGTGGTGCTAGTGTCAGATAATCCCTCTCTTGTGAAAAGTATTACTCCAAATATAAGTAGATTTGCAGAGGTAATATGCTTTGTCTGTGGAATATCCAAAATCTAATTGCATGATCAGCGATTCAGCATAGTATATCACTCATGAAATTAATAACTGAAGGAACTTTGTCCTTTTAAAATCTGTAATCAAGATTCGGGAATGCAACCTTAATTTCTTTCACTTAATTGAGTTAAATTGTTTGAAAGTCTCTTTTATTACACATTCTTTAGCAATCTAACTCTGTTCTTTCGTATCTGATTCGTTTGTGCATCTTAGGTTATTCATTTTGATTATGAACTATTCAAAGGAAATATATCCGATGGCCGTAAAGGATTGCACAGTTTAGATTTTAGAGTGAAGGATTGGGGCCCAGCGCCTAGATGGGTTGCTTTTGTGGACTTCTTTCTTGCATCGCGTGCAAAACATGCTGTTGTTTCCGGGGCTCACAGGCGTGTTGGGACTACCTATGCTCAGTTAATTGCGGCACTGGCTGCAGCAAACAATCTTGGTACATACATACAGTGCCCGAGTCCTCTCTGCTAACAAATGTTGCCGAAAAGTGTTCTAATGTTCGTTCTATTCTTTCTCAGGCAACGTCCCAACTGGTTCAAGTTTTGCATTCTTAAGCAGCTTCCAAGGTGATTTGCTGAGAGAAGGTCTAAGGTTTCAGATTGGTTGGGGGCATGTGTGGAACAGATTTGCTGGTCCGCTCGGTTGCCATAGCCAGCTCAATCAGTGTGCTTTCACGCCACTTCTCCCTCCGGCTTGGTGGGATGGTCTTTGGCAATCCCCGCTTCCAAGGGATATCAAGAGGCTGGCGGAGTACGGGATTGAGTTATCCGGTTTTGGCACGATCGACGAAAATCATCTTCAGTCTTTTTGTAGTTCAAGGAAGGTGGTTGAGAAAACTATTCCGTTCCTTTTGTAGTGGTTAACAGTCATTTCGTTCATGCACATTACACGTTATTTCTCATATTATTCTACTTCTAGCAAGCACCTCTTGGTCGAACTGTTGCTCAGGTAGTTGCAGCGCCGGCTGCCGCCGAAAGCTTCACCGTCATCTTTTTACTACCAGTGTCAACGGAAAGGCTTCGCCATTGTTCTATCACCATCAAAAGCATAGCCGGCTTTAACATTTCACAAGAATAATAACGTTTCTGATTTTCACTCTCTTTCAAATTCCAACAGACCATATGTGGTGCTCAACTTGTATTGTATATGGTGGTTCTTTTCATCAAAATGATACTTGGTCTAACGCACGTCTGCAACTTTTATGGCTATACACCGAAGCATGACATGCCTTGGAGTTCTACGAAAAAGCTTCCAACTTAGATGTAAATAAGTTAATAACGTATAGTTGTATACACTAGTCAAACCTACGCTTGTACACATTGTTTTACTATGCACCAAAACATTGTATGCACCAGCATTTTGTACTCGTTGAATTCTGTGGACTATTTAACTAAATATAGCAATAATGTGATGATATACTAATGTAGTATAAATACGTGGTCTTTGTAGCAATAATCTTAAAGTTTTAAGTATGTATTAAGCCTCCTCCTAGAAGACGCTAGGCGCTAGTCGGGTAGCGGGCTGAAGCCTAGCGCCTAAACGGTTAGGCGGGGTCTAGGCGGGCGCCTAGGCGGACTAGGTGGATTTAATTAAATATATTATATTTCGTGTAAATAAGTGTTTATTTATACTTAATATATATATAATTTCATCATAAACTACATAATATAATGACATATATATTATGAGCTAAAGAACATAATGAAAACATGAGAAGCAATCATATAATGTGTGTTCATTTAAGTATTAAACAAGTCTCTTACAATTTATTACAAAAAATAAATTGCAAAATGAAAGTTATCTATTTTCTGTTTAAGTGAGTCACAACATAGGCAGGTGCTTGGGTGGGTTAGGCGGGTGCCTGGGTGCCTAGGTAGTCTAGGCGGGCACCTCAGTAGGTCTATACGTCATTTCTTAATTTTCAAATGCCTAGTCATTAATCAGGACGATGGCTAGCCACCTAACACCTAGACGAAGATTTTTAGAATAGTGGTATTAAGCAAAGGAGAATGGAGCATGATTGCACCTTGTGTTTATATAATACATTTAGTATAATGATGAGTAGGAACTAGGAAGAAGGCAGACACACATCACACATGGCCTTGTCGTCCAAATTCCAACGTTGGATGGAGTTTAAATGTGCAGCTGCAACAGTGCAACTGAAACTGCATGCAACCATCATGGATTTTCGTGCAGGAAGCATGGGGTCATCGTTCATGGCAATCACCATGGATTTCCCACTTACCTAACAGTCTGATTTTTTTGATGTTGCTTGTTCATCTCATCTACGATCGACTTTACAGCAAAGAATCCATCAATCTTTTATTTGATCGAAACAAATATCTCATTTTCTTGATTTTTTTGTTCTTCAGTATCTAATTCTCTTCTAATTTTCTTAAAATAAAATATCGGTCAGCTCTACTTTCAGTACGTCTTAATTCTATATACTTAAACATTTCCGATCGAATCCAAAGAGCCAAAGGAGGGCAAAGGGTTTGCAACTTGACTTGTGAGAGCAAATCCACTTGACCATCCATTCATGCTTGGCCATCCATTCCTGATCAGCAAAGGAAAATGGAATTATAAAGCATAAAGCAAAAGGAGAGATTCTTTTTTTCTTTCTTTTTTTCCGATTTGACATTGAATCCCCTAAAGTTTAGAAAGACGAAGCAAAAGTTGAAACAAATCCTCCTCCTCCTCTTTCCTAAATGCATGCCCCTATTAGGACTTTTAGCATTTCGATTTCCATCCAGAAAAGAAAAGGGCCAACATTTCTATATACCGACAATTCTATTTACTTTTGAAAAAGTTTAACAGTAATGCTATTTAAACACAAAAAATTAATATTACCGAATAAAACTGGTTAGATCAATTATATGGTGTTATACTATGAGTTTAGGTTTTCGGTGTTCATTCCTTCACATTTTTTTTAATTGTTAACTCATAAACATTGTTCACATATTTAACCATATAGTTTTGGGTTAATTACAAAAAACTACCTCAAGTATGGGTCAAATGACACTTTCATACATCATCTTTTAAAATTGACAATGTCATACCTCATCTTACGAATTTGTGTCAATGTTATACCTTCCGTTAGTTTGGCCGTTTATTTCTCAGTTAAATGCTGACGTGGCTTGATCCGGGACCCATTTTTATTAAAAAATTAATAAAAAAATTATTAAAAACAAAAAAAATCATTTAATATTATTTAAATATTAAAATAATAATAAAAAAGTACATAAAAAAATAAAAAACATTAGACATCATCTTCCCTCTCCTTTCGTGCATCTCCCCCCTCTCTCTTCCCCATCATCTTCCTGCAACCCAGCAACCCAGAAAAGAAGAAGGAGAAAGAAGAAGAAGAAGAAGAGAAAAAAAAAAAAAAAAAACCCAAACCAAACCAAACCCAGTTCATCCCCCCTCCCCCCACCACAACTCAACCCCCTGCAACCTAGAAAGGATGAGGAAGAAGAAGGAAACACAAAAAAAAAAAAAAAAAAAAAACAATGGAAACCCAGTTCGTCCCTTGCAGAAGAAGAAGAAGAAGAGGGAAGAAGAGGGAAGAAGAGGGAGGAAGAAGAAGAGAGAAGGAAAAAAAAAAAAAACAGCAGCAAACCCGTCCCCTCCCACCCAACCCCACCCCCCCCCCCAACCTAACCCGCAGAAGAAGAGGGAAGCAGAAGAAAGAGAAGAAGAAGAAGAAAAAAAAAAAAAAAAATACCCAGTTCGTCCCCCTACAGAAGAAGAAGAAGAAGAAGAAGAAGAAGAAGAAGAAGAGGGAAGAAGAAGAAGAGAGAAGAAAAAAGAAAAAAAAACCCAGTTCGTCCCCCTGTAGAAGAAGAGGGAAGAAGAAGAGGGAAGAAAAAAAAAAAAAAAAAAAAAAAAAAAAAAAACCAATTCGCCCCCTGCAGAAGAAGAAGAAGAAGAAGAAGAAGAGAAGAAGAAGAGAGAAGAAAAAGAAAGAAAAAAAAAAATCGAGTTCGTCCCCTGCAGAAGAGGGAAGAAGAGAGAAGAAAAAGAAAAAAAAAAAAAAAAAAAAAAACCCAGTTCGTCCCCCTGCAGAAGTAGAAGAAGAAGAAGAAGAGGGAAGAAGAGGGAAGAAGAAGAAGAGAGAAGAACAAAAAAAAAAAAAAAAAAAAAAAAAAAGCCCAGTTCGTCCCCCTGCAGAAGAAGAAGAAGAAGAAGAAGAGAGAAGAAAAAAAAATGGGTCTTTATTATTTTAATATTTAAATAATATTAAATGATTTTTTTTGTTTTTAATAATTTTTTTATTAATTTTTTAATAAAAATGGGTCTCGGATCAAACCACGTCAGCATTTAACTGAGAAATAAACGGCCAAGCTAACGGAAGGTATAACATTGACACAAATTCGTAAGATGAGGTATGACATTGTCAATTTTAAAAGATGAGGTATGAAAGTGTCATTTGACCTATACTTGAGGTAGTTTTTTGTCATTAACCCTATAGTTTTTAAGTAAACAAGAAATCACACCTTGGTAACCGTAACATTTATATAAAAAATACTTGAAAATGCTCAACTAGTGAAAAAATGAAATGAGCATTGGAGTTGTGGAGGACACCATACATTACCACCATCGCCATGACATGACAAGTGTTGCAACATCTCCTTCTAATCTTGTTTTAAGAAACGAACGAGGATCCTCTCCGAATTCTCTTTGTGAGGATCTAGGAGATCCTCCAATCGTATCCGTTCATCGTATATCGTGCGACAAAAAATTATTGTAAATCTTTTTATGTAAAATTAAATATAAACATTATATGAAAAAAATTAACCGCACGATATACGATGAACATATATGATTAGAAAATTTCCGAGATTCTCGTTGTTAAGAAACAATATGCCAGAACGGCAGACAAAATCTTCATTTCTTTTTCCAACAAAGATGTCATTCTTAATAAATTCCAATTATTTTATATGAGCTTAATGCTCCAAAGGCATTTTGTGAATTACAAATGGTTCTGAGTTTTTTAATTGAGATTTGAGAAACAACAATATTTAGCTACTGAGGACGAACTCTTATATAAAATTCTTCATGTTCAAATCTTATAGATTTTTGTTTATTATCAAAATTGTTTATATTATATACAAATTACACTGTAAAATTTATCTTTGTAAAAAATAACGATCTTAATTATAAACACAAAGTTTTATAAATCAGCAACGTGCAATTTTGAAAGCAGCCAAGTATTATTCTTTGAAAAATTATTGTTTTTAGTTATATGTGATGCGTAAAGCGTAATGTAGCAAAAGGCCACTACACAACGTGTAGGCATCAAAACAATGTTGATGGAACTGCTCAGGAAAAAAATTCATATTGTCCTACTCAAACATAGGTATCAATACAATTTATTATGAATATAATTTTTTACAAGATTTAGTTTTTATATTTTCTGTCCGCTTTTTGTCAATGAAGAAGAGGAATCCAACCACTCAGCACTTTTATTTTCTTATTTGACTGATGTTTGATTGTCTAATTCATTAAATAGAACAGAGTAAGTTAGGTTAAATTAACTGGGATTCTAGATGTCGGTCTAATAACGATTTAAAATGGCCATATAAACTTTGAGAGCATTTTTTGCTCATCACCATTTAATCTGTTGTATGTTCATTATTTTATTTATTACCGTTATATAAGTTTGAATTTTGAGATTTGTGTTTATCAATTACTCGAATTTCGAAATTCAAATTCATCTAATAATGATAAATAGAATGATGATCATATACTACATTAAATAATGATGAGCAAAATGCTCTCATAAACTTTAGACACCTTTTCAGGTAAACACAAAAGTAAATTAATAGCTCAAAGCTAATTCTTCACTCAACCAAACACAATGAAAGGGCTCAAATACTCGTGTGTGACCAGTACACAAGTGATACGTCACGTATTATTATATAAATAACAAAATATATATGTTAAAAAATTAATAATTTAAAAAATAAAATTTCTCTCTATTTATATAAAAACACGTGATTTACCCGGATATTCCGATCATAATAAAAAATTTATCGTCAAAAACCGGACCAGAAGCGAAGCCCCTTCACATATTCTCTGGTCCAGGTGTGGTCCAGCCCCAAGCCCCCCAGCCCAATAAAATCACGACACGTCAGCCTATCCCCCCTGTAAAGCACAGACACACAGCAGTGATAGAGCGAACCCCTCCCTCTCTCTCTCTTTCGGCTCTTGCTGCTGATAACAAAAAGGATGATGAAAAACCCTTTTGCTCCTTTAGCTTCAACCCCACCCGCCCACGCGCCTTGCCGCCCGGCTCGCCGGAACCCGACCCATTAGCATTTTACTCAGACCACATCGACCGCTTCAGCTCCTCTTTTCCGTTATTTCTGCTTCGGAGTCCGGGCCTGAGTCTAAAGCGACTACTAGAGAGTAGAATCGACATTGCTGTATCGAGAATCCAGCGAGCACGATCTTGCTGAGCTGAAGCTGAGAGAGCTGTTGTTGGCGGCGAGGAAGCGATGTACGTGGTGCCTCCACCGCAGCGATCGGATCCGGCTTCCGGATCCGCCGGTGCCGCCGCTGATTTGCGGGTCTACCAGAATTGGAAGGGCAGCAATGTGAGTTCATTTTTATCCTCCTTTTTCGTCTTCTCTCTTTCGCCTGCTCAGATTTCTTTCTTGTTTCATTTCTGCTAGATTTTTTTTTTCCGGAATAATTTCAGTTTAAGAACTTCATAGATTATGGTTTCGGTCATGCATTTTCCATTGTTAGGTTTTTACTATTTCGCAATTTTTTGCCTTTTTTCTTTCAAATATCTATTTTTGGATAATGTTTTTGTCAAATAATTAAAGTTCTTATTTTGCCCCTGTGAGGAATTTGAAGGTAACAAAGAAAAGATGTAAAAATGAGATATTGCATATACATTTGAGACGAAAGCGAGGATAATGATGAATTCCACCAAGTTTATGTTGATCAACATGGAATTAAAGGATCGGTTGTGTTTGTTTATAGTTTGATGAACATAAAGCTAATGTTTTACAAGTACAGGGATGTCAAGCTTTTTGCTTTTAGAATTCAGATTGTGGTTTGCAGGGCAGTAGCTTGCTTTGTCATGAATGGCATTGTCGAAAATTACATAAATGTATTGTATTTGCTTGTTTGCAGATATTTTTCCTTCAGGGGAGGATTGTTTTTGGACCAGATGTAAGATCGTTGGGGCTGACCATATTTCTGATTGTTGCTCCTGTCACAATATTCTGCATCTTTGTTGCCAGAAAGTTGATGGATCATTACTCACATCACTTGGGAATATTCATAATGGCTGTCGCTGTTGTATTCACTGTTTATGTGAGTTCTCTTTCCAATTCCCACACAACTTATTTGTGTAAAGGAATTTTATATTTTGCCAGAAAATCTGCTAGGTTATGTCGAAGGGAACTCTCTCTCTCTCTCTCTCTCTTGGTGTATGTTTACATGTGTGTCTCTCTGTGTGTGTACATATATGTAGTATTTGAGTGTCTTGCATTGGGATGGAGTGTGGGTCGTATGTTGTGATAGGACTGTTTGGCATGCTCCAAATGGTAGTGGTAAGTTTCCTATAGTTTTCGTTAGTTGAAAGAGTGTAAACTTACATTGGTTGGACTGCACTTTAAAAATGCTAGCCTCTAGTTAAAGAGATTAGGGAGGAACATGGTACGTTATGGAGGATAGCATTTGTAAATTGTGATGAGATATGGATCAATATAAGTTGGTGGCATGTCCTCATGGAGCATATCACTTCCTTTAAGTACGATACTCTTTCTTAGGGTGATTGTTACCAATACAATTTGTTGGTTGGTGTAACACTATGCTGTCGAAAATTTTACCACTTTAGACAGGCTCCTATCTGACTAGATTTTGGAGTCTATTTTGGTAGTCAGTTTTTTACCTTGATGAGTCATGTATTGATAATCAATTAGGTTTGTAGAGTTGTTCTAACAAGTTCTGCAGCTTCTAGTAAAATTGTTCCTTCAAAAGCACCCATTAGCTGGTGCATATAGTGATAAGTTGATAACTGTACAAATGTCGATGTATTTGCACTTTGTGAAAAATGCTCACACAATGTTCTATTTCCAGGATTTAATTCTCCTCCTGCTAACCTCTGGAAGAGATCCTGGTATAATTCCCCGTAACACACACCCTCCAGAGCCTGAAGGATTTGATGGGAATGTAGAAAGTGGGGCTGGACAAACTCCACAGTTACGCTTGCCTCGCATCAAAGAAGTTGAGGTGAATGGAATCTCTGTCAAGATCAAGTATTGCGATACTTGTATGCTTTATAGACCTCCTCGCTGCTCCCACTGTTCAATATGCAACAACTGTGTAGAAAGATTCGATCACCATTGTCCCTGGGTTGGGCAGTGTATTGGGCTGGTAAGTAATTCTTTCATTAGACTCGTATTCTAATTCCTCTGCCAATGAATATGAACTGAGACAAATGCAAGCATTCTTGCATGCATGCATGTATTGGTCTTAGTAATATACACCATAGTAATTGTAGTAATGTATGAAATATTGGAATATATAAATCTCAACCTGAAATTCACAAAGAGACTGGACTTCCAATCGTTTTTCATAGTCACATGAGGTGCTTTAGCTTATCTGGTTAAATGTGCGTGCTTGTGAAAGACTTAATAGGACTAATATAGAATGTAATGTCGTTAATACATGTTTCTTGATTTGGCTTTATTTAATTAACTCATGTTGCTTATATGATGGCTTCTCAGATGTCTCCTTTCAAATGATGCTTGATATGTGAAACTATGAGTATAAGGAAAATGAATCTGAACATTCCCTAATTTGGTTGCAGAGGAACTATCGATTCTTCTTCATGTTTGTCTTCTCCACAACTCTTCTTTGTATATATGTTTTTGCATTCTGCTGGGTGTACGTTAGAAGGATCATGGAAGCTGAGGAGACAACGATTTGGAAAGCAATGATTAAAACTCCAGCATCTATTGTGCTGATAGTCTATACTTTCATATCGATGTGGTTTGTTGGTGGTCTTACTGCCTTCCATTTGTATCTCATCAGTACAAATCAGGTCAGGAGACCCCTCTTGAACTGTCACAACCCTTTAGCATAGAACTTTATCTGTGTGATTTATATATTAGCATGAGCGTGATCTTATATCTATGGGCATTGTTTTTGCAGACTACATATGAGAATTTCCGCTATCGATATGATAGGCGAGCCAACCCGTATAACAAAGGAGTGGTGGACAATTTCAAAGAGATATTTTGTACCACCATTCCCAAGTCCAAGAACAACTTCAGGGACAAGGTTCCAAGGGAACCGGTGTTACCTCCTCGATCAGGGGGTGGGGGTTTTATGAGCCCAAATATGGGAAAAGCTGTGGATGACATTGAAATGGGCAGAAAAACAGTGTGGGGTGACATGAATGCTGGGGGAGATAATTACGACGGGCAGCATAACGGCAATGATCGTGTGAATGTAAAAGATGGTGAATTAAGTGAAGTATCCCCAGATATAAGGACGACAGTAGATGAAACTGTGGATCGCGCTGGAATGCATCCCAGGCGATCGAGCTGGGGAAGGAAAAGTGGAAGTTGGGAAATGTCCCCAGAAGTTCTTGCTTTAGCAGCTAGAGTCGGGGAACCAAACCGCATGGGCGGCAGTAGCAGCGGTGGCTAGACGAACGAGAACCGACATACATAGGCAGCCAAAATGCGACAGACCAGCAAACTAGTGACACGGAAGATTTGATTGTCCTGCAGAGTGGTGGTTTGTTTTCGTGCGCAGCCATTTAAGTCCAACATTAATATTATGTGCAATAAGGAGAAGGGACTTTCACTGTAAGGTGTTGGGTTTGACCATTGTGCAATTTAGAAAGGAGTTGACGAGTTGTGTGTTGTATGAGTGAGCCTTCTTGTTTTGTATTGCGTTTGTGGAATTAGTTAGTTCCTAATTGTATTGCCATTGTGGAGTTTCTCTCTCTCTCTCTGGTTCACCAATTATATTGTGAATTATTGTTACACCATCGCGTGATGTTATTACAAACAGGACCAAAAAGCGGTCCCAACAGGCTCCGGTTAAATCAAAATCTCTAGTTTGGTTTCGAGACTCGGGCAATTATGAAATGAAGTTCCACACGTTTGCTCTGTATAAAATAAAAGCTGTTTAAACTATATCATTGAGATTAATGTTTCGCTAGCGTACCGTAAAGGGTGCAAATAAACTAAACACCCGTACGATATTTTTCTTATTCAGATCACCAACCAATAGCTATATTATTATCCCAAAGACTATGATCAATTGATCCCAAGGCTTCGGATACACTGGTGCGGAGAGGATCTGAATCTCCAAACGAACCGTGGGAGGCGGTCAACGCTATGCCCAGGAGGCCGGAGAAAGCGCGGGCCATGGAACCAAGGTGATGTTTAATTGCATTAATACATCTAACTTCAGTGCTGCTGTTGTTAATTTGTTTATAAACAGCAGATGGCACATATAGAATGTGGTTGATGATATGGTCTTTATCTTTAGGAAAAATAATAAAAAGAGTTTGAAAACTTTAAGTTTTAACGATAAGGATAAAATAAATAATATTAGGATTGATTTTTTAATGTAAAAATATGATTTTTCATTAAAATGAACAGTTCCGAAAACTTTTCGTTAAAGTCTCCTTATCTTTTTCCCAAAACAAAATAAATTGATAATTTGGTGTGCATTACGGCAGGGACTGTTGCGTAATTTGACCTTATAGATATGGTCTATGACCCTAGGGTTATCAGTTAGGTATTCGAACTTTTAAACGATGAGAAAGCACATTGTTGTTACTGAATTAACAAAGAATCTGGTTTTCTAGTTCCAAAAAAATGTAAAAAAAAAAAAAAAAAAAACCAAAGAAGCTAGATTTTGGCCGAGTCTCCTTAATCTCGGTTGCTAGAAAACTGTGCTCTATAACGGGAAAAGATTTGATTTTAATTAATAACAGTAAAGAATCCTGTTTCCCTAGTTAGTAAAAATTCTCAAAAAGAGGAATAAGATAATGAAAGGAACTTAAAGAGTAATTAAAGCTTCGCTTTTTTGACATTTTATACTCCGCCTGCCTGCTGAAGGATTTTTCTGTGTGCTGAGAACATTGTACAATAAGATTTTACCACTTGCTAGTAATTAAAACTTCACCATTTCATTTCAATTTATCTCTTTCTTCTCCTTCTGCTTCTCCAACTCATCTCTCTCAGAAGACATTTAGTATTAGAAACTTTTGTACTAAGAGCCAATGTAGGACTGAGGAATGTGCTCGTCACCCACAACTAGTTTAGTTCATCATCTTTAACTGTTGATATCTCTAAAAAATCCTGCTTTTAATTACATGTAAGTTTCTCCGCTAATTTAACTAGCATTTTTTGTATTATTTTTGCCATTTGAAATTATGGGTTTTCCTTGTAATTATGTTTTATGGAAGATTTGGTGGGTTTTTTGGATTTTTTTTTTTGAAGGAGATGTATAAGAACCAGCTGCAAGAGCTTGCACAGAGAAGCTGTTTCAACTTACCTTCCTATGCGTGCACCAGAGAAGGACCGGATCATGCTCCGCGATTCAAAGCTTCCGTCAACTTTAACCGCGAGATCTTCGAAAGCGCGGCCTACTGCACCACAGTGAGACAGGCGGAGCATGCAGCCGCAGAAGTTGCTCTCAATAAGCTCTCCACCAGAGGCCCTTCCAGGTCTCTCACTGCCAGAGTTCTTGTAAGTTCATTACTTTCTTTGACATCCACCATAAGCCTCTCTGTTTCCAAAGTTACGTTGAATGATTAATTAGCATGTGTTTTTCTTGAATTTTATGTTATGTAAATGTGAAGGATGAAACTGGAATTTACAAAAACCTCCTCCAAGAAACAGCTCACAGAGCTGGGCTGAAGCTCCCTGTATACACCACTGTACGATCAGGTCCCGGCCATGTCCCGGTTTTCACGTGTACCGTGGAGCTTGCCGGAATGAATTTTACCGGCGAGCCGGCCAAAACCAAGAAGCAAGCAGAGAAGAATGCTGCAATTGCAGCCTGGTCTGCCTTGAAAACAAGTATGTATACATTTTCTGCATATTTTGTTTTAATTGTGTTTTTTTATTAGCATTGTGCAATTGCTTCACGAAATGTAATATCTTTGTGCAATTCCAGACCTGGGTTTTTCCACAAATAAAGAAGCAGAAGAAGAGCAGGCGGTTGTGACAAGGTTGCTCTCAAATTTTAAACCCAGAGATGATAACAACAATAATAATAGCAACCAATTTATGAGGAGGATGGATCCATTTCAAGCAAGGCGAAGAATGGTGAGATCGTCATCGTCGTTGTCATCGTCATCATCTTCATCCAGTAGTATTACTAGCTTTCTACAGAATCAAAACTCGAGGCTGGTAGATCTGTTAACAGATTTGGTTCCACAAGTTTCAACAGTTCAAAAGCAGAACACTTTAGCATCTCTTCTTCCTCCACCTCCCCCTCGAACCACCTCGAAGATTTTGCCACCATCTACAATGCTCAACAAAGACAAGTCCGCTTCCCATCCGCCATTATCCGATTATAGGCCAATCCCAGTACAAGTGAGTGTGAGGGAAGGTTCAAAAGTTATACCACCTCCATTAGAACAGCACCAAAGGGACGAGGAAGAATGGCTTGGTATTGTAAAGGAGGGTCCTAGCGGTTCAAATTCAAGTGGTATATTTGGTTCATCAGGTTCTGCATACAGGCAATTTCCTGTGTCTAATGCCGGAAAGTATGGCGCTTTTGAATTGTCCGGTCCAATTAAGGCCGCGCCTGGTGTCAAGATTTCAAAAAGACAGACTAGTGGATTCTACATGTATAGTGGAGGGTTAAGTCCTCACAAGAATTTTGCACCTCCAGTTCAAATGAGATCGGTGATCCCAGTTTGTGCAGCACCACCGGCACCAGTGAGACCTTCCATACCAACAAAAGTGATGGCAATGAAAGGCATTTCTTCAGAAGCAGAAGCAGAAGCAGGCTTAAGTTTAAGTGATTCTACCAATTCATCATTATGGGGCAGCTCAAGGTGGAAGATGCCCGAGTCAAGTTCAAGTTCAACTCAGCAGCTGGGTTCCGATTTCAACAAGCTGCAGTTAGGAGGAGGCAACAAAGACATTAGTAAGATTATCTAAATCATAATTGAAAGTTACTGCCTTTTTACTAGGATGGAAATTAAGCAGCTGGGATGACATGTTTTTACAGGCATTGTGGACTGGCCACACAGAGAGAGAGAGAGAGAGAGAGAGAGCAATAAATGAGCGATGGAAGAGGTGGGTTGCAGTTGCAGAGGATAAGAGATAGGGAGAGAGCGGGAAAGAGAGGGGGTTTGGGAGAGCAATGAAGGCAGGCTGAAGAGGGACAACAGACACTGTAGCGATTAACGCAGGCAATTAATATACTCTCTCAGATATTTAATGCTTCTGTCGTTGCCATTAATGCTCCTTTCTTCTTCCTCTACTTCTCAGTCCCCTCCTCAGAGAGAGAGGCAGACAGCTTTTTCTTCGTCTTATCTTCTTCTTCCCCTAATCGGCTATTCCTATTGTTTGTTTTATAGCCTCTCCACTTTATAAGTTACAGATTCAATGTCTCGTCTTGATTCAATTCTTTACATGTCAATGTACTATTGGATCAGGCCGTTACATAGAACGGATTCACCGTCATGGTTTTTATGCCTATGCCCCTCAATATTTTATAATAATGTGTGGACTTAGATTAGAGGGTAACAATATTTTGAATGAATGAGAGAGTTGTAGCCGTTGTGTTGTGATGAGGTGGTGGGAGTACAGCTGCAAATGCCGTTCCTTCAAATCTGTAAGAGCTCTTACCAAAATCGAAGCCTAAGTATTTATTTGGTGTCGGTAATTTACAGAAATGCAGTGCCAAAATGTAGATTTCCAGCATGAAATTAGAAAAGCTTGCAGTGTGACGAAATGGCACGAAAACAAGGATTGTGACGATTTTATTACAACTTAGCAAAATGGATGAAAAAAGTTAGGTCTCATAAGTGATTTCTAGGGTTTGGAAAATCTCTAAAATGTGACCATGAATAACAAGTAAAAAGAGTAGTAGGTCCCATAAATGATTTTTTAGTGTGAGAAAAATCTCTGAAATGTCTACATGAATTTTAATTAGCTTAGCAAGGTTTGTGATGGGTATTCTTTCCCAAAAAATTTGCAAAACCAATTTAAAATCTTGACTTATAGTTAATGGTTTTTATGAAAAATGTAAATTTTTAGCTTCACAAGATCTTTTGTCTGCATGTAAGGAAACTGTTATTAGTCCTCTATAAGTGGTTTTACCATTTATTTATATCATCATTTATAAAGGCGGACTAACAGTGATTTTTAGGGGTTTGGAAAAACTCGATAATGTCCAATAACCAATATGATATTATAGCCTTGCAAGTGTATCGAAAATGGCATGAAAACAAAGGTTGTGATGATATTTTTGGAAGGGAAATTCATGATACTACAAGAAGTAAGTTTTTGAAGTATTTATATAACTAAAATAGACTTTGATATTCCTACCTATAGGTTGCACTGCATTGCAGGTAGTGGAGTGAGCATCAGATTATCAATGATTCTATGTGAACAGCAGCACGTGGAATTTAGTCACAAGGGCTTGGAGAGATGGAGATGAGAAATTTTTTCTAGTTTCTTGTATTTAAGCGGGTATTTCACCTGTTATAAAATAAATAGAAAGATATGAACAAATATATTATTTTTTTCACTTGTATTATGATATATAGAGTACGTATGATAGAGATTTTACCACACACGCAAACGAGTTAAAAACTCCTATATTACTTGCAAGAATGACAAGGTTGTTGTAGTATAAAATGGTTTTCGCAAGGTCGTTTTCCACAGGGATTATTAAATAATTCAAAACAAACCTAATTCCAATTAATTATTGTAAAGCAGAAAGTTGAGATGATTGGTTTTATAACCTACTTAAATTAAAACGAATTTAATTAATAAAAATAAACTAATCTGCAATATTAAAGATGAAAGGGAAAGAAAACTGTTTTGGAAATAATCAAATTAAGAAAGCACTAGGGTTCCACCATCACCTAACAATCCTATGTATTTTTACCAATTACTTATGATCTACACATGCCACTTTGAAGGTTAGGTTTTCCTAATTTATATTCTACTTGGAACCTCTAACATAGAACGTATATCTAACATGCAACCCGTCCGGACGTTCAGATCAAATCTGAACATGAGAGACTCATTATGCTTTATGAAAACCCTTTGAAAAACCATGCAACCCTTAAGACGTGGTGTTCATCTTAAGTGAAATTACAATTATTAATCACAAGAAGCCAGCATCAATTTCAGGGAACCTTCCAACCAAAAGTGCATCAAATTACTTTTCTAAAGATCCTAATGGTGATCAGGCATTAAGACAATTAAATAGTTTTAATCACGGTGATCAATAATTCAAAGTATGCATGCAATCAATCACAAGCAATTAAATAAAAATTACATATTCATGCTAAGGCTCAAGGCTTCGCCCTAGCAAAAGGAATTAGTTACGAATTTTCATAATTGAAATCATAGAAAATATGCCTTTTAATATCTCTCTAAAACCAGCGCACAAAGCCTAACAATCGAGTATTTTATTCCCACTAAGAAACTAAATAATAATAAAATAACATAAAAAATAAAGTCCTAGTTAAACTAGGAAAAACTGCACAAAAATTGTTCAACCACGTTTTAGCCTCAAATCTTCTCCAAATCCGGCCTAAGATAGCTTGTTTTAAAGATAAGAACGTTCTGAACACATCCTCAGAAGGCCACGAACCCATCCGAAGTCATCTTGGGCTCCAAAAACGCAAGTTAAGCCCAAAACGTCACTATTCCAGCATTGCGTAATGCTCCTTTATTTTATTACCAGAAAATCATCGCTTGGTAGAAAAATTTGATATTTTGATACGATCAAGCCAGGTGACTCACGAATGTCCTCCAGTTGGAATTACTCCAAAATTCATCCATTTGGCTATGTTTTGCTCCAGAAGAAGTCGAAAGTCCTATATTAGAAATACAATTCAAAGTATCAAAATTCGTCTAAAATATTAACCAAAGTATACTAAGAATAGAGTAAAATATATAATATGAAATTGACTCATCAACGTACAACTTGAACATCCGGCACTTGAAAAAACCTCTTAATGAAGATGATTTTGTGTCAAAAGCCGAGCCTAACCCCTTTCCCTTCCCTTCCCTCCACACCTTTTCAATAACTTATTAAGTATTAGAAGGACCAAACCAAGGAAGGAAAAACAACCAACCCTAGCTAACCCCTGACGAGCTAGCTAACTGATACAGCAGCTTATACAGAATACAGAGACTTGTGCTCCGAATCAAACGCTAAATCCTTTGCTGGTTTATAATATAAAGACATGTACGTGAGTAAATGCTTAAAGACATGAGTTACGCAGGCCTTACTTGCCTGAGCAGCCCAATCAATCAGATGTCCCCAAATAAAAGCCCAATGGAAAACATGAGGTCAGATATGGGTGACACAAAAGATCATTGAACATGTCATGATGCCTATTGGGTATGAAAAAGTGATGGCTAGCTAGCAAGTTCTCATGCATGATCGATATATGATGGAATCTGATTCATTAAAGTGAAGAAAATGCGGTATTAATTTAAGCATGCAATATGCGAGAAATAGTGCCCCATTGGAATTCCATGAACTAATTAAAATCCCAAACAAGACGAATCAAACCATCCACTTCTGCATAAAAATAATGTACGATCATATGAGATGTGAAAAAGAAAGAAAATGGCTGCATCAATCGTACGTACGTTCCCAATGGCCACTGTAACCCATGACGAATGGCACCAGATACTCGTTGCTTTAGTGACAAAACATACCTAAATGTTTGCTTTTAGTGACAAATCAAAAGGAAGCTCAATGTGTATGGAACATGCATACCAACAAATAGTACGCATGTTTAGTCGCCATCCAACTCTGCAGGGTTAGTGTCCGCTAAATATTAAAGGGTAATTTTGTAAACTACATTTATTCTTTCCTTGTTCTTTCCCACTCATATGTTGGGTAAAGACGCACACATGCATGCCTACGTGTACGTGTATATGCACAAGTAATTAAAATATATGTTTGGTTTTTGGTATGAAACGTCAGGATTGATATTCTCTAAAAGGAGGTATAGTTAGAGGAAAGCTGGCACGTACAGCAAATTGGGAAATGACAAATTCAAACGCTCTTGGAGACCTTTATAATGTGGATTGATTTTAGATATTACACATTCCTAGTCAGTCCAGCTTCAAGATCCCCAATTATTGGCTCTCATTTTTGGCAGATGACATGAACAAAAAGAGATCTCGGATCTCTTCTATCAAAATCACCGGATCAAGTGATTTAGATCTTTAAAATTTGATTGAATGGCTAAAAATATTATCCATTTTAAAAGTTATAATAACTTTAATCGTTTGATTAAATTTTAAGGATCCGGATCACTTGATCCGATGATCTTAGTGGAAGAAATCTAAGGAGAATCTCTATCCGACATGAACATATGTGAATTGATTGATGGTTGCTGGCACCAACTGTTGAGATGAGATGAAATGTTTGTTGGAGAAAGTGGATTATTGGGCTAATTCTTATTAGTTTAAGTTATCAGATAAGCTTACCGTGGTTACACGTCATGCAATGCATCTTCACCCTTATCATTGACACATTCTCTTACGTAATAAATTTTGTCAAAGTTTAAGAAAGATGGATCAATTGTTATACTAATAGGGCTTATTTTAAAAATAATCTGTATAATTAGAAATAGAACCGTATAATTCTAAAGGATTGCAAATTGTTTTCTCAATATACCGATGTGGATTTTTCAACAAATTATATATTTGTCAATCATTTATTGGACGAGTAAAACACTTTTTTAACACGTTACAAATATTAAAAATATCTTATTACCATCACATTGAACTCCCATAATTCCGTTCATTTTCTTATTAATTTCTTATTATAATTTGGTTCATTGTTCAAAAAATTATACGAAGAGATTTGAATTTAAGAGTAAAATGAGAAATCACACACTATTCTAACCAACTTGATTTAATCGATCAATACTTCTTCAATTTCTCCTTTTCATATTTGATTCTTTTTTTCTTTTCCAAACAATACATACCTTATATATGTGAGACGAATAAAAAAGTTTATCTAAACTTGGGTTGGGCAAACTAGTTGTGGCTCCCGTACTCGAGTTCAAATCTTTCTTATTCTTGTAAATAAAAGGAGTGTAAAAACTAAATAAAACAAGTCATTAGGCACACAAAACTCCTCAAGTTGTAGGAAAAAACTCGACGTGGAAGCACAAAGAAAGCAATTGCGTGTGCATGGAGCCCTAATGTAAGAGCAAATGTGACAGCCCGTCCCGAATTTTTGTACCGTTAGTGTGAAAAGATGATTTTGCCCCTGGACGTATTTTGTGTTGTAGGGTGTTTGGTTTGTTTTGTTTTTGGTTGTGAACTCAATTGGACCACACACCACACACACACCCGTGGACCTTTCCTCTCTCCCTTCTCTCTCAAATTTTCTTCTAGTTTCTTCCATTTCCTTTGCAAAGGTACGGACGAACTTCAAACTACCTTCTACTTTCACGGATCGATGTCGAGGAGTTTACTTTTGTGTTCCTTGTGAGCTTAGGAGCTCTTCCATACCCTTAAATTGACGTGAAACCTTCAAAAATCCGAGAACCAAGGAACCCAGTTTTCGTGCACTGTTCATGCACACGTGATCGTGAGGTTTTTAGAAGTTTTTAAGGTTCTAGGGAGCTTTAGAACCTTATCACGAAGCTCGGGGAACAATTTTGAAGTGTTTTGGACGTCAGGAAGCCCAGTTTCAAGGAGTTGCAGGTTTGGCTGGAATATCGTGAGGTTTTTCGGCAAGATTATGTTGGTTTTGGGTCCCCAAAGTGGTAAAGTTTTGTTCTACTTGTTGTAAGCTTCATTTTGGTACAAATTTCATGGAATTTGCTTGAGAATTGAAGAAGATACTAAGGTTTGAAGTTTTTCCAGTTTTCTGGCGAGAATTCGATTGGAGATGGCGGCGGACGACAGCGACTGGCGAGGCTCACCGGAGAAAGAGTAGAATATTCCGTTAGAGTTAACAGAATATTTTAACGGCATCAGGTAACGCCCGTTAACGTCTGTTAGGGTTTTAACGGAATATTCCCTAACGCCGTTAGGGTTCCACACATGTGCCAGGCACGTGTCCGTGCGTGGCGGCTCGTGGAATGTCAGAAAATTATTTTAAAAATATGGAGATGTTCGTGGGATTGAGTAGATCACGTTGGTATATTCAAACACCTCAATTGAGCAATGTATGAGAAGTTATTATCTAAGGTTGGTTATGTGCGTTAAATTGACGTTTTTATAGTTGTTTCGCATATAGGTGAGGACTATCCGGAGGGCGAGCGCAGCCACGCGAGGCTCAGGGCTTACGACCCTTCTACGTATCAGTGAGTGGGTTTTTGGTTTTCCGTATATATCTATATACTTGAGAATTTTTCCAGAAAATGCAATTAAATGTTTATATGTTTTAAAATGCCATGCATAAGTGTTTGCATATTTACTTATGCATTAGTAGTTGCATATGTGTATGCTTTGGTACCGCGAATGCTCAGGTAAGTCAGGTGAGTATATTGTTAGTGATAGATGTGGTGTTGTTGAGATTGAGTTATAGCTTACATTCCTGCACCTTGGTGATTATGCTCTACCAGAGTAGGGCCTAGTCTTCACATGATCGTTCACCTCCCGCACTGTACACTCACCTTGGATCCAAGGCAGGTGCCAGCTTGTCGTATAGACCACTTTTGGTGGTTCCGACTCATAGTCGCACAGCCTTCACGTGATTGTAGCACTAGAGCGTATTTATTTACACCTAGCTTGTCGTACATACCACTTTAGGTGGTTCCGACTCGTGTGTAGGATAGTGGTTGATGAGCTATAGTTTCAGCCGTACATGTCACTTTAGGTGACTCCGACTGACTAATTAGTATCACTGGCATATTATGATTTGTTTTATCTCACCTGCTTGATGCGTGTACTAATTGTTTAGATATTCTGACACGGCATTCTTCTGGCATGGCATAGTTGAGCTTTATCGTTTTGAGCATGATTTGAGTTACGAGTACATATAATATTTTTTGGAAAGCATACGGGTTATATAGAGAGGGGTTATTACTTGATATTGAAATGGTTTGAAAAACAAACTTTGTTTTTGCCCACTCTAGTTTTCTGTTTTGCGCTCCTCCAGGTTTTAGGTAGCGGAGACGTGGGTGACGAAAGAGGCATTGATGCATTTCTGACAGAGCACCCTCCATGTAGGATTTTCTGGTTATCACTTGTGTAGTGTTTGTTTACTCTGGACTGCAACTAAGATACTTGAACTTCTACTTTGCATTTTCCTTCCGTGTTTGTCACTAGCACTCACTGATCTTTTTATTGTAAATTATTTTATCGACTTAATTTTCACTCTTTTACTTCCGTTTTGTGTACTTGACTACGTCATCCTCACGTGACGGCCAGTTCGCTCCAATTTTTGATCAGGGTATGTCAGCAAAGGCCCTTCCCCTTTATACCAGAAGAAAACTAAATTGATTAAATATTCACAGCAAAAGAAAAGAATAGATGGGCATGTCACATGTCACCTGCGGAAAATGGGGCAACAGATATATGTATTCTTGTCCACTTATTATTCCATTGGTGTCTTTTATATATGTTGTCTAGTTGCAACTTGCATGGTATGTAATATGTATAGTTGGCTGGATAATTAGTGAGTGAGCAGATGGTTGGTGGATATTGGATAATCAGGATCATGTGTCAGCCTGTAAGATCCAGGCCAACAACCAAAACCATTCGTCGTTTAGTTACAGTAGTTTAGAAAAATGAGAAATTAGGTTCTCATCCATTTTTTTGTTATTTTATTAATTAAAAATTAATTAATTTATTTATTTTTTATCAAGGTCGTTAGATATTAATAAACGTCATTAATTAATTTGATAATAAAATATTTTTTATTTCTAAATATATTCATTTAGGGTTAGAAATGTTATATTTTGTATATTTATATTTATGGCTAAAAATTATATCATATATTTTTATTTTTAGTTTGTAACCATTTTTAATTTGCAACCATTTTTTAATTTGTACCAATTTTTTTTTCTGTTTTAATTTGTACCTATATATTAAACTCTTTTTGTGCCCATATTTTTTAAAGTTTTATTTGTATTTATTCCCATATTATTTAATTTATTTGTACCCATTTTTTATTTTGCTAAATGTACCCATGCTAATTATATGTATTTATATGATGTTTAAAATATAGCAGTAGTTATTTTTTAAAATATGTTAATAATTATGTGGGTACATTATTTCTTGCAATAATTTTGTGAAGGATAATATTACTCTAATATTTATTTTTAAGTATTATTATATTTAAAAAAAAATATTATTTGATTTTTTTTTTAATTTTCATAATTTGTGAGACATTAAGTGCATAAATACATAAGTTAAATCTCTTATACAATATTAAGAACTTTAATCAAAATATTTAAACAAATAAGATTTCAATCTAATAATTAAGTAGATTAAGAACCAGAACCAAAATCATCGTTAGATAAGCAGTGCATAAAAGCTTTCTACCGGTAACATACTGTTAGCGGGAAAAGAAAACCGTAACATGGCAAAACGTATACGGGCGGGAACAAGGCGAAGACGTGTAATCATGTCGACAGCTAGACATTAAGCATTGGCGCCAACTCACATGGCGGTACCGGTTCAGAGACCCGACACTTTCGCACCACGCCACGCGTACGAACTTCTCTTATCCGATCACACTTGGCTCTGACACGAGTCTTATATTTTTTTTATGTTTTCCTGTCTTAAAAAACATATTTCTTTGCGTTGTGAGTCTTGTGACCGTCGAAAATAACAATATTAGTTTTTGGATATTCGCGTCATCTTCCACTCCCCCGATTTCCAGAAAGTGGAAAATCCGACAAATAACACGTGGAGATCTGGTTGTTGCGCCAAAATTATAACATTTTTCGGTTTTTGGACGAAGAAAATTAGAACGGTTGACGGTTGACCGATTTGAAGCGCGCGTTTTGGTTATTTGGTGCAATGCAAGGAGAGTAGGAATAATGGAATATCCAGAGATGTGAGGGGGAATATGCTTCAGAGAGATCCCGTCCCGTTTGGCGCTCTCTCTGTCTCTCTCCTCGCGCAGGTCCCTCCTCCTTTCCTCCTCCAAAATAAATAGCCCCTCCTTCTTCCCACAGTCGTGCTTCCATCAACAAATTAGACAGCTCCACGTTCACCTTGCTTTTGCTTCCGGGCATCCCCTCTATTCTCTCTGTCCTCTTTTCTTTTTATTTAATTTAATTTCCCCGTCTTTTCTTCTCCCTTGATTTAAAAAAAATGGCTCTCAAGGCCGTCCACGTCTCTGACGTCCCGAATCTCGATCAGGTGCCGGAAAACGCCTCTCTGGCGCTCTACTCCTCCCGCTTCCCCAAAGGTATAATCTTTGATTAATTAGTCCTCCTATTAATTTATTTATGTTCTCTTGTCAATTAAATAAAAAAAGGTTGTTAATTTGAATAATATTGTGCTTATAGGTGTGGAGATGAATCGGGGGGCACCGAGGATACCCAAGTTTCTAGTGATCGGACACAGAGGGAACGGAATGAACGCGCTACAGTCGTCCGATCGGAGAATGAGAGCCATTAAAGAGAACTCCATCATGTCCTTCAACGCCGCCGCCAGCTTCCCCATCGATTTCATCGAATTCGATGTTCAGGTGAGACCTTAATCTCTCTCTCTCTCTCTCTCTCTCTCTCTCTCTCAATTCAATCAAACCAATGGTCCCAATGTGTTTCTGAATTTTGGCGGTGGGCTTTCCGGATATTTCAGTTTTTATTTAAATGAGTTTGCCGGAACTTCCATATCCCACCTGCATTTTTTTTTTGTCGCCGCGTACGCGGTATTTGTCGGCATTTGCATGAGAAAGAAGTTTGATTTTTTTTGGTTGAAACTTGAAAGTTTGAATCTTGATCGAGTCTGCAGTGAATCCGGTTCTGGGTTTTAGGGTATTTCTGTAATTTCGGTTATTTTTCTATTTTTGGTGAATTTCCAAACTGGGGTTTAGCTTAATAAGCTCTTAAATCAAGATCAAGTCCATGTTTTTCTATTTCCGGAAACTTGTTTCGAGTTTGAAACGGTACTGATTATCTCCTTTTCTGCATTTATTCTCCCTTAATTTTTGGAAATTGAATTAAAATTTGAAGAGTGGAGGTGAATGAAGGAAAAAAAAAAAAAGTGAAAAAAAAAAAAAAGAGAAAAAAACTGAAACAGGAAAGTGAAACCCAATGTGGTGGCGTTTTGTAGGTAACCAAAGATGACTGCCCGGTCATTTTTCACGATGACTTCATCTTCTCCGAAGAAAACGTAAGCTTAATTTCTCCACCCTCCATTTACTTTTTACTTTTCCTTGTATGTTTACCTGGTAATTAATCTTCAGCTTACAAGTTAATTTTTGGTTTCATCAGGGTACTGTGTTTCAGAGGAGAATTACCGAACTGTGTCTTTCGGAATTCCTAAACTATGGTCCGCAAAGAGAGCCAGGGAAGGAGGGAAAGTCGTTGTTAAGGAAAACCAAAGATGGTAAAATAGTAAGATGGGATGTCGAAAATGATGACCCCCACTGCACACTCCAAGAGGCCTTTGAGCAGGTCGAGCCTTCCCTCGGCTTCAACATCGAGTTGAAATTCGATGATTACATTGTTTACCAGGAGGACTCTCTCTTCCGCGTCCTTCAGTCCGTCTTGCAAGTACGTCCATCAATCATCGTATTTTTAAAATTTGTACACGAGATTAAATCCTAGGCGCCAAACGAGGCCTGATTGTTAGTTTCGATAAGGCTTGTGCTCATCTGGATTATAATTTTGTGGAACAGGTGGTGTTTGAGTATGCCAGAGATAGGCCGGTCATTTTCTCAAGCTTCCAACCTGATGCGGCCTTGTTGGTTAAAAAGTTGCAGAACACCTACCCTGTAAGCACTTTTCTCGAGTATAATTTACTTTTGAATGCGATCGATCGATGTTCAATGTAATCAGTTACTAATTACTGTTCTGAATGAATCGATGATGGCAGGTCTTTTTCTTGACAAATGGTGGGAATGAGCTTTACTATGATGTGCGAAGGAATTCTTTGGAGGAGGCGATAAAAGTATGTTTGGAGGGTGGTTTGCAAGGTATTGTGTCGGAGGTTAAAGGCGTTTTCAGAAATCCCGGGGCACTAACCAAGATCAAGGAGGCCAAGCTTTCACTCCTAACTTACGGCAAATTGAAGTAAGCTTGCGGAATTCTGTTTGCTCAATGGATTTGTGTTAGTGTTGAATTTAAAAAAATTATGAATGAATGTAAATTGATCACGAAATTGATGATGAAATTGCAGCAACGTGCCGGAAGCAGTATACATGCAACACCTAATGGGGATCGAGGGAGTGATAGTGGATTTTGTGAAGGAGATAACGGAGGCAGTGTCGGATATGATTAAGCCATCAGGGGGGGCGGAGGAAGACGGGAGCATAATGCAGGAGAAGTCAAAGCCGGAGTTCTCACAGAGGGAGCTTTCTTTTCTATTGAAGTTGATTCCGGAGTTGATACAGCTTTGAGGTCGATCTTTTGAAGAATTTGTATCTCCTTTGTAAAATTAAATTAGGGGGCAGAAGCAATATCTGCATACTCAGGAATCAGGTTGTGGAGGCTGTCGCATCATAGATGCACTATTGTTGTACATATAATTTAGTCTTGAGGGTCACAACCCTATACACGTAAGTTGTGCGCTCCTCCTTTATGTATCTCAGAGGTAACCAAGTTTTATGTTGTTTTATGTTGGTTGAACATTCAGCCGTTTGTTTTGGTCTTCTACTATTTCTATGAGCATTTTGCAACCAGGTTATACCAAGAGAGCTATGCTCTGTTCTCTTGGAGGAAATGGAAATAGATTGGGGAAGAATTGAATTGAGAAATGAGTCGGAATGAGGTGGAATTAAAATTAAATTTCTGTTAAAATAGTTTATTAAAATTTTCTGGTTAAAATCAAATTTCCGTTAAAACAGTTTATTAAAATTTTCTGAAATTAGAATAAGAATAGTACTGAATTGTATAAAATGTTTACTAATTCACATGAATAGGAATGAAAATCAATGTAATTACTGAAAATGTTCCACTTCCAGTAATTTATTTTATATATTTTAACTTTGTGACAAAAAAAACTTTAATTCTTTTTAGTTGATATTTTTAGCTGAGAGAACAAAATTTGGTGTTGGTTATAAGGAGTAGGATTCTTCAATTCCCACTAAATTATAGAGAATTCAATTCCTTCAAATTTTGCAGTTAAATTCTGCACTTAAGTAATAAATTGAAGTACTCGAGTTTATGCAGACAGCTGGGCTTCTTGAAAGAAGAACAAAGTTGATTAGTCCAAAGTTCTATTGACAGGTGTAGTAATTAAGGTGCTAATTAATGGAAAGGAACTCTCTCCGCATTTGTTCCTTCAAATTCATCAAATCAAAGAATTTGCGTTAAAATTTGATCCAACGGTGGAAGTTATTTTAACTTTGAAAGTAAATTTCTATTTATAACCGTTAGATTAAATTTCGACGACCCGCATTTCTTAACTTGGTAGATTAGGAGAAAGGAATCCGGATCCCTTCCCCTAATTAATGTGCATCTCCACATGATAACGGATCTCACAGCAGCACGATGTCAATTCAAGACAAGACCACACTACAAGGTGGAGCATATTGAATACGTTGTTTTCTTCAACTACACATGTGTTTCAAACACACATCTCCCAACTCCCTAGATATATGTATGGTGTTGGTGTTCTTCAAAGTTTCAACTTCAACGCCATTTCTTAGCTTTCTATCCGTCTTCGTTATCAGCATGGTTGATTTGACCCTAGAGATAATGCTAGATGTGAGGAATTTTTTATATTAAATAAACCAAATAATATGTTATCAATAAAAAATAAATATTTTAATTAAATAATTAAATAATAATTCATTCATCTACGTTCACATCTCTTAGTTTACAAAATTTGATTTAAAAATTTGCTCTCTAGCGTTACTTTTGACCCAGACTAAGCCAAAGTCATTTGTATATGCAAAACTGACATGAAAGTTATTTGTTAAGAGATCATGTCTGAATATTATTTTAGAATACCTCAGAAAATGAGAGAAACTCTTGTTTTGATTGAGGAGAAAATGAAGAGTTAACTGGAATACAACATTAAGAGTTGTTGCTGGTCTCAAAATGGGAAAATGATTCTCTCCCCTCCTTTTTTTCCCTTCTCTTCCCTCCCCTCCTATTTGAACAGTCATGGTTAAGTCACGTCAACATCTTATATTAATTTTTTATAGCAAGAGAAAGACAAAATAAGAGAATGTGAGAGGAGGGGAGAGAATCCTAGTCCCTCAAAATGGATCCCGGCCAAAAGCCAAGGATTTTGAGATCTGTTTGTACTTCTTGTTTTTTGTTGGGGGCGTGCCAACTCGTGGCTTAAGGTCAAGCGAGTAAAGAGAAGTTGGTTCAAACAAAACTATCAAAATCTAAACCAATTATAATTTAGGGTAATGCTATCTACATCCTATTTTTATTTCTCGCACATATTTCTCAATTTTTGGCTCGCAGCCTGATCGAATGAGTTGATGAAGATTGATGACAAAAAATCAATAAAAATGTGTTAAAAGTAAAAATAAGTGCGTAAATAGCTGAATAACATTATTCGCAATTTATATCTCGATATAAACAATGTCTATGTATAATGCTGTCAAATCTTGTAAAATATACAATTTCTTTAAATCAATAATTACTGAAAACGTACTTTGCAAGCAATCATGAAGAAATTAAGGTTAATCAATCTCTGCCAAATGTACAGTGTGTGTGTGTGTGTGTGTGTGTTTAAATAAACGAGAAATGCTAAGGGGAGCAAGGACACACAAGTTAGAACAAGAGATTTCTGTACCCACACCAAGGCGAATAAGGAGCAGAAGAACAAACAAGAGATTAAAAAAATAATTAAGAGCACACGACGTGCCACACACGGGGGCTCAGCTCCCAGTGCTTTTAGTAATACAGAAGAAAAGCATGCTTAATTGCTTATTGACCAAAACCTAACTAATTAGTCCTCACACGGTTGCGATCAGTTGCGAACACAAATCAAAGACCCGTCAAAATAAAGCAGCAACCGATTCCTACCTCATTATAGTATTTCCATTTGCCGAGTCAAGGAAGGAGAAGAGCTTTCCGATTCAGAATACGAGTCAAGAGTTTCCTGGCACTACTGCATCCCTCTCTAGATCAATTTTTTTTAAGTGATACCTCCCTGTTTGTATATGTATCTATATATATTTATATGTGTGTGTGTGTGTGTGTGTGTGTGTGTGTTGATTTCCCCACTCTCCAAATCGGCAACTGCAAGAAGGCACAAAACACCAGGATTGCCAGCTGCCTCCTGCTCTCCTACACAACTAATATACGAGTTGCTTGCTTCTGCTTCAATTAATTATTAAGCTAAACCTAGATCATATATTCATCACGTATTTGATTAATTAATCCATAAAAAATATATAGATATATAGAAATAATGGAGAATATTAAAGAAAATTATGTAATATATGGAGGAGTGAAGATGCCGGTTGGGTACCGGTTTCGTCCCACGGATGAAGAGCTGGTGATTCACTACTTGATGAGGAAGGTTCATGCTGCCCCATTGCCTGCTTCCATCATTCCAGAGTTTGATGTCTTCCAAACTCATCCCTCGGGCTTGCCAGGTTAGTTTGTTCATGTTTTTTATTACTCTATCTTATTTTAACAAGATAAGTGATTTTTGCCCTCTCATTTTCTCTGTCGGTTAGACTTCATGCATGTATATTTCTTTGACACTACTCTAATTTATTCATGTTCAAATGACAAAAATGATCATGAGTGTGCATAAATCATTAGGAGTGTGTGGAAATCTCTTTCCTTTTATTACTAGAGTCTTATTCAAATTATAAGGCAAGGCTAGCTAGCTAATTGATTCATCATTATCGGGTTGTGCAGGTGATGTTAGGGAAACAAGGTATTTCTTTTACAATGAAATTATGAATAAGTATGTTGGCAAGAGAGCTGCCGGTTGTGGGTACTGGAAACCTATTGGCAAAAAGAAGCAAATTGTTGCTAATTCTAAATCCAATGAAGCCGTCGGGATCCGGAAGACGTTGGGTTTCTGTGAAAGGAAGCGCCGCGGTTGCCACAACCACCACCATGAAACCACCAAAACTACCACTCAAACTCGATGGCTCATGCATGAATACCGCCTCGTGGCTTCTCAAGCGAATCCAACCCAGGCTTTCAAAGCGGGAGTGGGAAACTGGGTGCTGTTTCGCATATTTCAGAAAAAGAGAAGGCCTACTCAAAGAACATCGGATGATATGGGGGTCGTTTCTCAACGCTCATCAAATTGCAAGAGGAATCGGAGATTAATGGAGGAATATCTCTCCGCAGCTGACCATCGTTCACGACGTTCGGATCCTGATCTTACAACATTTTCTTCCCCATCATGCTCGAGTGATGTCACTCATGAGCTCACTTCCAATGACAATGGCGAGCTAGACGATGATCAGGAGGAACACAGTGTTAGCATGCGGATTAATATTTAGCTAAGCTATTATATATTGATCACATTAATCTTGTTCTGTTTAAGATCAGTAGTACTAATTAAGATAGCTTTGATTAAGCTTCCTTAATTCCGTGTAATCCATCATGTAATCCAACTATCTTGCGCAACAAATTAAATAAGAATGGCCACCAACACCAAGAGGCAAATAAAGAGACATTCATATTGTTGTAACCTTCAATTTTGTAAGGCTTAATTATGAGTACGAGCATTAGATAAGAAAATCCAAAATGGAATTCTGAAGATTCAGTAATATTCTGTCTTAACTTTATCTTCAAGTAAACTTTAATCACTAACGTTAATTAGCGATGTACTAGGGTGGATAAAAGACTTATATGCTATCATTGTCAGTTTTTTTCTTGTAGTATATATTGGTTTAACTGATTAAATTCACCAAATATACTATCATAATCATCCTATCACTGCCAGAGGAAAAAGATGTGCAATGCAAAGATGGCATATGATTTGTTTCTATGTAAATCAGGAGTTGTCTTTCTCTTTTCTTATCGAAACGGGCAAATGATTTCTGAGCCAAAAAGATAACCCAATTGAATTGTTAGGTATATCTATCTATCTAAATCTAATTTGATACCCAAACCAACTGCCTGAAAAAAAAAAAATGGATGGAGGTTTAAGTCTTGGCCCTTTTAGTTTTGGGCATGAATGAAACGAAAGAGGTTCCTTAATTTTATTATCTAAATCGAATCATGGCACAACTACGACAAGTGATCAAGTGAAAAAGTGTGAACGACAGCTCTTTAAAGAAAAAACAGAAGGTCTTGAATTCGATACTTTATAAGTTATGAATCTGATTGATCGTGGCACAAGAAGGGTGAAAGTTCCAACTAACCTTCTTCGAGCCCCAAAAAATTAAATAACCATAGCTCAGCGTCAATTAACTTCTGTTTTTTTAAGAAAAAAATAAAATAAAATCATGGCACGTAAAAATAAAATAATCATAAATATGTTAGTGGTGGCAGAGAGCACCCACGCTACACTAGTGCACATGACCCCTTCTTTTTCTATACAATTGACAACTTAATGCTTCGATTTGTGGAAACTAGCTTATGTCTTTTTGGCTTATCCTTTAAAAAATGAACGAGATTCTGTCTTCTTCGATCATATATACGATCGATAATTATTATGCTATATATAATTAATGAGTGCTAATTTGATTATCACCTAATTAAAGAAGGGTGTTGGGGAAGGGAAGAAAGCACAAAACTTTTTTTTTCAAAAAGAATAAACGAGTATGCAGAAAAGGATGAAGGGCCTAAGCCTAATACAAGAAGCCAAAAAACAACAAAAAGAAATAGCTCAGGGGCAAAAAAACAAAAAAACAAAAAAACAAAAAAACGAAAAAACCCACAATCAACGTAAGTGCAAGAGAAATCAACAACAATCATCTAACATGGTTCAAGTTCCATTTATGAATATTTGGATTCTCAACAGTAGGCTTGAAACCACCAGAGAGCATGAAGAAGTTGCGGTTCCACTACTAATTGGCAATATGAGGAGTAGTCGAATTACTTATAAGCATACACAAAACATCTTCTCTTATCATTGTGGGATTCATTCTCAATAGAGCAAAACCACAACTTAACAATGGCGAGAATAGAAGCCAGCACAATGTCATGCTTTCTATGTACTTCAAGAGTTAAAATAATGCAACCTCTCAGGGGAGCTTGAGAATAAGATTCGTGCTATTAATCCCACACCAATAGAAAAGAATTAAGTCCTACTTAAACGTCTTCAACTGGCACCACCACAACAATCCAATCTCACCGTCACAAAGTCCCTAAAAGATGGTTGCTGCTGGAAATTGATTCATTCGTACATTGAAACCCCAATTACATGCGTGGGCATATACATACCATATTATCTAACTTTAACGATAGAGTAATTTCATCTATAAAAACTATGCATGCAACATGAATGTGTACCTTATCATTAATTGATGATCCATCATTGCATGTTTGTATATGGGTTGTAGTCTTCAATAGAACACATAAACAAGGCTTTCTTCAGTTATTCAGCTCCCTCCTTTTCTCGATCGAGACCTCTTCCCGGCCCCAAAACATGTATACCCGCAATCAGGTAAGCATGTATGATGGATCAACCCCAAATATTGATCTTCTTATATATATACAGGTTCTTTAACCAGAGGAATTCCAATTTTTTGAAAAAAATAGGGATTAGATGTGTGGCCCACTCCACATCGAACTTCCACGATCCAAACCGTCTATTTTGTAAGTCTCGATCCATAGATCATCCTCTCAAAAATTCAATTTAATCCGAAATCATTTGCCTAGTTAATTATCAAGATAAAATTTTATTGTTTCTTATATAACAAAATATTTGTTAATTTCTTTAAACCCAATTAGATGTCTTAAACATTTCCGATTTGGCTAATATTTTGTAAGGATGATCTATGAACTGCAACTTGAAAAATAGATGGTTCGAATTGTATTCGATGTAGTGTGGACCCCACAAGGGATCCCCATTTTTAAAACGGGGTTCCCTTCTTTTAAAGACTTCCTACACACACACGCACACACATACACACACACGGTTTTTGAGTTAAACCACAAAAACCTACATGCATGGGACCTGTACGCTGAGCTTGTTTGCCCTGAAGGAGGGTTAACTTGCACCGACCAGTCGAAAGCTTTGTGTCCTAGACTCCTAACTCGTAAGGAAAATAACGTTTCACAGGGATCTCAGGCTGCGCTTCAAAAGGCGGCTCGCTTCGTTTAAAAACGGTTATTCTATGTTCCCTGAGCCTGAGGCTTCAAGAAACATAACACACCTTTTTGAATTTTGACCCATCAAAGTCTTTATTCAAACCACCATAATTAATATCTTCGCTTTCATTTCCTTCATTTCCCACTCAATGCTCCTATAAATTCAAAAGGCTAGCTCATGTGGAGCAGTAGGACAATGATGTATTTCCCTCTAAAGAAAGACCATTTGTGTCTTCAAAATCGCAGCTATACTTCTATTTTTCCAGTTCTCCATTTTTATTACATGAAAAATGATAAATACACATAATTTTCCGTTTCTCACTAAATTTATTAATCATGTTCCTTTTTTTCTTTTTTTTTCAATTTATTTAATCCTATGATCATAATATTTAAAATATATATATAAAAAAAAACTCAAAAAAGGTGTGAGAATCATCTCCCTTTCTCACATATGCTAAAAGCCATAAAGCACTTCCTTAAGATGGAAAGTGTATGTATACGCGGGCTATGTGAAATGCTAATGAAACTCTCTCAAAGTGGGAGTTTCCGTCATTTCACGGTTTAATGTTAATTTTTGTGCAACATTATAAAATATTGTGTCAAAAATAAGATAGTAGAAAGTTCATGGAAAGTCTCACTTTTGAGAGAGTCTCCTTGAGTGCATTTTTGCTCACCACCATAAGCGATGATATAGGCTCACCATACACCTCGTCATTTGCCAACATATCATTTTACCTAATTCTGGTTAACTTTTATATTAAATAATCATTTCATAATTTAAAAATATTAACTATAATTAAATGAAAAAACACGTAATAGACGATGAGATGTATAATAAACTACACTATAATTATGGCAGTGAGCTAAAATGCTCACAGTTCCCTTTGCATTTCCTTTTCTCAAATATTATAGTACGCATGTTACTAAAATTTACCCGTGAAGTTTCAACCATTTCAAAAACCTTTTTCAATGATTGCGTTCTTGGTCTCCCTTTTGAATAGAGGATAATATAATTTGTTAATTAATGCGAGGTCATCTAAAATGTCCAAATTGGCAAATTGGCAAATTGGCAGGAAAGTTTTAAAAGTATAAACCGTCTTTATAGATTAAAAAATAGAAAAGAATGACTTGTGCGACCATATGTCATGTGCACCAAAGCATCATCAGGCCTACAGGAATATATAGCTAACAAAGTTTTCAAAGTATTCCCACAATCATTATATTATTTTAATATTAGTTATGTTCAACTAATCTTAATTAATGTTTGAATAACTACATTGTATATTCTCTAATACCTATTTGTCAATATCATCCGCATTCTCGGTCGTAGCTACATAGACTCACTTCGATTATTCCCATGAGTCCCAATTTGTGGCGGATGCCCATAAGTAATTGGCCTTTCTTCTAACCATAATGCTGCCTCTAGTGTAAACGTTTTCATTCGAATTTAATCAAATTTCTACTGTGTGTTAAAAAAAAGTGACGTAGCCTAAGCGCGCACCAGTTTTAAGATTGGATCCCGAGAGAATTTTTGAGTATAACTCACAATTATTAATATCTCTTTCATCACGTAACATGATATATATAATAAATTGCTTATCAGTGTTGACATTTAAGATGTGGTTGTAATTACAAATGAAACTCCACACTTACTATAGTCTTTAGTTTACTATTTGAGGTGGAGTTACAAAAACAGTGATAATATAAGTGGATGATAAAGTTAATATGTTTCATTTTTAAGCACACAAATAAAATTAATATACTTAAGTTTAATAAAATACAATGTGACATTATTCCAAATAGATAAAAAAACCCTTCTAAGGCTCAGTTGGTATTACTTTTTTTTTCCCCAATAGCAGGTTCACTTAAGATTAAGCAGTAAAAGTGTTTGATAAAAATAAAATACCCTACTTATATAAAAAGTAATGGCCTCCATACAGCAAACTGCTTTTAAAAGTTGTTTTTACTAAAAAAACATAGTTAAGGCTTTAATGAATATTTTTAATTCTTGTAATATGCTTATTAATTTTAAGAAATTACATTATTTATACTTTTAGACGCATTTTATCCTTAGAGAACAAAGTGACCACCATCACCTACCACTACAAGCCCTAATCTCTTAGACCACTAGTGTCATTACTACCACCATTGTTGCCACCACCACCACACCACAATCGCACCACGACCACCACCAGTTGTTGTCGTCATCGCCCACACTATCATGTTCATTTTGTCATTATATACAATTATATCACTTTTACATTAATTTTTACTAAATGCTTTTACACTGTTTTTTATGCTCACAACACTTTCAAAAATACATTTCATTAACCACTCAACCTCTTTATTTTACAGCTGATTAATCTTAACCTACAACAAAAACAGTATTGAAAAAAACAACGCAATTCCAAATTAGCTCCAACTTACCAATGAGTAAAGTGACAAATACAAAGTGAACGGTGATTGAAGTGTATTCCCCGCTCATTCACCTTGTCTTGCAAGGGATTACAACCAAATTGAGGGACAAAAAGGGTAATTCGGGATCAGTGGAGGTGCGGATGTGACCCACCCACCGGCGCGGTCAAAGTAAGATAGCTTTCGTTCTAGAACCGCTTCTTTCTCGTCAGCAATATCTGACTTTGACTATCATCCGCTACAACTAAACCCCCGCATGTCACTTTCACCCGCCACTCTTTTGTCTCCACGTCAGAAGTTAGACCATCTCCCGTAGACAGACGCGCACTGGATTCTTACCTCCCACCACCGTCCCATTGCTTGATTACCAAATTGCCCTGCTTTGATACGTGTCTCTTTGTCAGCGCGCGCTGTTTCCCTCTAGTAAATGACGTGAGAATGATCCCGTTTTTTCCCTTTGTTCATTTTCTCCTTGTTTTCCAATTTTTTTTTTTTTTAATTTCGCAGTTTCTCTCTCCTTCTTTATCTGCTACAAGTCGTTTTAGATGATCCACCGAGCGTAGCTCCTTCATCTTCTTCGTCTTTCTGCTTCTCGAATGTCGTTTGAAGCTGCAGAGTTAATTGGAGTCGTCGTTTCGTAGATTTGGAGTCGAGCGTCTTTGAATTTCCAGGGATTTCAGTTTTCACGCTGCGAGTCGCTCTGAGTCGTCGTCCCAGTGATTGCGTTAGGGTTTTTCAGACAATATGAAGACCTCGCTCGGCATGTTTCGGAGATTCGAACTGCACAAAAATGATGCCAAAGAAAAGAGAGACATTCAACCTTTGGCTCAGGTCGATGAGCTCGCTCAGGCTGCTCAGGTACAGTTTTTTTTTTTTTTTTTTTTAATTTTATTATTATTTATTTCGAGTTTGTGTGCTTGCTTATTATGTATAATTTGCGTTAGGACCTTCTAAAGAAGCTGAATAGTCTTTCTCCGGCTAAATAAACGAATTCGGAGGACTTTTTTCTGCTTGATTGAGGAAAATTTTCATATAATATTTACTCCGGAGTTGTTAGATCAATGATTTAAGCTTTGTAATTGCTCTTGAAAATTACTGGATCTTCGCCTCAGTGAGTGAATGATTGATTTGACTGTGAATTGTAACTAGTTTGCGCGGCGGATATGATTATGGAGGATTAATGGATCGGGAAACTATATATTTCACACTTAATTAGCGAGGAAAAAGCTTTTCTAATTGTGTTGTAGTTTGCAAATAGTAGTGTTAATTACGGGAATATTAGTTGGTGAGCGTTTGTGCATTTTGCAGGACATGCATGATATGAGAACTTGCTATGATAGCTTACTCTCTGCAGCAGCCGCTACAGCAAACAGCGCATATGGTGAATACTCTGCTTACTGTCATTTGTCCCTTAGTTTTTAATTTGATGGTTACATATTGTACTATTTCGATAAAGGAATATGCCCAAATTTGTCGACTTCACCAAAATGTAGAGAATGGTGTTTATATCTCGTATATGATATGACGCACCTATCCACTCTAAGACACTTTTGACATATTATAACTCCCTCATGAAAGTTGATCAGCAGAAAAGTTGTGCTTAAATCCTACAAGGACTGACTAATAGGGTGAGCTTGACTGTGAGTTCAAATGCTTATTATAAAAGGTTGGGTATTATTTGGGGATATGACAACAAATATGGCTAATTCTGAATTATTGAGTGTGTCTACAAAGCATATGGACTTATTGGAAATCCCAATGTTAATTCTATGAGATTTATATTCAAGATAACAACTCAACGCCATGGATTTCTGCCATTTGACCTAATCTGCACTTTCAGAATTCTCGGAGTCACTGCGTGAAATGGGTACTTGTCTGCTGGAAAAAACTGCATTGCATGATGATGAAGAGAGTGGTAAGTCCATCAAAGTATATGACCCTTTTTTTTTTTGTGGGATGAAGGTGGGCAAACCTTCAAGCTTCATTTTCTCACCCATGGCTAAGGATATTTGGAGATGAACATAACATCTGTATTATATCCATGAATTTGAGTTATGGGGATTTTTAATCTTTGAGCTAATCATAACATTTGCATTATATACGTGAACTGAATTATGAGGATTTTTTTTCTTCTTTTTGTGAGTATTGAGGATTTTATGATACATATGCCTGGTACTTAATTGGCATGCAGGTAGAGTATTTCTGATGCTGGGGAGGTTGCAGTATGAACTTCAAAAACTTGTTGATGGCTATGTGAGTTCTTCCTGTTGTTTTGTGCACATCATGCTATCTTTCTAATGCTTTTCTTTCCTCTAACTGAAATAGCTTCACCTTAACTTGGTGTTAACTATTTGTTTCCTTTACTTCAGCGCTCTCATATATTTTTGACAATTACAAACCCATCGGAGTCTCTTCTCAATGAACTTCGGACAGTTGAGGTTAGCTCGTGTATTCTCTTATTTTATTTGGTACTAGAGGTTTTCTCAATAAACCCTCAATTGCCTGCAGCTATATGTTTCTACCCAAGAGATTTCTGCTGTAATTGATTATTAAGTACTCTAGCTGTGTCACAAATCAGAAGGAATTTAAGTGCCTGGTACATTCACACCTGCCCAAAGTAGAATGCTAGGCATGCCCAAAACAGCAGTGAGCATAATATGCCATGGGCTAGGTGCAGTCTTGGTAATTGGTTTTTGTAAAATCCAACCTGTCATGGTGTTCTGGAGACGTTAAATTTAATATTCAGTGAAGGATACCCTACCTTTTTGCACCTGAGGGATTTGTCAAGGATCCGTTTCCTTTGGTATCACCTAGACACAGCTGCTCTATATATTCGTATCTGTTCCCTTGGTTTGTATCACTGAATTTCCTTTCTTGTTATCTTATGCAGGAAATGAAGCGACAATGCGACGAAAAAAGGTCTATTCAGTTCTCTTTTGACCTTTTTACTTAATAGAAGTAAATTTCTTCTGAATTTGGTTTGGTGTATAATCTTCAGAGAAGTGTATGACTACATGGTGGCGCAACAGAAAGAAAAAGGGAGGTCAAAACGTGGAAAAGGTGACAGTTTTACTTTGCAGCAATTGCAAGTAGCTCATGATGAATATGATGAGGAGGCTACATTGTGTGTCTTCCGATTGAAGTCTCTGAAGCAAGGACAGGCTCGAAGTCTTCTAACACAGGCAGCTCGTCACCATGCTGCTCAGGTTTTCTTTATATCTCCAACCAATCATAAAAACTTCAAAAGTCTCGTTCTTCTATTAGGCTGACTCAAAGTTAGCATTCTTCTTCTTTGAATCAGTTGAATTTCTTTCGGAAAGGACTTAAATCACTGGAGGCTGTTGAACCACACGTTAGATTGGTTACTGAGGAGCATCATATTGAATACCAATTCAGTGGACTTGAAGACGATGGTGGGGATGATGGTGGGGATGATGTTGAGGATAATGGTGAAAATAGCTATGATCCTACTGAAGATGGAGAATTGAGTTTTAACTATAGGTCAAGCAAGCAGGGGATTGATGTCACCTCTGCATCAAGGAATTCAATGGAGGTGAGGTCTAATGTAATTAGGAATTTGTGTTGTTTGTTTAAGGCACTATATTCTCTGTTTATTATGTGGTGGTAAACCTCTCCAAGATTATATTATAATCTATCTATTGGATTTTGAATTTCCTTTATCCGTATCAGTGACATTTAACTTCATGAACATTATGTGTTAGTTTTTCTTAAAAGATTATAATTTTCAAATTTTAGATGTGCTGATATTGGTACAAGTGCCAGTACTGTTGGTGGTTTCAATTGTTGTTCAACATAGTGCTCACGGTGTGAACTTTTGTCATTATGGATTTCTTTGACATATTTTGTGTGTTCTTATGATCTAACCGCTCATTTCTCAGGTTGATGAAGTGGGACCTTTGTCTCCTAAAGCTACAAGATTGGAACATGCAGATGTAAGATTTCATTGCCCTTTGAATGGTAGATTTGAAGCCAAACTTTGAAGACACAATTGTTTGCCCTTGAACTCCCAAATATTGTATTCATATTTCTTTTTCCTTGTAGATGAATGTAGATAGGAACCAATGGGATATGAGGGCCCCAAGTAGAGAACCAAGAATCGGCAGCCACTCAGCCCCAATTTTTCCGGGGAAGAAGTTTGATCCTGCTGAGAAAGCTAGACAATTGCAAGCATCAACACCACGGAAGTCTAATACGTATGTACTGCCCACACCTATTGATCCAAAAGGTTTGAGTTCTTCAAGAACAAGCAGCGCGGTTCCAGAAACAAGGCCAGGTAGACGCAATCCAAACTTATGGCATTCTTCCCCATTGGAAGAGAAAGATCCTGGTGATGATAATCTGCCGAGACCTAATTTCTCAAAAACTCCGCTGGTACAAAAAGAGAGCAATGTCAATAGTACCTCCACCCAACTACCTCCTCCACTGGAGGGACGCGCACTTCCACAGCTTGATACGTTGAATGCATCTGATATAAATAAGACTAAGAGAGACGCTTTCTCCGGCCCAATACCTAGTAAATCGTCATCATCAAAGCCTTTATTATATGATAGTGGTCCTATTGCATCAACCGAACCACCGCAACTAGTTCCCGGGATGCTGTCTCGTTTACCAAATCCCCAACCTTCATCTCCAAAGGTATCCCCATGTCCGTCACCTCCCCTTGTTTCTTCACCCAAGATAAGCGAGCTTCATGAACTTCCTAGACCCCCCGGTAATTCATCAGCTGCCAAACCAACAAAGTCCTCAGGATTTGTTGGTCACTCTGCTCCACTGGTCTTAAGAAATCAAGAACATAGCATGCCTAATAAAAACCCTTCAGTGGCATCAAATGCGGCATCTCCACTTCCAGCTCCACCATTGATAGTTGCCCGAAGCTTCTCCATACCTTCGGGCAGTCAAAGAGCAATGGCAGTGCATGTAGCAAGACATTTGGAGTCTCCCCAAGTTCCAGGCAAGGCTGAAGAAGTTGCTTCACCTCCATTAACGCCAATTTCCCTATCAAAACTCAAACCGGTATCAAATGTTTCTGAAGTGGCCTCCCACTCTAGTCCCATCCGTGGTGAGCGTGCGTTTTTCAGTATTTTTCCTCACCAGTTGATGTTTTCTTCTTAGAAGTTAGAACTAAATTGCTTCTGCATGCGATGTATATGACGGGGGGTGGATGTTGGAACAGTTTGTGCTTCATTCTTCTCTCCATCTAATTTATCTTTTGTTCCGCTAGGGTTGTGATCATGTGGCAAAAGCCTACCTATTTGTCAGTTGCATCCTGCATATAATTTACAGATTTTCTCTTGATTCCTGCTCGGCCGTCGTCATCTTCACAATCATAGCCGAATGATAATTCTTATTTTGAACATCTTCAGTGCGTGCAGGTGGGAGCTGATATCATACAGATTGGTGAAGCAGTGAATTTCTCAGGTTTCCTCCGTGAGATTGTTGCGGGTCTCATTTATTTCGTTTAGGTATAGACAAGTCTGTAAATATGTTGTTGAATGTATTGTTTAGTTTCTCATCTCAACCTTTTACTCACTCTTTGTCGTTGCTTATGATGAGAACTAAACTCTACCAAAGTCGTGCCTTTACGATGCATCATATATATTTCTTCAAATGAAGAATTTTGTTAATCACCACCGCCGGAAAGGTTTTTGCCTTCTTTCAGCCTGCGGAAACAGGTAGATTGCGTGTGCTGACGGGTATTAAATTAAAATCCACCAGCGTATACTTGCGAGTCTTGAGTTTACATTTTATTTTTTGAGTAAATTGTAGCAATGGTTCTTCAATTAAAAATTCATTACCATTGGTCTCTCAACTCATCAAAACGTGTGGTTGTGGGCCTTTTCGTTAACTTTTTCAAAATTTTGTCAAGATGAGTTCGGTTGGAAGGATCATAGCTATAATTTGGTTAAAGTTGAGGGATTATTTCTCTAATTGGATTAAAGTTGAAGGACTATTTCTCCAGTTGGATTAAAGTTGAGGGATCATTGATAATGGATTTTTAGTTGAGAGACCATAGCTGCATGTTTTGATGAGTTGAGGGATCAATGATAATGAATTTTTAGTTGAGGGATTATTGCTTCAATGAAGTTAAAGTTGAGGGACCATTGAACCAATAGAGATTAAATTTGTTATTCTTGACTAGCACCATAGTAAGCTTGATTTCGTAGAATGGACTAAGCGTATGTTAGCCTTGTGGCTCAAATGATTCAAATATTCATCTGCTCGGCATCAGATATTGTTTATTCATTTTGTATTAAACAAATTGATAATATGAATATGAATATTAAGTATCAGATGACTGTTTTAGAGATAATCTGTAACTATTATTAAAAAAAAAAAAAAAAAAAAAAAATCATGATTCGGTATAAAATTTGTACGATAAAAATGTGACTTTAACCATATACTCAACTCCACGACAGCAACTTAGATTAAATATTACCTTAGACTTTCACGGATAAAGAAACGCCGTCGTTTAGTCGTTGAAAACCAACTACCTTCTCTTCCGTTTTTGGATAAGTCGTTACCAACACAAGGAGGAAGCGAAAAACCGTGAACCGCCGCCGTGTTGTTGTAAATTGTAGAAATGGAGATAACAAGGAGCTTCCTCCTCCATTCTTCTTGCTCCAAGCTCTCATTCCGCACTCCCTTACGCCACTCTCGAGTTGTGGCTTCCAGTTTCTCAATTCCGATTACCTCTCGCACCCACATCCGAAAACCTCTCGCCGCTTCATGCTCCGCCTTCGACAGCGGCGATTCCAGTAAGTTCGACCTTTTCTTCGATGAATTTCTGATTTATGCTTTCATACACGCCACCGTGTGATAATTCACTTTGTTTATTTGAAGGCTCAGCAGCCAAGGTTTCTGTAGCTGACCTCTCTTCTGCAGTAAAGGTGAGCTCCATGTTCATATTTTCGCCTGTGTTTCATGAATTTTGAAATTTTAATTTTGTTCTCGTTGAAGTGCTGATTGTAACTGTTCAGTTTTAATTCAGAACAAGGCAATGGATATAACCCCTGAGCTGAGAGGAACTTCCATATTTCTTGTGGGTAAGCATTAATTTGCTTCGTGCTTTTTAAAATTAAAATTCATTCAGAACTCGAATCCTGTGATGTTTCGTTGCGTTCTTACGGATAGAATTTTGATGATCGTTCTGGTGGAAAGGCATGAAGAGCTCCATGAAAACCAGTTTGGGGAAGCTCCTAGCCAATGTGTTGCGATATTATTACTTTGACAGGTACCTGTATATGCTACATCGTTTAAATATCAGGATAAGTTTCTTTGCTCTAGCTGTTTTGGCTAAAATTGTAATTTGTGTTGTTTTGTCCAGTGATAGTTTGGTTGAGGAAGCTGCAGGAGGTGAATCTGCTGCCAAATTACTTAGGGTGGCTGACACAAATGGTTTTCGGGAATCCGAGGTGATAGTTTGCGACGTATTTGCTGTTTGCTCACCTTAATAAAAGTTGGATTACTACCATTGAGACGGGGCTCTAAATCGAGATATTGATGCAGACTGAAGTATTGAAGCAACTGTCATCCATGGGTCGATTGGTGGTTTGTGCCGGAGATGGTGCAGTTCAAAGTTCAACTAATCTGTAGGATTTCTGATATCATTGCTACCACCTATGTCATTTATTTATGTATTAATGTTAGTAGTGCAATTTTGACTCGCTTCCGATTCCAAACATGTACAGGGCTCTTCTGAGGTATGGAATCTCTATATGGATTGATGTACCTGTAGACTTGGTGGCCAGGGGCATGATCGAAGATCAAAGTCAGCTTCCTGCACTCAACCTATCTGCTTCAGCATCTTATCAAGAGGTCATCTCTTCCTCCCCAAACTTAATAACTGTACACAACCTACTCCTTTGTTGTCCTTAGATGGAAAGTAAATAGACTCTACCATGTATGGTGCGGATGATTGACTTTTGTAATGAATGGTAACCAGGTTTTGACTCACCTAAGTACTTCGTACGAAGAAGTGAGAGGTGGATACGAAACTGCTGATGCAACCGTTTCCGTTGAAAGTATATCTCCATGATCTTTTCTTGTTTTTAATATACTATATTATGTTTCCTCGGCGGTTCTAACCATTTTTTTTTGGTCCGATCAGAACTAGCTTATAAATTAGGTTATGAACTTATGATGACCTTGGTGATGTAACGACAGAAAACATGGCTTTGGAGGTAACGAGTGTAGTTTTGAAATGCAGACATTGTTTGAAAACTATAGCAAAGTGATTAATGAAATGAGACAAACCCTTGGATTCTTTTCCTCACTTATCTGTGAATTCAGGTTCTCAAGGAGATAGAGAAACTGACCAGAGTAAAGAAGATGATGGAAGCGGCCGCGAGACCTTTTTAACAGTCCGGTGGTATAGATCCCCATTTTCATCAATTGGAATTAGTTTCTTCTGTAAACCCCAAATTTTGGGGATAGCAATCAGAGGTTTCGTTTCGTGGATGTCTTGTGTAGGCTACAATTATGTGCATGCCGTAAGTATGTTTTCTACCATCCCTTTTATTGCTCTCTGTCTTTGCTATACCCAAAAATTGCATCGCAGGGAAAAAGTCGTCGTCGGGGGAGGAGGAAGGAGAAGCACTTCTTTTCATCCTCCCCTCCGCTCCATTCCGCTCCCCCTTTTCATTTTTCTGTTCTATTGTGGTGAATAATATTTCCCTTGTGGTGACTAAGTCAATCCTTCTCGCCGAATCCTCCCTCTTAGTGTGGGTTTGTCAAGAGATGGGGTAGAATTGTTGTGACATGGGTTTTCTAGATTATAGTGCGGCTTTTGTCCATGTTAATTTGCTCTTTTGGGTTTCTTTCTGGTTAATGTCTTATAGTGGCGTTGGTCCGGTTTATCTTTATGCAACTGGTAGCTTTGTTGGTGGTTTTGTGCGTAAAGTCTCTATTGGAGTGGTCACTATTTGTTTCTTTTACGATTTTTCATTGGAATCGACGTTGCTTGTATGTAAAGAGTGCTCTTTATCAATTTTATTAACGATTTTGTACGTAAAGTTTCTCATGTGGCGTATTATGAGGCCTTGGTGTTTTATTTTGAGATCCTTTTCGTTTGTTGATCCCTTGAATTTAATTTAGAGCTCTCGTTGAAGTTTGTACATTTTGTAATAAACCTTTACAGTTTTGCCTTAAAAAAATCCTATTAGAAGAGATCGTGTCACGTGACAACACGTGCGCTTTGACAAACAAGAACAATTGTAAATTTTGGGCCTCGGCCCATTTGAAAATAAGGCGGGTTGGTTGGTTATTCCGTTATTATGGTAGGTGGTGCATAAAAAGCAGCAAAAGAAACTGGCAAGGCAAAAGCAATTGGATTAGCAAACAAGAAGACAGACAGTCACAGGATGAGCGGATGAGGGCGGTGCTCCTCACCTGATTGCTCCTGCCTAGCCCTTGGCTAAGCCTACACCTGTCTCAGTTTACAAGAGTCAGCGCCGACTTGTTGCCACGTCTCACGCACACTCAATCGCATCGCCTGCTGCCACGTTATGCTTCGAGGAGGCTGTGTCGTATATTATTGATTGATTTTCCATATCCTGACAAAGGAGATCCGGAAAAAATCCTCATCCGAATTGTGAAAATGCCCACGCGAAAGTGAAATGATTAGTTATTTCCTACTGCCAAACACAATGATAAAAACATACACACCTTCACTCACAGGCCAAAATAAAATAATAAAGAAAAAAAAAATGAACGGCCTTTAAGACTTTGGTGTATGCATGCATCTGTTGGACGGACCCATTCAACTTTTTTATTTTCCTTCTTCCAGTTTTGGTGTTTTCTTTGGATTTATTTTAAACTAATTTGAATGATAAGGGGAGGGGAGCTTGCTGATGAGAGCTTCACGTTGAAGATAAGATATGTATTTAAAAGACATTCTTGCCCAATTTCAGAAGCCTTCTCCTTTCATCTTCTCCCTCTTAAAATTTGCCTAATCTTCTAAATCATATTGTCCACTCAATTATTCTATAATTTTATCCATCATGTTTTTATATACATATAGGCCCCATTAAAATTTTGAACGACTTCCATTACGCGAGAATGAAAAAAAACATACACGAGTACATTGTTAGAATAGTATTACGTGTTATTGACATATACAAAAAAAATTACATTTATATAACATAATTTTGTTTTTATCAAAATAACCTGATAATAAAATTATGTTAATTAATGTGTTTATCTCTTACATAATTGGACCTGTCTTCTCTGCCCTCCCACTTCCCATACACTTTCATCCCCTCCTATTTATACGGTCACGCTTAAGCCACGTTAATATTTTATATTACTATTATTTTTTATCTTATTATCTTTATAAAAGAATCAATATAAAATATTAACGTAGTTTAACTGTGACCGCATAAAATAGCAAAAGATAAGAGTATATGGAAAGTGAAAAGGCAGAGAAGCCAGTTTGTACATAATTTATGGATGTGGTTTACGTAGCATTACTGAAATAGTTAATGCAGTGCGCTTTATACGTGTCGATAGATGAGATGTACGCAGAGATTGCAGCGTAGGGGGGCATAAGCAAAACGAAAGACTCTGGTGGTCCCGACTCCACAGGCGCCAAACACGGACAAAGAAAGGGAAACGCACAGGCAAGTAGGCAGGGCAGGCACGATAACATTCATTTTATTTTTAAACTCAAAGCGTCGAAGGGTAAAGAAAAAGCGTAAAAATTGAGAGAGAGAGAACGCAACGCAATGGTGCGAATTTGCGAATGAATGGAAAAGTGCGTTTTTAAATATTAATTGGGGGTTTTGAAAATTACAGCGGAGAAAAAGAAAAGAAATTGAAAATGGAAATGGAAATGGTGCTGCTCGTATTTTGGGGTTGGGATTTGGATTGCGATTATAAACCGAGCCTCCTCTCCCTCTCCCTTCTCTCCTTCCCTCGGACTCACACTCCTCTTTTATTTGGTCTCTCCCTCTCTCCCTCTCTCTCTCTCTCTCTCTCTCTCTCTCTCTACCAAACCAAAACCCTTCTCTTTTTTCTGGTTTCAACCGAATCCGATTTCACAAACATCGGTGGTGGTTAATCGAATTGTATAGGGATCGCAGTTTGCATGGATGGTGATTTTCTGACATGATTGATTGCTTCTCTCGGTGCGTCTTCTGCTACTCAATTAATAATCAATCTCTGTTACTGCCTTGATTTTCTTCTTTTTTGTTGCTAACTCACTGCAGCAGATGAAACAAACCGATTCCGAAAGATCCCCGAAATATCATCCATGACCGCTGATCCTATCCACCTGCTTTGATTTTCTTTAATCTCGCTCTTGGATACTTCAGTTATCCATTTCTTCAACTCTCTCCTCGACAGTGAAATTTCCAAATTCATATAATTTTTTGTCGTCTCAAGTAAACGTACGTTCTACACCACTTGGATGGTTGGATTGCTCTCACTTTTGCTTCGGAATTCCGATCAATGCTTTGATCATGATTTGACTATCTTAATCTTTTGCCTTTTGAGGAGCTTCGAGGATTAGATTCATTGACTAAACAATTTGTTCTACTCTATGCGATCAATGTTTGTGTATGTAGGTGTATGTGCATTTCAATTGGCTCAAACTTCTGATCAATGTAAACACTGACTATGTTTTTCGTGTGCGACTTTTCTTTTCTGTACTGATTCATGCGAATATTGTTTCAGGCCTAGCTACTGATTCTTCAGGCAATCATGAAGTATGTGTGCTTCATGGCTTGCTGCTACGGAGGTCTGAAGATCCGCGCTACTCGTGATCCTCACACGACTCCCATGTGCTTCAGCATCTCTTTGGAAAGAGTCGTAACTCAAATGTTTGAATTCTGGCTCCCTTTGGTGGGTACTTAGCGGTTAGTAGTAGCTTCTACAGACCACTTGTATTCTTAATTGAAGGAGAAATTAAGAGCACTGATTAGTCGTAGTGGCAGCATAGGAAGTTGGAAATTTTTTTCTTCATTGGATTGGAAATAGCAGCTCTATCAATTGATGAGCTGATCTGATCCGACTCCCTCGAGTCCTCGACAGCCCTGCCCATTCTAGAAGAAAAAAAAAAGAAAAAAAACAAAAGAAAGCGACTAGAGTTAGGGATTAACCCTGTGAAATTTAGAAATGGGATTGCCTCAAGTGCCCTCAACTGGAACTTCTGAGGAAGTGCTAGCTGCTTCTCCGGGCTCCTTTTTACGAAGCCCGCCTCGATTTTCTAGTATGAGCACGTGTGATATGGATGGGATGCTTGGTAGCAGTGCAAGCCCAGTGGGAGGGAATCCATTATGCTCCTCTTTAGGAGATTACCAGACTAGAACCTCCCTAGAATTTTCAAAGCTCCCAGATGATTCACTTAGATTTAGAGGGACCGTGGAAGTCACTAACAATGTTCATGGTTCGTCAATAGTTTCTGTTGATAAAGCCGATCAGATCACTGCAAGAAATGGACGGAATATTCAGACCCCTGCTTCTAGGATTGTAGGTTTTGAATCCACCGGAACAAGTTCTCTAAATGATGATTCGAGCGGTGTTTCATGTGGTCTTGTTCCCTCTTCTTCTGTGGTTAATGTCACAACTAATGAAATTGTGACCAGTGGGTCACTAGTCAGGAAGCGATTATTGTCCCCATTGAATACTATGCTTTTTCCACATGAGTTTAAAGGTGATCATTTGGACATTGGTTGCAGAACTTCTGGAACAAATTATCCTGCTGTGGGTGATAATTTTAGTACACCTATTGCACATGATTATAAGAAAGCAAATATTGGGATCAAAGGTAGTTTTACCAAGCCAACTTGTTCTCTGTCTAGTTACTTGGAGCAGAAGAGCATGCCATTGCCACATGATGATAGTATTACGGAAACCAGTTTTTTCACAGATGGCCCTTTGCTGGAAAACAAGGATCTCGTACCTCAAAATAGTTATAGATCTTCACCTAGATGTGATGAGTTGACAAAATGGAGTAATGCAAAAATCCGAAGTGGGGAAATATCAATATCTCCAAAGGAAGTGATCTCACCTTTGCATTCTTTGTCACCTCTTGGCCCCAGGTTGTCTGAAAGATTGAAAATTGCAGGGGGCTGCAGGACTACTGACAAAGAGTTGGAGGATTGTCATTCAACCTTAAGGAATGTAAAACAAACACTTTACAAGTCTGATGCAGACATTCCGTTTTCCCCTGAAGTAGGGGAGTTTAGGATTGCTAGTAAACTATTTGAAGATGTTGATATTTTTCACGGGGAATTCCTTCCATCTTCTCTAGAGAATAGTACTGGCGTAAGTTATTCTTTGTCCCATGCCCATGGGTCAGCTCCCAACTCCCATTGCATGAGGTTTGTTAGAAGTTTGAGTGGGCTTTCTGTTCGGAGATCCTTGGTTGGTTCATTCGAAGAATCTCTACTGTCTGGTCGGTTCATATCAGGCAAACCCAGTCAGGTTAGTGTCAATGTTCTGTTGTGTAGTAAATCCTGTACATTATTCATTGTTGCTATGTTATAACTGCTGGAAATTTAAATATGTAGAGAATCGATGGTTTTCTGGCTGTGCTGAGCATCACTGGGGGAAACTTTTCTCCGCAATCACAGAAGCTTCCTTTTTCAGTAACTAGTGTAGAAGGTGATTGCTATTTATTGTATTGCGCATCCATACATCTTTCGGGAAATTCTGCAATGAATAGGAGTGGAGGACAAAAGATTAAACAAGGCCTTAGCAATGATGGTTCACAGATTGTCACAAGCCGCCTGCGCATTCCTGTGAAGGGCCGTATACAACTGGTATTTGTTGTCTGTTCCTGCTGTTGTAAGCATACATTTTATTATCTGATTGCCAGAGATATCGAAGGGTCTAGTTTTTCGTTACCAGATTACTTGTTTGACTGAATTACTTATTGAAATCATCACTCCGTGTAGCATGTTACATTGTGATGGGTTATCATTATTAAGCATACTAAATTAAGCTCTCCATACTTTGATTTACGCAGGTTCTAAGCAATCCTGAGAAGACACCTATTCATACTTTTCTTTGCAACTACGATTTAAGTGACATGCCAGCTGGTAGCAAAGTAAGTTTAGTGTGTTCATATCTTGTTGCTACTATGTGATGCTTACAAACTTTGTGTTAAATATAATTCGTTGAAATTTATCTATCATTCTAAATTTGAGATATGGCAGAGAGTTGTAATCCTACATCCAAGGAGAACAACGTTGCAACTTAGAGCTTAAGTACAACGACCGTGGTCTAGAATTTCATTTTAGAACCATTCATAAGTACAGATATGTGCTTACATGGCAACAAATACAACTTTCTAGATTGTATACCGTGCATGCATTAAAATAGATCTGCTACCTACAAATTAACTTCAAATTTTGAATTATATTGCCTTTAAGCTGCATTGATGGATTTTCAAACGATTTTGTAGTTATAAATTTGATACAGGAAAAACAATAAAGGACTATAAATTATGTCGTGTGGCTTATGATATTCCATGTTTCTGAGGCTAATTTAATTTTTTTTTTATTTTGTTCATTTCCCATCTGTTCAAAACGAAGTAGACTTTCTTACGCCAGAAGGTCACCTTAGCATGCAGCCCAAATTCTCCCCTGTCGAGACAAGGGAAGACTGATTTGAACTCAAAAGTCATAGAGAAGAAGGAAGTAGAGAATACAGCCGGAGTAGACATTGTACATACAACAAGATCTGTAGATCAGAAAACTGAAATTAGAAGTGAAGGCTCTAATTTTGTGGATTCCATAGATGAGGGGGATATGTCCAAGGTATCCCCTAAAACAGGAAGGGTGTCCATTCCTTCGTTCCTTGTTGAGAAGAGCTTCAACAATGAGGAGTACCGAAGCAGTAACGGAAAGGAGCGCAAGTGTGTTGATGCATGCTATGGAACCGACAGGAAACATGTACATGGCTGTTCAAGGGTCAACCAAAGCAGTAATGGTGCTCTTCGCTATGCTCTTCATCTCCGTTTCATATGCCCTTTTCCTAAAAAAAGTTCTCGGTCAGTCCAGAGGTGCAAATCAGATCCCCTATCAACACCACAAAGAACAGGCTTAGACATGGATGGGGAGCGCAGGTTCTACCTGTACAATGACTTGAGGGTCGTGTTCCCTCAACGCCACTCAGACGCTGACGAGGGAAAGGTAATGTGCATATTTACTTGGTCATGCATGCGCATCACACACTACATATCAAAACGAAAGTGCTCTTGATGAGCGCTGTATTTTGCATTGCTGCACAAATATAAATGCTTACAAATTTTCATTTGTCTTTGCGTAGTGCTATATATTGTGCAAGCTTAGCTGATCTCTCTTTTTTCTTTGGTTCTTTTAATCGCAGTTGAACGTGGAATATCATTTCCCGGATGATCCGAAGTACTTCGACATCAACTGAAAAGTCTAATTTAGCATTTCCCTTGTTTTTGTTTACTGTATTCCTCTGTGTACATATTCTCACATATACATACACATATATCGTTGGTCATTTCATCTCAAATGACACTAACCCTGTTCTACCTTTGTCCAAATTAATAAAAATTGAATTAGGTTGAACGTTTGGCCTTTCATTTGGTACTGATATTTTGTAACAAGAAAATTAGTTTGGGCCGGGCCGTTGCGCTAACTTTGTTCTTTTTGGAGGGAAACTCTCGATATCGTGTTTGAATTTGTGCGGCCCATCAGTCGCAAATATGCACAACAAAATGAATAATTAATTGACGCGAAAGTGACGAGGGGTTTAAATCATATTTACAAAATGGCACAAAACCTTAAAGCGAATCAATAAATCGAAGCAAAAAGAAATTCCCCTCCCTAGTTTCTCTCCCCTGTGAGAGACCTTCCCTCTCTTTGAGGGCGATTCTCACCCTTTCGTGTAAGTGGTTCTCTATCGTGTTCCCGTTTGTTGCCGCCGATCCTGGCTGTGGTTGAGATTGGTGGGTGTTCTTTTGTTTTTGCCTTGGTCTCCCTCTCTTCTCCCCTCCGTTGCTTCTTCCCCCTGCTTCCTGGTTCGATTTACCCTCTTCTCCTCCCACTACTGTCTCTCCTCCTCCTTCCTCTAATTTCCGATCTTTGGTCAAGTTTCGCTGCGAGATGCTGCTTGTTGAGTCGGTGAACTCTGATCTGGTGCTTCCACTGGGTTGGGTGTTCCAAACACCCCCACATTCTCTTTGCTGTCTGCCTTGGTTGGCAGTGTTGCTTGTGGATTTCCATGCGCTTCTTTATCTTTGCTGCAGGTTCTTGGTGATCTGTGGCTGCGTTTGGACTGAAGATTGGAATTGGTTGATGGGTTTGCTGAGCAGCGGCTCGGTTGGGAGATGGGCTTTGGGCGGCTCGACAAGCACTGCTGTGGCAGCGTTGGTTGCGGCAATGTTTGTAGCAAGGGTTGCAGCAGTGTTTCTAGTTTTCTGTTTTCTTCGGTTCCATCTTTGGGTTGGGCTCGTTTTGGTGTGTTTGGTTGGCACCGTTTTGCTTTGTGTATCTGTTTTGGGCCTTGGTTGTAAGTTTTTTTTCCCAAAAAAAAAAAATCAATAAATCGAAGCAAACAAAATCGTACTAAGCACTAGAGTATCTCTTAAAAAGGGGAGCAACTTACACAATATTAATACGGAAGGACAACTCACAAAGGAAATAAATTTCCTCTTCGAACTATTTGATCCTATTGAATCCAAGATTTGAAGAGGGGATTAAATCAAATAATTATTCATTTTAATATTTTCAAATTTAATTACCACGAAAGAGTACCAAAAGGAGAGTCAAGGGAGGGCCAAATTTAATTTTAATTTCAAATTTAAACTCCAATCGAAGGAGGGTCAAAGGACTCCTTTTAGCCTTGCAGCTCTACAAGAAATTATATTTTAATGAACAGTACTTGGTCATATTTTATACCATCTTTAACCGAATGGGCCAAAGGACCATAGACCAAATATAGCCATTTGACAAAAAATCATCTCCAACCGAGGGGCTAAAGGGTCATGCCAAAAATAATTTATTATTTTAATTAAATTAATATGGTTAATTAAATTAAACTACCATATTAAAATAAGGTTTTCGAACATATTTTGAGTACCACTTGTCGTCAAATGAATAAGCCTTCGGATTTCTTATCTTTATATAATCTTAATAATTTATTGGATAGGATTTTGAGTAACACATGTCGCTAACTTGAGTAACTCTCCAGATTTCTTATCTTTATGTAATCTCAATAATTTTTCAGATAGGATTTTGAGTGGCACATGTCGCTCATAAAAACATTGTTAAAAATGAATCTCACATTGATGAGACTAGGGACCTTATAATGCTTATATGTAACTTATCATATTGCCCATTGATTTATGGTGGAACCTCAATTTTTTTTCATAATATTATAACAAGTTGTCTCACATATGAAACCTAACGCCCACACGTGCTCCATGTCACCCGAGTTGTGTTGTCCAAGTGTTAGGCTTGAAAATTTGTCACATATGAGGAGACATGTTGAGAATAAATCACAAATTAATGAGAGGAGGGACCTTACATGTGCTTATAAGTAAGTTGAGTTACTTCTCGTATTGTTAATGTGTTTTATGGTGGAACCTCAACTTTCATCAATCAATAATCATGAATTTTTAGTTGAGAGACTATTGCTCTAATTGAGTAAAAGTAATGGATTATTATACAAAATGGTCCCTGAGATTTGCATGATCAATAGAAATAGTCCCTGAGATTGAAAATCAATAAAAGTAGTCCCTTAGATTGTTCATCATCTATTACTTTTGTCCTTCCGTTAAAAACTCTTTGGGCAATTTTCAAAGCTTCGTAACTCAATCGATTCTTAACCAAATTCGACCCATAATATATCAAAATGAAGATAAGAAAGTTTAGAACAAGATTATACCTATTTGGAAGCCCAATAATTGCCGGAGATGGCTGTAAAATAGCCTGAAATGTGACTGGTCCGCTAGAAAACTGGAAAACTCGCCAGAAACTAGGTAAACTTTAAACGTTCATAACTTCTTTAATATTCAACGAAATCGAGTGATTCAAAAACAAAAATCACACTTCTCGATGAGATGAAGAGAATGGTATCTTTCTTTACTGGTAACTCGCCGTGGTTTGGTCGAAAAACTTCTCGAAAGTGGCTAACTCGAAAATGGTTAGCCACTTTCGAGCCGTTGTCTGACCAAACCACGGTGGGTTAGCCTTCAAAAATATACCATTCTCTTTGTCTCGTCAATAAGTATTATTTTCGTTGTTGAATCACTCGATTTGGTTGAGTATTGAAGAAGTTATGAACGTTTAAAGTTTACCCAATTTCGGGCGAGTTTTCCAGTTTTCCTGCGGATCAGTCGCCTTTCAAGCTATTTTCTGGCCATCTCCGGCAACCATTGGGCTTCCAAATAGGTATAATCTTATTCTACACTTTTCTATCTTCATTTTAATATATTATGGGTCGAATTTGGTTAAGAAATGATTGAGTTACAAAGTTTTGAAAATTGCCTAAAATCGTTTTTAACGAAATGATCAAAATCATAGATGGTAAACAATCTCAGGGACCATTTCCATTGATTTTTAATCTCAATGACCATTTCTATTGATCATGCAAATTTCAGAGATCATTTTGTATAATAACCCTAGGGCATGTTTGTTTGATAGGATTAAGGAGGACTGGACTGGACTGGACTATAGTCCCTTGTTTGGTCTGCTGCAGGATTAGGTTTAATGACCTTAGGTGGGACTCGCTCGGATTATACACCTCCTTACGAGGTCTTAACGAGGATCCCCAATTTTGGGCGGACTTGTAAGCCCAGAGAAAATCGTGAGAGAGTGACTTCCTGCTTCACTCCTACCTGCTTCATCCTCCCATCTACCTCTTCCTCGCGTCCCACAACCCATTTCAAACCCAGATCCTGCCAAATCCGAAACAAAAAAGCAACAAAATTTCCCAAGGTTCCCTTTTCAGAACCAGATCCAACTCCCAAAATTCGAATCCAGATAACCCAGAAAACCAAAAAAGAACTTGCAGTGGGATGAGCTTGAAAATTTCACCCAGAAAACCCAAACCAAATCCAACCCTCATCTTCTACCTTCGAGCCAATCACACATGCACCTCGCCTCCTTCAATCTCTTTCTTGCTATGTGTTTTGACTTTTAGATTTGCAACCGATTTTATGAGAGGAAGTGAAGAGGCACGAGGCAGGAAGTGGAGAGGAATGAAGAAGCATAGAGGATTTGCTTTGGAAATATCGGTCTGTTCTTCAAAAAATAAAGGTTGTTCTTCTAAAATAAAAGTAAAGGCAGCACATGAAACATTAATTAGGTTTTTAGAAGTTAAATAACTACAAATAATATTTTAATATTTGTTGTTTTGTTGTTTTTGAATGCAAAAGTAAATAAATAATAATAAAAAATAATTAGTCTGTAGTTTAGTCCGAAACTGCACCAAACGCTTTACTAAGCTTGTCCAGTTTAGTCTAGTCTAAACCAGTTCAGCTTAGTTCCTGAAGCTAGTCCAGTCTGAGATAGTCCAGTGCAACAAACGCACTCCTAAAGTAATAGACCATTACTATAATTTATTTTAAAAATTATTGGTCACGCGTCACTTTACGCACCAAAATTTCATGAATGAATAAATGATGACAAAAGGAATCTAGAGACCCTCTTTCGTCGAAATGACTGATTTTTTTTTTTTTTTTTTTTTTTTCTTCTTTCTGGAAAGCAAGGGGCAACACGTCGAAATGGCTGATTTTTTTTTTTTTTAATTCTTTCTGGAAAGCAAGGGGCAACAATATACTATTGCTAAAATGTCTGTCTACTCTGAATTATGGAAGGAACAACCACGTGGCTGTGGTGGATTATTAGTTTGGTTGCAGACTTGGACATGACCTTGTAATTTAATTTTTTATACTCGGCTCTTGGTGAGCTTGTAAGTTTTCCATTAAATTAAAACCAACCCATTCCACAACCAGTACATCATAAAAACTCTTCCACTAAATGGACCCAACCTTACCAATCTGTTTTACACAAACTTAACCCTGTATTTTGGTTCATCCAGCACCACGTTGGTTCCACTCGTAACAACGTAGCAACTACATGTTAGTTGGTCACAAAAAAACTAATATGTGACTTCTTATATGAGGATGAGACATTGTTTTACCGTATAAATATTATAATCTGAAGTGTTCATTATCTTTTAAAACCGCAAATTTTTAGTTGGTTTTTTTAATTTTTTTTTTTACAGGATATGATATTGATACGTGTTTGTAATAGTTAGTCTTTAATTTCGTTTTAGTCTCTTAAGTTTAGGTCGAAATGAAGAATGCTTGGTATGCAAGACGATTCATTAAAGAGCAGATTTCATGGACCTCGTATGGAAAGTACATCGTGCATTCATGTAGGAAACTAGAATCACATCATTGCATATCTTTAGGATTGTGAGATCAATGCAATTCCTAAGTCTTAGGAAATAAAATCATATTGCTTTTGGGTTAAGTTAAATATTCTTTTGGCATTTTATTTGGGTTATAGGTTTCATTGCAAATCTTAATTTATTTAATTGAGTAATTTGGCCTTAATCAAATCATGCCTAAATTCTTCCTTAAGACATGCCTTGAGTGACTACAAATTGTTGTAGGTTGTTTTGTGTGTGTATATTAAGGGCCTTAGTAGACTTTTTTCTAGTGCTTCTAGATTTTTTCCATTGTATGTGTTTCTATCACATAAAATAAATACTTTGGTTTCTAAAAGAATGTTGTTACGTTGCCTTGAACGGTGCACTAATCCTTTTTCATACGCCTTGCTGCTTCATTTAAGTACATTTGGGCTAAATCGTTGAGCTTTGGCCACCTCACGCTTTGTGGACCTATCGCATCGTAAAGAGCAAAGAATACGAAAGAATAACAAACAGAGTACACCGCAAAAAACTACCTTAAATTTAACAAGATCTAGAGTCTTGAATAAATCCTCTTGAAACATGTCGATCAACCCTAGAAGACTCGATGGCTTAACAAGAAAGGAAACGGTATAATATGCTGGGAATCCTTTATGATAATCCAAGCAGTTTCACCCTCAGTAAAACTATGAACTTGGGCTCATACTCAAATTATTGTTTCCTTATATATGTTTTGTATTATTACACAGAATGATTGAAACTGTGTAGTTTGAATCCTACTAATTATCGTGGGCTAGATCCACCCAAGTTACGTTTTCATCTTTATCATTATCAAAAAAATTTATTTAAAAAAAAAATTACTTAATAAATGGTTCGAATTATAACGTTTGCATGAAAACAAAGCCACGCCTTCGTGTACCGCCTTACATACAATGGCCCAAGTAATCTCCAGGCACACAAATGATGCCCTTACCCAGGTCCATAGACTGTTCACTAAAATTCAAAATCCGGGGTCCCAATGCCACACTGTTTTCTTTCTCAGAATTTGCCTTTAAATTCGGGCAGAGGACACATTTATGAAGCCTTTCCTTTTTCCGTTCCAGTTAGGTTGGACTCACTTATTACCATCTCTAGAACCCTCAGATCGCAATTCACCGTTGGATTTTCTCCTCCTTGCTCTTTGACAACCGTCCATCGCAATCCCTTTTTCCCTGGCTTTTTTTTATGTTGCCAAAGGCTTCTTCCACATTTGATAAAAAGATTCTTTTACATTTTCTGCTGTATTTAGTCAAACAACCCATCATCAAATCGAATGGCTTCAGAGACGCCGAAAGAGAATAGCTTCTCCGTCCTCCGCGTCACTTCTTCAGGCGTACCACAGCGGAGGATGTCTTTGTTGACCGCTCAAGTTGCTCTCAGAATCTCAGCCTTTGTCTTCACACTCATCGCCATCTCCGTTACAGTCACCAACAGCCAATCCGTCGTCGTGTTCGGATTCAAGTTCGAAGCTCACTACTCCTACTCAACTGCCTTCAAGTAAACCCAGATCCAAAAAACAAATCAAAGATCCAATTTTTCACAACAGATATGGCCATTTTTATTTATTTATTAACTTCTTTTGGGGGTTTCTGTTGTTACAGGTTCTTGGTTGGTGCTAATGTTGTGGTGTGTGCCTTCTCAGTGCTCTCATTGATCTTCCTATCCTTCTTCTTGCGCCGTTCTCCGTCTCAACACCTCAAAAACTATTTCGTTCTCTTCATGCACGACACGGTTAGCAAATTTTTGGAGCGTCAATAATAATTTCCGCTTGTAATTTATCATTGCAACATTAGTTAGTTAATTGTGTCACTTACAGGTGATGATGGTGATGATGATATCCGGATGCGCAGCCGCGACCGCAATCGGGTACGTGGGGAAGTATGGGGAGAAGAAAATGACTTGGCAGCCAACGTGCGGTTATGTGAAGGAGTTCTGCAACAAAATGACCATTTCTCTTGCGTTTTCTTACCTGGCTTTCTCTGCCTACTTGCTTCTCACTCTCACAGCTGCTCATAATCTCATGCCTTGACCTACTAAATGAACTCAGCAATACAAATTACAGGAGATCTATCCCATCATCCAAAAACGACATCGGAAATCTCAGAATAGTGGTGGTGGTGGGGTGTTGAATTGATCAATTTGCTATTGCGTTTTTAGCATTTGGGACCTATGCAAAGTTGTGCTGCATATGCATATGTTTTCTTAACGGTTTAGTTTACATATTACCCCTGTAGCAATTATGGGCCCGTTAGTCGTATTTATTTGTACTAATTGTCTCCTTGATGGTTGAGGAAATGGTGGCTTCTTTGGATTAGGAGATGTTGCAGAAAGTATTTATCTGTAACGGGACGCAAATGTGGAAGCGCCCCATTGTTTGGGTCCAGTTGTAGGTAAGTTCTTCTCGTTTCTTTTCAATTTTGAAGGGAGGACATTTGATAGGGTCGTTGACAACTTAAGAAAATATGTGGGGGCAGTATTTAATTTCATTGGTACTTGGATTGCAATTAGGTATTTTGTCATCAATTAGTTGTGTAACAAAAGGACATGCCATTTAATTCAACAAGCTTGTCACCAAATGATGACCCTTTTTATGTGCTTGTCTGACTGCCTGGACCATCATATTGCAGTGATGAATGATGATCATATATAAAACATATACATAGTGATGTGCTTGTTCTAAATCACTAATAACATGATTAGTGCTGGTCGAAAGACGTCACTCTGGAGTTTCAATCTCGTCGTCGCTATCTTTTAGGTGCTCTTTCAAGGTCTGGCCCTCAGCTTCCCACTTTCCGGAATCCCAGGCCGGGTCGATTTCAGGTAGCTGATAGTCATCAGGTCTTAATGACAGTTGAAATTCTGGTAGGTCAGGCAATGTTTGTAGAACCCTGCGTCCGTAATTGAAAGGTTAATTAGATGTTTAGGGGGCTCAGATAATTGAGGAAGAAAGAGAACATAATGGCCCCTTACTTTTCTTGTTCTAAAAGGTAGCCATACATCTGGGATTTCCTTGTTGCAACTTCAGGAATTTTCTGATGCAAATGCCTCATAGCTCCCCAGAGTGGAGCAGCCCTTGAATTTAGAAACAAAGAAAAAAAATAAATCAAGAATAATCAGGGCAATTAATGCTTATGAAAAAGGAACAAGACTCTTAATTAGTGTAGTATTAATAGTCAATAATAGACACCTGGTAACTGGAGCTGCAAGGCAAAAGGTTAAGCAAGCCTTCTTGCTCTCTGATAGAAGTTCTTCCGCTACAAGAAAACAGCACACAGCGCTAACGTGACATGACGGTTCATTGCCCTTGTCAAGGATCAGGCCGTGGTAGTAGTATGCTGCAGCCTGCACAGATAATTTACATATGATATGGAGATACGTTGATTGTATATATGCAGAAAGAGGAACAACATCATAATCTGGGTTTATTATCGATTTTGTTTAAAACCTTCGACTCAAGAAATTTCCATTTGATGAACCAGATATGCTTCTTCCCGCACCCATTATTTGTGTCGCATCCTGACAAGCAGTGATAGGCCTGATCTCGAGAGCAGAACAAACACAATAGATAAAAACTTAGCATATAGTCGCAGTCGTCTAAGTAAATCCGAAAGAAGCATAAGCTGTAGGTTTGAATTGAGGTAATGAAGGACTAGAGCACGAATAGAAACCTGACTAAAATAGGCCAACTGTTCACATGCCAATCTCCTTTTAACTGACAATGTGGCCTTCTGACATTCAACAGCTAAGCCAAGCTGGATTTCTGTTCCCTGCATTTTCATCAGGATCAGTAAGTCTGTAAATTTACCTCTCAGCAATTACTGTAACTTATGACTAATCTAATTCATGTTTCTCCACTCCAAATCGCCATCGAATACTCAATCGGTATCAATGTCAACATAAGAAAATCGATTCCACTTATCAAGAAAGTACCTGGCCTAGAGTTTGATAAGAAATGGCCTCCAACACACCATCACGCAAAATTTTGGGCAAATTTTTCCTGTGTTCATGACATAAATTATGTATTAGTTTTCAGTATTGGCACCGTCTAAATCCCAAATCTAATGTTATGTTACTTTCAACTCTACATACTTGATTTCGGGTGGTATGCGAACCAGGACATCCCGGACACAGAATTCCAAGTAGCCGGATGCCTTGAGCAATAAGTCGACAGCTTCTCTCTTGGAATCTGGAAGAAAAGAATATGGTTAATGTTAGCCATCAGGTGAACATGTATCATAAAAGCATGCGGACAAGAATACAGACCTGAAGAAACTGTCCTTATAGTCGAACCAGAATGGTCGAGTGGGATCATCAAGGTGTCAACCTCCGACAATGTAAGCATAGCCATCAGGTGCAGAACAGACAGTACTTCAAACCAGGAGTTTGGCACACATGCTTCCTGCAAGTTATCACATTTGATCAGACCTCGATTGCACGACAAATTAATAACAAATAATCCGGGTTATCCCATCTTGAAAAAAAAAAGCTAGTTTTTGATGGTCTATTTACCTGTTTTCCATCCTCCAAACATTTCCACTTGAATTCAACCAACCTCTCCAGACCATATTCTGTTGCATTTTATATGCAAATTAGCATTTGTTTGTGTGTGTAAGAGAGAGAAGAGGGGAGGGGGTGGTAGGAACTTCCTAGTTTCAAACCTTTCTTAGTGAGCCCAATTAAAACAGACAAGTACTCCTCCAATGCTCGCCGCAGTTCAGATATAGCAGATCCACCTGCAACAACAACAACATTTGCACTAAAACCAAATACTTGTACATTTTCCCAGAAACCCAACATTGACTGTTACTGAGGAGCCAATTATCTCTCTTGATCCTCTTCTGTTTACTATAAAAGAGTAGAGCATACCAGTATCCTCTGCAACTAAGACAATCTGATTGCGAAGCGATGACAATCTGTCAACAAGATCTTTTGGAATGAGGCCTCTAAGACGCTTTTGAACATCAGACTGAGCCGGGATTCGCGTAGACGGGACAAAGACCACGACTTCAGGGACAGTCAACTTCTTCTTTCCTCGAATAGCATAAACAGAAGAGGCGCACCCCATTTTGTTTTGTGGGTGTAAATATTGGTTTCAAACATAACAATAAGAACATCCTACACAAAAAACCAGCCATCCACCTCTATGTTTAGCCCCATCAGAAAAACAAAGATTAAAACAATTAATGCAAAACAAAGACCAAAATATGTACGAGTTTATTAGTGAATAACAAGTGAGAGATTAGAAGATAGACCGTCGCTGACCCGACTATGAAATCTTAGATGTATACATGGTGCATGAATAAAAATTGAAGACAAACCGAAATATAACTTACTGGCTCCAGAGAGGAGAGGACAGTGAGAGAGCTGTGAAGCTTCCATATCTATGTTTCTATCTCAGATATGAGAGAGAGAGAGAGAGAGAGAGTAGAGAGAGAATCTGGAAATAGGAAGCTCAGTCACCGAGACATGTCTCACATGGCGTAAACGTAGAAATGTCGATTCTGTGCTTTGTTAAAGGAGCCTCCGTTGAAATTCATCGAAGAGAAAGCGTTTGTTTAATCCAGGTGGACGACGAACGTGCGCATGTGGCTTGCGAGCTAAGGCATGACAGATTTTTTAGCGTGATCGTATACAGGATGGTACATCATATATTATTAAATAAATAATGGGATATGTGTGCTAAAAAATTAATAACTTAAAAAATAAAAATTTCCACCATTTGTTTAACGTGATGTACCACTTATATTCCCATCACAACTAAAAATTTATCCCAGGCATATGATAGATCCCATGGGGACCATCTTATACCAGCTGGCTGATTTTTCCTATAAAATGTCTTGGCCCTTGGATCTGCCACGTCATATGCCGGTAATTTGGGACGAGATTTGCTCAATCACTTTTTCGGATTTCTCCTTTAGCTTTACTTTATTATCTACGATGTTAGTCAAATAATGGGTTAGAATGTGACAATAATTTCAATGAATAACAGGAAAATAATGTTTTTTCTTTGAGGAAAAAAAAAAGAAAAAAAAAAGGACAATTGGTGGCAAGTCCTGATTATCCACCCATTCCAAGGGCTGGAAAGACTCACAAATACATTTCAGCCTCCCCTGACTACAAGTCTAGCTTCCAAACCAGCAACGAGTTTTGAACCCAAGATCCCCAGTTTTTAGTTTTAAGGAAGCCTCGTAATTCACCATTTACCACTGGACCACCAGCTCGTAGTTAAGAAAATGGTCTTTTATGTTTTTTGCTTAAGTTGGAAGGACTCATGTTTTTTACTAGTTATTACTAAGAAGAGGAGACGTTTTGAACTCATGACGTATGAGCAGAAAATCAATACCTTATCTACTAGGATATTAAATCATATACAAATTAAAAATACTCATTAACTTGCAAAGAGGCTACGAACTCCCTCACTAACAAAGTGACAATGAATAATTTTATGCATATATGTAATTGAAGATTAACAATAATTGAACGTAGAACATCATATGCATTTTTATATGACCTTTTTTTAGTGTTGAAAACTACTAGAGAGATAGAAAAGCAGATTCAGGGGGTGTCAAGTAGTGCCAATGAATCCGCAATGCATGAAACCCACGAGCACATACGAAGGATGCATGACATCATTGTTCTTCATGATTATATAAATATATATATAGCCACACATCGATTTTTTAATTTTTTTAGAGAGAAGGAGGGAAGGAAGGTCAGATGCGTTACGTTTCCAATAAAATGAAAATTAATGTAAAAACAATTTAATTAACTTTGCAAGATCCATTGATCATGTTACCAAAAGGATGTGGACACATGCATGTCACGCTAGCCTGGTTTGCACAGCAAATATAAATTCAAAACCACACAATTGTACAAAATTTGTAGCACTAGCGTATACGTACGTCAAGACTAAGGCTTACACACTCACTACCTACGTACTCAGTTCAACTCTATATAGCATATATAGAGGATTGTGTATACGAGTCAAGCCAAGCACCAACGGCTATGTTGGGACTAAAATATGAAAATCATGCATTTTGAATTGAAAAACTAGTTCATACGAGAGAGAATTCTCTACATTTTATAATGGCACTACGACGTTCCATACTAATAAATACAATTTCATTACACGAAATTTAAAACGTGGAACATTGCATGTTTGATCAGAAATATAGAACATTGCATGTGATGTGCTTTTTCATGCAGTCGTATTGAACTTTAGTCTTTGGGCGTTTTATTTCAAAAAGGTCAATCCTTACAAGTTGACAGAGGGAACTGCCATACACAAACAAAACATGAGCCCTTTGTACTGGAACAAGGTTTCTTTGGGCCGTGGCCACGCCAATTCTGTGAGACATGCAGAGTTGCACACAGTCGGCCGTATGAAAGAACTTCTCGTTTCACAAATATGGTACGTTTTTCGTCAAAATAATTTTTTTCTTTCATATTCAACAATGGGTGTATTTGAAAGAAAATAATTTAGCTTAGATTGAATAAAGGGTTCTTTTAATATAGACATTTGCGTATCTCAAATTAAAAGAACATTAAAGATCAAAATAAACAAGAGTATGAATAGAAAAAATTAAGGGTA